GGGCTCATCTGTGATTTCAGAGCCCCCCTCCCCAACCCCTGCCCAGACCTCCCAGATTCCACCGGTTCAGGCAGAGGCGCGAGCGCAGGATGTGCTGGCCAGACTGCAGGCCCCTCCCGCTCCCGCCGACCGACAGCGCCCGAGGCCCGAGCCGCCTCTCGCCATCCAGGCCTCCTGTCCTCCAGCACAGCCGAGCTGGACATCACACTGCGGTCACCTCATACTTTGCTGTCTTGGTCTCTGGGGGCCCCTCTGGGCCCTTCTGGGCCTGGACCTCTGCCACCCTCGTTCAGTTCAAATCTCTGTTTACAAATAGGGGCTCAGAGACGCGCTGACTTGCTAGGCCACGGGGCCATGAGCATGTGGCTGGTCCCTTTCCAGGCTCAGGCACCCGAGGGGGATGGTGTGGTCAGGACCATCCCAGGGGGCATGTGAAGTGAGTTGGGCTTCAGCCACTCCGGTTCCACCAAGAGCCCAGGTTTGGCCAATTCTGTTCCCAGATAAGGCCCAAGCCCGCCCCGCAGCCCCGATAAGGGCCGGTGACCTTTTCTCACAATGACCCCATTATTCTACTGGGGCAACTTTGGAGGAGGGAGGCAGCTCCCCGAGGGGTGGGTGCAGCCCCCAGTGTCCGTGGCAGCCGCCTCCAGGGCCCACTCTCGGGGCTTCGCTGCTGGACAGCGGCCTGGGTGCAGGTCACAGAGCTGTCGCCCGCCAGGTGTCAGCGAGTGCTCCCACTCCGGGGCGTGGGCTGCCATGCAGGGCCCGTGCCCAGCTGTTCTGGGCCGGCCCCCAGCACTGATGTTGGGGCTTTCATGCCTGTTCGGCCCTGGGGTGAGGGGCCACGCCGTGTCACGACTTGCTTCCTGTGCTCTCCTCACTGTCCCCCTGGACCCCCGCGCGGCCCGTGAGCCTCAGACTCTCCAAACCCACCGCCCTCCACCTGCCTCTGCCCACACCCTGCTTTCCTAGCTGGCTGCTGACCCCAGGACACCCACAGGCCAGGCCACCCCACTGCCAACACCGCCTATTAGACACTCAGCTACAGGCCCCTCTCCTGGCACGTGACCACCCCCACACTGCTGGAAACCCAGCCCTCAGCGGGCTCCCAGCCCCTCTGGCCCGCGGCATCTCTGACCCCCGGCTGTCCCCACTCAGGCCAGGCCTGCAGCAGGCACCAGCCTCCTTGGAGCCCAGGCTCTGAGTTTCTCTGCCCAAAGGTCTGGTCTCCCTCCTGCCCGACAGGCCCTTGGGGTCCTCTGGTCCCAGAGGGCCAGCTGGGAAGGCAGCCACAGGCTGGGCCAGGGGCGATGGCCCACGCCAGGGGAAGGGTCACTAGGAGGAGGGACGGGGGAGGCCGGCCCTGCCTCTTCTGGAGCCTTCTGTGGCCAAGAAGAGGATGCAGCTGGCCGCCTGCCCTCGACTGGCTCTGACGCCCAACCCTACCCCCAGGGCAGCAGCAGGGGCTCTGGTTCTGGGGCACACGCCTCCCCCAGCAGACTGGCAGATGGTGATGGCTGCAAACCTGGGGCTCCTGCAACCCAGACGCCCGCCCACTGCCTGACACGGAGGGAAGGGAGCTCCTGAGCCCCCAGGAAGGAAGCCAGCCACACCCGGGCCCACGCCCAGCAGGCCCAGACCCTGAACCCTGTGGTCAGTTTGCAAAACACTGCTCTGTCCTCCCAAGCCCGGGAGGCTGGTTTGGCCTTGGGTTCCCAGAGGAACCTTGGGCCTTCTGGGCCCGCCCCGGACAGCTAGCCCCTCCTCAGAGGCCGGGCCTGGACAGAAAGGCCGAGGGGCACTGGGATGTCACAGCCACTCCCCAGCAGACAGGTGTGCCCGCCCAGGGTGGTCTCACCAGCTGGGGGCACCCTGGGCCTCTCCCCCCAGCATCTCCTTGGGCACGCGGACTTTGGGACAATAGGGCTGGGCCTATGAATGTGAAACAACCTCATTCCTGGCAGCAGGAGACGGAGCTGGACTGCTGCAGGCCAGGCTCCCCGGGGCCCCAGCCAAGGTCGCAGAGGCCAGTGGGGTGGCACGCTAGCCGCTGGTGGCTCAGGCCAGAGACCCAGGACCCAAAGGCCCCACAGAGCACAGCTGGACAGCTGCAGCCAGGCTCGGGGGCTGCTGGGGCTTCCAGGGGCCTCCAGCAGGCAGGGCAGGCTCAGGAGCTGCGGCCTCGCCCTGGGAGCCTGCTTTCCCGTCCACCCTGTCTGCTCTCCCTCCGCTCTCAGCCCGCCCTTCCTCTGCCACCTGGCCCTCTGTCCATCTGTCCTCCACCCGCCCACCTATCCGTCCAGCTGTCCACCCCGGGCCTGGGCGGGGGTGCACGGGCCTCTCGCCTTGTGCTGTTCTCACGGGGGCGGCTGGGGCGCCGGCAGGAGCAGGGCCGCACCTGGGGCAGGGAAGTCAACCCCCAACCCACCCTCCCTGACCAGACAGGAGGAGCGAGGCCAGGTTCCGTGCCGGGTCTGCCCACCCGGGGCCGGGGCAAGCTCGCGGGACGCTGCTGCCCGGGGAGGGGGTGCAGGCAGGGCCCCTCCCAGGCTCGCGCCCGGGGAGGCAGCCCGGAAGAAAAGGAGCCACGGAGGGCGCTGGGAGTGTCTCGTGTCACGCGGCGCGTTGGCCCTGGGCGGGCGGCAGCCTCGGGGCAGCGGCGTCGCCGCCCGCATGGACGGCGAGAGCGGCGGGCGCAGCTACGTGGGCGAGGACATTCCGCCGGGCGGGCCCTCCGGGGAACAGGCTGGGCGTTCTCCAGGCACATAAGGAGGCCGGTGTGTCTGGGACGGGGGTGAGCGTGGACACAGTGGCAGGGGGACAGGCGGGGAAGGGCCTGGGGGACAGACTGACCACAGCCGGAGACGGGACTCCATGTTGTAAATGTGGGGAGAGCACCGGGGCCCTGGCCAGAGCGCCCTGCCCTGCCTGCACCGGCAGCCGTGGCTGTGGGCATCGCGGGGGGATTCCAGAAAGCCGGGCAGTCTGGGGCTGTGGTCCGGGCCCTCCCCGCGGGCCACGTCTGAGGGTCGCCGTGGCCGCGCCTGATGGTTGGCGACGAGGAGGCGGCAAGGGAGGAGAGGAAGCCGGGCTGGTCGCCTGACCGCTTAGAAAGACCCGCGGAAGGCGGGAGGGAGAGAGGAAGAAAGGAGAGTCGAGCGGCCACATGACTGGGCGGGTGGGCGGCTGACGGGGTGTGGGGGGGCCGATCAGACGGACAGAGAGGAAAATGGGGGGTGAAGGCCAGGCGGGTCGTGAGGGAGGGACGGTGGGTGTAGAGGGACGGCGGGTGGCGGAGGGGTGGAAAGAAGGTGAGAGGATGGTGTGTCAAGCCCGGAAAGTGGGGCTCCTGGACGAACGGGCACCGCCGTGGTCAGCTCTGCTGGCAGAGGCCGAGAAGGTGACCCGTGGCCACCGTGCCAGCCGGCCTGGATGGGGCCTGGGCAGGGGGACGGATGGAGGAGCTGAGTCCTCTGGCCTCTGCCACACCCCCATGCCAGGGAAGGGCACGTCCACGCCCTTGGCAACAGCCTGGGTGCTGGGAGGACGCAGCAGGGTGAGCCAGCCCAGCCTCCGCAAGGGTGCCCGCTCCCGGGCAGCGAGGCACCTGGGCGGTGGTGCCCGCTGGACTCCGCAGGCTGGGCAGGCCGCTGCGGCTGGGCTGAGAGCCTGAGGCGTGGAAGCTGGAGGCAGCCTCTAGAGTCAGGCCGGCCTGGCGGGCACAGGCGTTGCCAGTCGTCAGCAGCGCAGCCTTGGACCGAAACCCCGGGCTCTCTGAAACCAGCTTCCGGTGCGTAGAGGGCAGAGGTGACGGCTTGGCCAGGTCCAGTCACTAAACAGTGACGGGAGGGCGGGGGCCGCTGCGGCCTCGGAGCCCCTCCCGCTGATGCCCGGGCAGGAGGACTGAGAAGGTTCTAGGGCTGCCGCCGAGCCCTGGGCCGGCGCCCACTGCCGATGCCACAGCCTCTGCTGCCCACCCAGTCCCGGCGGGAAAGGCTCCCATGTCTGGGCCCCACCCAGGAGGGCCAGAGCCCGGGGAAAGTGGGGCCTTTGTCCTGGGCTTGGCGGGAGGCCCTCCGCCCACCAGGGAGCCACAGGCGGGAGCAGGGACTGGTGCTGGGAGGCGGACACAGCGCAGGACCCCGCTCCGGCCACAGGCCCCGTCGCCACAGGCCACCATCTAACTGCAAGCGGGGCGGATCCGGGGAACCGCACCGCCCACGTGCGCCCCCCACGCCGCTCAGGTAGAGCTGTGCGGGCAGGAGCGTGGGCACGGAGTCCTGCCTTCCTGGGGGAGGCACGGCCCGGCCGTGCACGGTGGGTGAGCCCCGGGCAGCAGCCGGGGGTGGGAGCGCAGCCGGCTGTGGGTTCCCTGGCAGCACCTGGCATTTGGGGCAGAGTTGGGGTGCAGGAAGCACCCCGAGTTGAGTGTGAATTCGGGACACCTTGCTGTCAGCACTCCCAGGCTTCCTGTATGTGTTCAGGCACCCGGCTGAGGGCTGGGGCCAGGTCTGGGTGGCAGGAGCAGGGAGCGATGGTCCTGGACCCTGAGGTGGCGTGGACAGGCGGTCAGTTCCCAGGGCTGCCCGCGCGCCTCCCTCTGGGCAGCTCACAGCCGCCTGCCCCCCCCCCCAGGACCGTCTCCCTGCCGTGAGCTGCATCAGTGGGACTGAGAGTCTGGGCTGGGCCAGGGGCCACGGCCAGGGTCCTACAGAGCCCACTTAGCACTGGGCAGGGTACGGGGGTTCGGGGAGAAAGCTCGGCCACGCCTGTGAGGACGCGCCGGGGACGGGCTGGGCCAGGTCTGGCTGCTGGCACGTCTTCACAGCCTCCCCCTGGCCCCATCGCTGCCCCCACGGCTGCCCCCAGGCCCCTCAGCCTCCTCATCCCGGGCCAGGTGGCCGCTGAGTGGGGCCCGTGTAAGCCGGGGTGCTGCTGCCCGGGCCTCAGGGCTGCCCCCTCCACGCTAGGTGACCACATGTTCCCCTCCTTCCTTCCAGAAGCCCCCCAGTGCCCACACCATGAAGGAGGAGGCCTTCCTCGGGCGCCGCTTCTCCCTGTGTCCGCCTTCGTCCACCCCGCAGAAAGCCGACCCCCGGAAGCTGTCCCGGACCCTGCTGCTCGGCGGAGAGAACGACCTCTGCCCTCTCAGCCCAGGTCAGTGGGCGGCAGGTGCCCCGTCCCTCCGTGCCCCAGGATGGCCAGCGCGGGAACCGTCTCCTGGCCGGGGGAACTGCCCCAACGCGCCGCCTCTCTGGGCCTCAGTTTCCTCACGTGCACGTAGGGAGTGTTGCACTCCCAGCTGGAGGGCCCCAGGCTCGGGGGCCAAGCCCCTCGGCCTGCAGCTGTGGGCACAGCAGAAGGTCCCCCCAGAGCCTGGCCCTCTGCTCCCCCCACCTCCTCTCCTCGACCCCCCCAGGAGTCTGGGCTGTCCGCTCCACCCCCGCCACACCCCAGCTTCCCCAGACACCCAGCCCTGCCCTCCTAGAGCCCCTCCCTCCAGCCTGGCTCCTCCCACCTGCCCACACCTCCCACTACCGGCTTTGGGGTGAGGAGCCCCAGGCCTCCCCGGTCCCCGTGTCTATTCTGCCCTGGAGCAGACCTGGAGGGCGCCGGCCACACCGTCTCAGGCTTGAGGGCGCTGGCCGGCCTTCACACTGCAGTCCAGCAAGCAGCGTGGACCCCAGGCCCAGTGGGGAGGCCCTTGTCGGGGTCACACGTGGGGGAGGGCGGCTGCAGACACCGGGGAGTGGTCTGCTGTCATCCGCCGCCCTCGCCCGCCGGAGCGGGCAGGAAGGATGGCTGCAGCCAGTGCAGGGCCTGGGCGAGGGCCACGAGGGGTGGCATGGACGGGCTGCGAGGGACGCGCCCACCCCTCCCTGCCACCAACCGCCAGAGCCGCCCCCGCCCCCCTGGGCGCGGCCCCGTCCTCGAAGCCCCACAGGCTCATGGAGAGGCGCCTCCCGAGGGCCGCAGGCCCGGCCCCCGGACGGCCAGGCCCCGGGGCGAGCGAGCTCTCAGGGCAGGCAGCTGCCGTGTGCTACGTGGGTCCGAGGCCAGGGACGGGGAGCCGGTGCCCCAGGAGTGGCCGCTGCTCCGGATGCCCCTGGCCCTAGTGAGCTGCTTCCTCGGTCCCAGCCCAGCTCTGGACCCCACCCCTTCCCGAGCCTTGGGGGCTGGGCCTGCCGAGCCCAGGTGGGTCCTGAGGGGCCTGTCCCCCCCATAATGGTGCCATCCCCCAGATGTAACCACTTTCCTTCTCAGGAAATGGTGGGAGGGACCCCCCGAGGGGTGCTCGTCCTCCCTTGGGTCCACGGCCAGCCGAGCTTGGTCTCCCTCCCTCCTCTCCAGGCTGGAAAGGGAACGCCCACTGGGGGCGGGGTGCAGGGGCCAGGCCTAGTCCCCCACCCCACCCTCGGCTGCACACTGGGCACCCTGACCCACCGCAGGGCTGCGAGCCTGGGGCCACAGTCTCCCTCCGAAAGCTGGGGGCTGGGTCTTACTGAACCCCAAGGCGCTGGCCCCCCCAGAGCCCAGGTCTTACGGCCAGGGTCCTGGGATCTGCCCTCCCAGCTGTGCCCACGTATCAGTCCTCGGAAGGACCAGCCCTCTGCCCCGACTTCCCAGCCCACCGGTGCCCCCACACCTCACTCACTGGCCCCTCTTGCAGGGAAGGACGCGGAGCCCGTCAGTCCATCGCCCAGGGACGAAGCCCCCTCGACTCCCAGCTCTGCCACCAAGGTGCCGCCGGTAAGAGCCAGAGTGGGGCCTGCCAGGGCATCAGGAAGGGCTCTAGGAAGGGGACCCACCATCCCCAGCCCGGTACATGGGCACGGCCCCCAGTCGCAGCTGGGAGTCCCTGCAAGGAACGAGGGCTGGGGCGCAGACGAAGCCCCCCAATCCATCAGCGCCATTTCCTAGTACCAGGACAGCCAGACGGGGTGCAGAGGAAGGCTGCGGGGGGCTGGGTGCCCTTGTGGACGAGAAGTATTGATAAAGGAGGTGCAGGAGCCCCTCCCTCCTGGGAAACCCCTCAGAGTGAGCCATCCCTCCCCCGCGCTCCCCAGGCACAGAGAGCTGCCCAGTGGGAGGCCACGGGCACCCAAGGCGGGGACACTGACGGGGCTGATGGCCTGGGGTCCTGACACTGGGGCTGGTAGCGGTGCGGGTAGAGACTGGGTCTCCCCGCTCCCCCGGCACGTCACCCCATGTGACCTCGAGCCACGACAGCCTTGCTCCTCTGGGACCCCAGCTGCTCCCGTCAGACGCGGGGTGGGTGGGATCCCCGGCTTCTAGGTGTGCGCGTGCCAAATGGCCAGGCCCTCGGTGGGCCTGTTTCCCAGCCTCGGCCCCCAGGGCTGCAGGGGAGCGGCCAGGCCTCTGGTGTGGTGTATTTGTATGTCTGGAAGTTTTTAATTAAAAAAAATTTCATTGCAATAAAATACACATAACAGAAAATTCGCCATCGTCACCATTCCTAGGTGGGCAGTTAAAGGGCATCAAGCAATTCATGCCGCTGTGCCCACCCCCCCACCCCATCACCTCCAGAACCTTCTCATCCTGCAAAACTGAGCCGCTGTCCTGTGAGGACCTGTGCGGGCTTCCCGGCCCCCTGGGGAAGGGTCCGCACGGGCGCATGCGGTTTTGAATGGGGCGCTGCGGCCTCTGTTGTGGCTGGGGGGCGTCCTTGCTGCACCCTGGACACCGGCCTTGGACGCCGGCCCAGCAGTGCGGGAGGAGAGCGCTCACTCCCGCGGCCCAGCTTGCTCTCAGCACTTTTGAAAGTAAGCCCAAGGGGTCAGTGCTCGCCGCCGAGGGAGGCCCCGGGTGCCGCAGCCTCCACGTGCCCGGGGGCCGGTGGGCACAGCCTGCCGCACTGGGCAGGGTGCAATGACCGCACTGGGTCCTCAGGGGTCGCAGAGCAGAGCGGCTGGCACGGCTGCCCGTCCTCCACCCCGGCCCTGCCCAGCGCTCCGCTCAGCCTTTCGGACTCGCCCAGCCCCGCTCCCGGGCACCTGGTGGGGCCGGCCGCGGCCCACACGCCCGTTCCTAAGTTCCTGATGCTCGCAGAGCCCAGCTGCCGGCCGGGCGGCGCCCCCCAGAGCTCTGGCCCCACGGGGAAACGCTTGGCGGCTGCAGGCGCAACAAGGCTGGGGGCAGGAGCAGGTGCGAGCCCCGGGGTCCGCCGCCAGCAGGGCGGTCGGAGCCGACGTCCCCCTGGGGACACCTCGGTGGAGCCTGAGGAAGGCGCGGGGGCCAGGCGGTGGGGAGAGCCGCCCCCTACCTGCACAGAGCCCCGCGGCCAAGGGCAGCCGGGAGGGTCTGTCGCCCCTGGCCAGGTCCAGCGGCGTCGCTCAGGCCCGCTCCTCCTGGTCCCTCCCGCTTCAGGTCAAACGCAGCCGCCAGCGCAGCCCCCGTGCCCTGTCCTCTGGCCTGGAACGCGCCGCTGCCCAGGGGGAGCGGGCCGGGCAGCCCCAGCTGCGCATGCGCCGTGCGTGGCCGGGCCTCTGGGCCGAGCCTGTCTGCGGGCAGGACAAGAAGGAGCCGCCAGGGGCCCAAACACTGCCCACCCCAGCTCCGCCGGCCTCTTTCTAACCCGTGGAGCCACCTGGTTGGAAGGCAGACGGGCCCGGCAAAGCCGCGGCCCCCTGCCCAGAGGCTGGCCGCCCGGCGGTAGCTAAGATGGGCCGCCCTGGGCCCCACGGGAGACGCCCAGGGAAGGGGCAGCCCCACACCAGGTCTGCGTGGGCCCTGAAAGCTCCCTGCACTCGGCCACCCCGGCGCCCCCATCGCCCCTCCACCACCCCGCACCCCTGGAAGTGCGAGTAGACCCCCCGCGCGTGCCCTTCTCCGGCCGCTCAGGCCCCAGGCCTGCCACAGCCTTGCTGCCGGCACGACCCTTTGGTCCGCGAGCCCCTGGGGTGGCGAGCGGCGCGCTCAGGGACGTGTCCCGCTTCCACACCCACCACGTTCCGCGGCGACGGCCGGCCGCCCTCCTGGCCTCAGGGCCCCCCGCCCCACAGCCCCCGCCCACCACCCACGCCTCCCCACCCGCGTCTCTCCTGCAGGCCGAGTACAGGCTGTGCAACGGGTCCGACAAGGAATGCGTGTCCCCAACCGCCAAGGTCACCAAGAAGGAGACGCTCAAGGTGGGTGCGGGCCTGGGGGGGCCCTCACCCCGCAGCCGGCCCACACTTCCTCTCCCACCCCTGCCCATCCCCCAGCTCACGGGGGTCCTGGCGGGCGGGAAGAGTGGGGTGGCAGGCTGGCCTCCCGCTGACCCGCAGCTGGGCACCCCGCGGCAGGCGCAGAAGGAGAGCTACCGGCAGGAGAAGAAGCGCGCCACCAAGCAGCTGTTCAGCGCCCTGACCGACCCCAGCGTGGTCATCATGGCCGACAGCCTGAAGGTAGGCCCAGCGCAGGGGGGTGCTGGCCCCTGCAGGTGCACCCGTGTCCGGCCGGCCTGCCCAGTGACACCAGCTGAGCCGTTTAAAACATTGGAAACTCTTCTCTCCAGTGCCCGAGGCCACAGTCCCGAATCCAGGGGCCGCAGGCCACGGTCTCCGCGCGCTCAGGGGAGGGTCCCTGCTGCCTCCCCCGCCTCCGGGGCCCCGGCAGCCTTGGGCCGGGCTCCTGTGTCTCCGCGGCCCTCCCTTCTGGTCAGGGGCCGACTCTGGGGCCTGAGCGCGCCGCTTACCTGCAAAGGCTGTTTCCCACGAAGGCGGGGCTCGGCCTGCTGCTGAGCTCAGAGTCCCCTGAGACCCGTGCGGGCCGGGAGCTGCTCCCTGCACACCCTCCGCAGGACGGAGGAGGGGGCGCCAGGAGCCGGGGTCTGCAGAGCCCTGGGCCTCCGAGGGCGCCGTTTCTTCCTCACAAAACCATGCACAGAAAGTGAGGTTCAGGGTGAAAGTTCGCTTAGAACGAGACGAGAAACGAGTTTCAAACCTCACAGAGCCGACCTCTGCTGCTCCCCGGGGCCTTGGGAGGGTGCACCCTTGAACTTGAGCGGCTCACCCCTCACCCCTAAGTCTGCCCTGGCCGGGTGTATTTCTTGGGCTCCACGCCGGTGACCGGCTCCCTTCACATCTGAGAGAAGAGGACCCTGTCCTCACGGCCGCTCCCGAGCTCAGCCGCAGACCTGACCGGCCCCTCCCGCAGATCCGCGGCACCCTGAAGAGCTGGACCAAGCTGTGGTGCGTGCTGAAGCCGGGGGTGCTGCTCATCTACAAGACGCCGGCGGTGGGCCAGTGGGTGGGCACGGTGCTGCTGCACTGCTGCCAGCTCATCGAGCGGCCCTCCAAGAAGGACGGCTTCTGCTTCAAGCTCTTCCACCCGCTCGACCAGTCCGTCTGGGCCGTGAAGGTAGGGGCCTGCGGGGCCGGGGCCGGGGGCGGAGAGGGGCTGGGAAGGGGCAGGAGGCCAGCGTTCCAAGGGGCCCTTGCCGCCCCGCCGGGCCTGGTTCAGCCTGTCGGTGGCGGGGAACAGAGGCTCCGGCTGCTTGCTCAGGAGCCTCAGCAGCCCTGAGCCCTGTCCAGGGGCCAAGCAGGGCCATGGGAGCAGCTGCCCTGACCAGGGCTGCCAGCAGGACCAGAGGGCCCCCCGGGCCGGTGGCAGACAGAATATGAACCCCAAATTCGTTCGGCATCAGGGAGCTTCAAATCGCTGCTTAGGACACATGCCCCAAGGATATCCTTATTGCTTCAAACCTTTATTGTTGCTGAGATTCTCCTGGGGGGTGGGGTGTGATCGGGGAACAAAGGTGTCCTGGGTCCCTGCGTGTATCAGGGTGGACTTCCTGGAGGAGGAAGCCTGGAAACAGGCTCAGAGGATGAATAAATTCCGGGATGTCTAAGGGAGCATCCAGACGCTGACTCAGGCCACTCCCGATGGGGGAGCTCAGAGCTGGACGCCAGCCGAGGGGGGCAGAGAGCTCCAGCCCCCTCGGCTTGCACGTCTGCACACTGCGTGCCTGGCCCTGCCCGGGGGTCCCAGAAGAGCCTTGTGTGTCTGTGTGGGGGTCTGCCAGTTCACCCCGTGTTTGCACCCACCCGTCCCCCATGTCCCGCCAGTGACCCCCGTCTCTGCCTCTCCAGGGCCCCAAGGGGGAGAGTGTGGGATCCATCACGCAGCCCCTTCCCAGCAGCTACCTGATCTTCAGGGCCGCCTCCGAGTCAGACGGTGAGTTGTGCCTGTTCTGCTGCCCCCCGGGACCCCACCTGAACCCCCCCAGAAGCTGTAGACCAGGGGCCTGCTCTCTGGTTCAGACCCTCCGCCACCTCCACGGAGACCACCTGGCATCACGGGACAAGCCCAGGACCAGCAGGCCCCGCTCTGAGCCTCGGTGTCCCAGGGCAAATGCAAGTCTCTGCGTCACTTACGTCTCCCCGGTGACGCAATCCCATGGCCTTTTTATGTAGAGCAACTCATTAACAATTGCTGAGCACCAGGCACATTGGACCAATAGGCTGCACCGTTGCCATCCACACTTGACAGATGAGGAAACTGAGGCACAGACAAAGGCCAGCAAGCGCTGGGTGGGAATCTGGAGTCCCCCGGCGGCTGACACGCTGTTGGCGCTCCCTCCGGTGGCTGCTCGGAGTAAATGCAGCTGCTGCTGTCCGCATCAGGGAGGCGCCTGGGGACCCCTCGGGGAGCTGGGTGAGAGGCTCCTGCTCCCTCTGGTCCATGGTGGCACCTTAGGGCCCCGCCTAAGGCAGCCTGGCCTGACCGCGGGACTCCAGTCTCACCCTGCCCCGTCTCCTGATGGTGTTACGCCGTCCTCTGGTGCTCAGACCCAGCGTCCTCACTCCCTGGGGCTGTCCTGGGCCCAGTTCTGTCCACCTCCTTTGCCTGTCCCCGCTCCGTGCCAGGCCCCACGGGCAGTACCAGCTGTCTTGAGCTTCAGTCTTGGAGGGGGACAAGCAGTAAGCCATCACATGGCGCCAATTCGGCCGATGCATGAGCTAAATAAACCCCGATGGAGTTGGGGGGGGGTGTGATCGGGGAACAAAGATGTCCTGGGTCCCTGTGCGTATCAGGGTGGACTTCCTGGAGGAGGAAGCCTGGAAACAGGCTCAAAGGATGAATAAATTCCAGGATGTATAATGTGTTCAGGCCCTGGCCCCATTCCTAGAGTGGGTTTCCCAGATTTTGCCTGCTTGCTGCTCCCACACCCACCCCAGTTCTGCCCCCGTGAATGTCCAACTCCAGCCCAGCCTATAGTGACCCCCAACGGGAACCCAGGGGTCTCTATGAAAACCAGAGGTTGCCATCCCTGCAAACCCTCCAACTCCCCTGAGATTCCCACTTCATCCTCCTGATGCCAGGCCCGAGGGACACAGGACCCCAGGGCTTTCAAAGTTGGGGAAAGAACTCACAGAAGTGAAGTGAAGAGCCTTCAGCCCCCCAGACTCCCCAAACCTTTCTCTAAATATGCTAAATAATACATCGGTACAGATGCTCTTGTGAGTGTCAGTGACACATGCAGGCCCCAGGTCACCTGGGTGGACATGTCCCCACAGCTCTCAGCACCCCCGGGGCATGCAGGCAGTGCTGCTGTAGCCCACCGGGGTCCCCAGCTCGGGACAAGGGCTAGGGACCGGAAGTGGCTCTGCCCGTGGTCGACCTGCGCCCCCAGCCCATCTCACCCGCGCCGTCACCACCCCACAGCTGTTCTGACACCAGAAGCACCTCCGACCTTGGTCAGCCCTACCACAGGGCTCTCCTGGGGCTTGTCCCCGCGAGCCTGCCACCCACCCGCCTGCTCAGTCTTTGGGTGAGCGGGAGCCCCCCCAGGCCCACCACGACCCTGGCCAGCAGTTCCACCGGAAAGGCCGCCTCCCAGCTCCACGAGGAGAACACGCAGCTCTGGGTGGAGCGCAGGCCGAGTCCGCTAGCATGTGCCAAGGGTCACGGCCGTCCTGCTTGGCCCCGCCTAACAAGCCCCCCCTGTAACGTGCCCCGCCTGTAACACGCCCCGCCTATAACATACAGCCTGTCTGTAACACACACGCCCCACCTGTAACACGCCCCGCCTGTACCATACATGCCCCGCCTGTAACATACACGCTCCACCTGTAACATACACCACGCCCCACCTGTAACACGCCCGCCTATACCATACATGCCCCGCCTGTAACATACACGCTCCACCTGTAACATACACCATGCCCCACCTGTAACATGCCCCGCCTGTACCATACATGCCCCGCCTGTAACATGCCCCACCTGTAACATACGCAACGCCTGTAACACGCCCCACCTGTACCATACATGCCCGCCTGTAACATGCCCCACCTGTAACATATGCCACGCCTGTAACACGCCCGCCTGTACCATACATGCCCCACCTGTAACATACGCCACGCCTGTAACACGCCCCGCCTTAACATACACCACGGCCTACATGTAACATGCCCGCCTGTAACATACACGCCCCGCCGGTAACGCGCCCCAGCTGTGACACGTCCTGCCTGTGCTGTGCCGCGGGGGAACACACCGCGGCCGCGCCCCGAGCGCCCTGCACGCAGGCGGGCATCCCTGGGAAGCGGGGCTGTCGCGTGCACGCCTTGTCCTGAAGGTCCTGAAGGTCAGGACAAGGTGGAGCTTGCTGGCGCGGCAAGGGCGTCTCTAGGTGAGCACAGGCTGAGGGGAGAGGAGGAGAGGACCGCCAGGAGGAGGGAGTGGGGTGAAGCGGGGCCCCGGGACAGGGCAGGCCTCACCCCGGTGTCCCCCCAGGTCGCTGCTGGCTGGACGCTCTGGAGCTGGCCCTGCGCTGCTCCAGCCTCCTGCGCCTCAGCACCTGCAGGCAGGGCCGTGACGGGGAGCCAGGGTCCTCGCCCGACGCGTCGCCCTCCTCGCTGTGCGGGCTGCCCCCCTCGGCCACCCTCCACGCCGACCAGGACCTGTTCCCGTGAGTGGGGGCGCAGCAGGCATCGTCAGCCCCTCCGGGAAGCTGGGCTTCCCGCCAGGCGGCGGCCCCAGAGCTCAGCGCTGGCACGGGAGCCTCCCGTTGCGGGGGGCTTACACCGCCGGGGCCAGGAGCGGGCTGCCCCCCACCCGGGCCCGCACCTGTGTCATCTCTGCACTGCCAACAGTGCCCGGGGCGGCGCTGAGGGGGTCAAACCAAGGATGTGTTTGGGGTGCCCGGGTTGGGGGTGCCCGGGCTGGTGGAGAGTGCAAGGCCTGGGGTGTCCCAGAGTGAGAGCATGCCAGGGTGGGGGTGCAGGTGCAGAGGCATGTAGGTGCCCTGGGTGGGGGTCCCCTGGATGTGGTGCCCGGGCCTCCCCTTACCCAGGGACCCACGGCCACCCCTGCTGCCCAGACTGACCGGGTCCTCCATGGAGAACGACGCCTTCTCGGACAAGTCGGAGAGAGAGAACGCCGAGGAGTCGGACGCCGAGCCCCAGGAGCACGGCCGCAGGGCAGGGAGCGGCAGCGACCAGTCGGAGGCCACGGGGGGCCCGGGGCCCGGCGGGACCACGTACGTGGAGCAGGCGCACGAGGAGCTGGGGCAGGTGAGAGCCCCGTGCAGGCCCGGCCCGGCCCGGCCCGCACCTCGGCGCACCTTGGCAGCGCGGGGGTCTGCATGCCCGGCCCCTGGGGACGGGGAGGGTGAGGTGGGGGGACCTGGGGGGCAGGGAGGGGGTCGAGGGCTCAGGCCGAGCGTGTGGGGAGGCTCAGGAGGCCTTAGGTGGGGCTCGCGGAGGGCCCCGGGGGAGAGGTAGGAGCCGGGACCCCCTGGGAAGAGCCATGTTGGAAGAGCGTGGAGGGCTGCCGCAGGCCCCGGGGAGGGCCGGGTCGGAGTTCGGGACCCGTCTGGGCGGCGGCAGGTCCCAGGCGGGGAGACACCAACCTCCGGGGCTGGCGCTGCAGGGGGAAGGCCCGCTGGCAAGGAAGCCGGCCCGGGCCGGGGGCAGCCCTCTGGCGGGGGGCTGGAGTGGGGACATGAGCCGGGAGGGCAGGGGTCAGGTGGGGCGAGACCGGCTCCTGAGGCGCGGTGGGGGGGCAGCCTGTCAAGGGGGCGGGTCAAGGCGGCCCCGCCTCCCATCACGCCTGCCCCGACGGACCCGGGGCCCGGGGACCGCGCAGGCGAGGCCCTGACCGCGGCCCCTGCCGGCAGCTGGGCGAGGCGTCCCAGGTGGAGACGGTGTCCGAGGAGAACAAGAGCCTGCTGTGGGTGCTGCTGAGGCAGCTGCGGCCCGGCATGGACCTGTCCCGCGTGGTGCTGCCCACCTTCGTCCTGGAGCCCCGCTCCTTCCTGGACAAGCTCTCGGACTACTACTACCACGCCGACCTGCTCTCCAGGTGCGCGGGCGCCGGCGGGTCCCGGCGGGTCCCCCGTCCCGTGCCCCCAGGAGCCGCGCCCGAGGCCAGCCTGGGGAAGGGGGCAGAGCGGGGAGGGCCCGTGTCCCACGAGTTCGGCGCCCTCCAAGTTTAGGGTTGAGCGTGGGGTCAGCTCTGGAACCCCGAGCCCTGAGCTCTGGTGTGGGTGCCCTCACGGGGAGCCCAGCAGGACGCAGGGACTGGCAGAGGGGCTGCGGGCTGAGAATCCACGCGGCTGCACCCGCCTTCCCGGAGGAGCGGCTCCAGCCCCGGCCCCCTGACCCAGCGGGAGACTCCCTGGTCCGGGGGGCTGGAGGTTGGCGTTGCCCGGGGGGGACAGGAGGGGCCCAGCGCTTGTTCCCAGCTGAGTGGAAAGGAGCCGAGGCTGGGGCGCGGTGGCCCTGAGCCCCACCTGGAGCCGAAGCCCCGCTCCTTCCCAGGGCGGCCCGCGAGGAAGACGCCTGCCGCCGCATGCAGCTCGTGCTGCGCTGGTACCTGTCAGGCTTCTACAAGAAGCCCAAGGTGAGACGCCCTGCTCCCCGCCCCGGCCTGGCCAGCCCTGCCCACACCGCTCCACGGGGTCCTAAGGGCCCCCAAAGGTGTCCCTGGCCCTCAGGGGTGGGGGCAGCTCCAAGATCTCAGACGGGGGGAGTCCAGCCAGGTCCAGCCCTGCCCAGCCCTGGGCAGGCGGGCGCCGTGCGGGGTGCACGCCCAACCCCACCAGCAAGCCCCGTGGGGGGCGCAGAGGGGCTCTCTGGGAGGTCTTCTCAGAGGAGGAGGCTCTATGCAGAGGCTGTGGCGGCAGGGCAGTGAGGCTGCAGGGTCAGCTCCAAGACAGACCCTAACAGCCTCTCGGGCTGCTGGCCCGTGTGCAGACTCTGGGGTACGCTGCGCTCAGAGGCTGCCGTCGGGGGAGGCCCCCGCACACACACCAGCGACACAGTGAGGGCAGAGAGAGGAGGCACGAGAGGGGACCCCGCTGCCTGAGATCTCAGGGGGCGCTGAGCTGGACTGCAGGCAGGTGGGGGGCTCTCCAGCGGGGCTGGGGACGGACCTGAGCCGCGGGGCAGCAGAGAGAGGGTAAGGTGGCTGAAGCGGAGCGGGGCGCGGCTGGGAAGGCCGGAGGCCGCAGAGCTAAGGTAATGGGAAGGCTGCCTGCCCACGTCCTGGGTGTGCGTGGCCTGTCGGGGCCTCATGACCCCCACACGCCAAGAGGCGGACACAGTCCTCTCCTGCTGCCCCCGGCGCGTAAGCCCCCGGCAAGGAAAGCCCCAGCAAGCGCGGTTCTGAGAGGCTCTTGTAGAGACCCTCCCTGCGAGGGCGCTGCGGCCATCCCCCGCCGTCCTCTGTCCACCGCCCGCCCAGGGGCCTCCGCGCTCCGAGTTCCTCACACAGGCTCTCTGCTCGTCTCCTGCAGGGGATCAAGAAGCCCTACAACCCCATTCTGGGGGAGACCTTCCGCTGCTGCTGGTTCCACCCCCAGACAGACAGCCACACCTTCTACATCGCGGAGCAGGCAAGGCCGCCCGGGGGGGGGGATCTGACCCTGTGAGGCCGGGGCCCTTGCTGGTCTGGGGCCCTGGCACATTTCTTGCCGGGTCCTCCTGGGGCGATATGAGGCGCTCCCTGCCCCCAGTGCCAGGGGGGTGCTCCCAGGTGCAGACGCGGCGCAGCAGCTGTGACAGCAGAGGGGCCCCTCGGGGAGAAGATCAGTGCACCCCGATTCCCTAGGGACACTCCTAGGAGTGACACGGGGATTCCCGTCTGCTCGGGGGGCGAGGAGGGGGCTTCTCCTGGGGAGAGGGCTCCCCTCCGGCTACCCGCTCTGGGGCCATTTCGGGAGCCACCTCCGCACCCGCAGGTGTCCCACCACCCGCCGGTGTCCGCCTTCCACGTCAGCAACCGGAAGGACGGCTTCTGCATCAGCGGCAGCGTCACAGCCAAGTCCCGCTTCTACGGTGAGGGGCGCGGCCGGGCCGAGGTGCCGGGACGGGGCCTGGGCCTGCCGCCAGGCCCGGGTGCTGGTTGATGGCGCCCCTCCGCCCCTCCTGGTCGGGGACCACGTGGGTGCAAGCGCCGAACCCCGCAGCCGGGCAGGGCCGCCCAAGGCCCCTCCCACCACCCTCCCCCCAGGAGTGGGCGCTGTCTGCAGGGGGTGAGGCGCCCCAAGACACTGGAGACAGCACAGACTCAGGGCGCCGAAGGGGCGCCCCACCACAGGGCTTTAAATCAGTCACGTGAGCCAGAGGAAGGTGCCTGGGCTCTGGCCTGGGCAGGTCTGCGGCGGGAGGCGCCTCTGCTGCGCAGGGAAAGTCCCAGGGCAGCACCCCTTGGAGCTGCACCAGGGCTTCAGGGCTGTTTCCTCTTCCCGCCCTGCCCTGTTTATCCCTTCTCGGCGCGCAGGGAAGCCGCGAGCACCTCCGCGCCCCTGGTCTGCAGAGGCGCCCGCGTCAGCCGCCTTCCACGCCGTGCTCCCCGCGCCGGTCCCTGGCTGCGGCTGCGGCCCCTGCCCCGACGCGGCGGGGCCTGGGGGGCTTGAATCAGAGCCGGGCCTGGGCTGGCCTGAAATGGTCCGCAGCCTCTACTGGGGAGCCCCTGGTCTAGAAACCGAAATGGAGGCTCACCGGTGGCGCTCACGCTCGGGACCGGGCACGGGCCACCTGGACGGGCCCCTGCAGCGCCCAAGGCTCGGGGATGAGGTGGCGAGGCGGCCACCCTTGCGCCCCCCGCGGGACGGCCGAGCTCATGCCGTCCGCCTGTCCGAAGAGGGTTCGTCCCCTGTGGCTTGGGGCGTGAGCGCCCGGCCCAGGCCTGTCTGCGCTCACCGCCCGGCCGTCCCCTCCGCAGGGAACTCGCTGTCGGCGCTGCTGGACGGCAAGGCCACGCTCACCTTCCCGGGCCTCGGGGAGGAGTACTCGCTCACCATGCCCTACGCCCACTGCAAAGGTGAGCCCCCCCAGGGCGCGCGTCGGTGCGCCTTTCTCTGAAGGTCTCTGTGCCTCCCCTCACCCGCCCGCGGCACCGGCGGGGGTGCAATGCCGGCGGAGCCCCCCTCTCTGAAAGCCCGTCCACCTCCTGGCTCCTTGGCGGTTGCCCCGCTGCGTCTGCCTGTGGGTGACACAGCAGGCTCCTCCCCGAAGCTGCCTCTAGGTCTATCTCTGTGTCTCTCGAATCTCACTGTCAGGTGCCAAGCCCTGGTTTCTTTTGTGATGGTGATGGTGGTTTTAGGTTTGCCCAGACCTCGAGCAGAACTTACAACGTTCTCACCCACCCTCACCCCGCTCTCTGCAGCACCCGCTGTTACTCACGCTGGCTCTGACACAGTCCCCCCAGGAGTCCCGAGCTGGGTCGGGGCTCAGCAGGGCCAGGGCTCGGCAGGGACGGGCCCCCTGACCCCCAGCACTGTGTCCCAGGGATCCTGTACGGCACGATGACCATGGAGCTGGGCGGCACCGTGACCATCGAATGCCGGAAGAGCAGCCTCCAGGCAGAGCTGGAGTTCAAGCTCAAGGTAGCACTCACGCGACACCCCTGGCACCAAGAGGGCCTGAGAGAGGGGCCTCAGGCAGGGCAGGAGCCAGGTCTTGGGGATCCCCTCCCACCCTCCTCTGCCCCCAGATGGCTTCCCCAGCAGTCGCACTGATACAGCAGGTCCACCGAGGGTAGGGGCCGCCCGCAGGCCACGTGGCAGGACAGGGCACACCCCTTGCCCGGCGGACGCTGGAGGGGCCTCCGCGTCCTGGGCTCTGGCGGGCCGCCGGCGAGAGGGACCTCCTCCACGCGGCCGTCCCAGCCGGCTCCCACACAGAGCTGAGAGCCCACACGCCCGTGGGGGGCACCCCATGACCCACGAGGTGCACCTCCAGGACGGGCCTCCTCCCTGCTCCCTGAGGCCGTGGGGCCCCTGGAGAGCCTCTGCCCCTCACGGCCTCCTTCTCGGGTGTGTCCCCCAGCCCTTCTTTGGGGGCAGCACCAGCATCAACCAGATCTCGGGCAAGATCACGTCGGGGGAGGAGGTACTGGCGCGGCTCTCGGGACACTGGGTAAGAGGGTGCCCTCAGGCGGGGGCGGGCGGGACCCCGGGCACCTGAAGGCCTGGGGGCCGGCCCCCTGACCCCACAGGCCGTCATGCAGGACAGGGAAGTGTTTATCAGGGAGGAGGGGCAAGCCAGCAGCCAGCTCTTCTGGAACCCCGGCGGGGAGGCCCGCGGGCAGAGGCTGAAGCGGAGCACGGTGCTGTTGGAGGAGCAGACGGAGCTGGAGTCCGAGAGGTGAGCCCCGGCCGCTCGCCCGCCCCGGTGGGCAGGGCTGTGCTGTGGGCCCGTGCCCAGGGCGGTCCTGGCAGGGTGGAGGCTCGAGTGGGCTGCGCATGCAGGCCACAGGTCCGGCGGGCGCGGGAGGCCCGGGGGCCCGGGGAAGAGCAGCTGCCTCCCACGGCTCCTCAGCCAGGGCCCTGGCGGGGGTGAATGAGCAGCCCCCGGAGATAGGGCGTGCGAGGCACTGAGCCCCCCATCGCTGAGGGTGACCGGGGGGTGCTGGGGCTCCCCTCCATGCCGAGGGGCGGCTGCCCCAGGCTCCAGCTCAGGGCGGGCGCCTCCCCAGGCTCTGGCAGCACGTGACCAAGGCCATCGGCGAGGGCGACCAGGACAGGGCCACGCAGGAGAAGTTCGCTCTGGAGGAGGCGCAGCGGCTGCGGGCCCGCCAGCGCCAGCAGACCCTCACGCCCTGGGCGCCGCGGCTCTTCCGCCTGGACCCCGCGGCCCAGGAGTGGCGCTACCTGCACGAGAAGTGAGGGCGGGCGCGGGGTCCTGCTCCCCGGAGGAGCCGGCCGGGGAGGGCCGGGTGGGATCCCATCCCCTCACTGCGGGCCCTGCCTGTGGCTGTTCCGGCTGCGGCTGGGAGGTGGGGGGCCGGGTGCGATGGGGTCCCACCTCTGGGGCCACTTCCCTTGCCCACGGACGCCTGCTGGACCCTCAGCCACAGTCCCTGGGACCCCCGGAAGGACATCGCCCAGTTCGAGCAGGACGGGGTCCTGCACACCCTGCAGCGGGAGGCCGCGGGCCGGCCCCGGCGCCAGGTTAGCACTTGGGGCCCCAGGGCTCGGCTCAGGGTGGACCCCCGCCCCCACTCCCACCTGCCCGGCCTCTTCTTCTTCCCCACTCTGCCCTGCCTGCCCTGCCTTCCACCCGGGGGCCCCGGATTTGCAGGACCCGCAGTCACAGGATTCTGTGCTGGGGTCTCCCAGCACCTGCCCTTTGCTGGGCAAAGACGCCCCCATGGTGCTAGCACTCTGTCCTTCTGCGTCTAAGGAAACTGAGGCAGGGAGTGTGAGGGTGGCTGAGGTAGGCAGAGGAGGAGCCAGTGTTCGCACGGAGAGGAGGTCCTCAAAGGGCAGAGAGAGGGCCTGGGGCGGGTAGGGGAGCTGTGAGGGAGGCGGAGGGACAGCTCCAGGAGCCGGAGGCCATTGGCCTCCCAGACAGCCCCAGCCCGTAGATTTGTGGGGAGGCCTGGAGCACCCCCCGGAGCTCCACACCGAGGGTCCAGGGGGCCTGACTGCAGGTGCTGCGGGTTCCAGCTGCTGGGGCCCTGGGGACACTTTCCGTGATTTGCCAGTGAGCAGGAACTACCCCCTGCCACGGTGCAGCCCCCTGCCTGACTCAGACCCGATGGCTCTGGCCCACCTGATGGCCTCTCAGCCTCCCTCCCCCTCCTCAGCCTCTCCGGTTGGCCTGACCCGCCACCCCAAAACCTCCCCAGGCTGGCCACAGCTGGTTAGCCTACAAATTCACCTGTCTCAGCTCTGCCCCGGCCACCCCATCCCAGCAGCTCTGACCTCCGGCCCAGCTGTCACCCCCAACCCAGCGCTGACCCCCCTGCTGGCACACTTGAGTGTCACACGGGCCTGATGTGTGTCCTGGGACCCTGGGACATGGGGCGGCGCCCACAGCCCTGCTCCCCATCCCTGGCGCCTCCCCTGGTGACCTTGAGCCAGACCCCGGCTATTCGCTGGCCGGCGGCCCATGGGAAGCCAAACTCAGGGACGCTGCCACTCTCACCCCTGCCATCATGTCGGGCACCAGGGGCCTAAGTGTGGTCCTGCCACCCGCCCGCCCCTGCAGCAGCTCCGCGGTCTAGTCCCAGGGAGAAAGCTGAGCCCGGCAGGGCGGGCGACTCCAGGGCAGGCAGCCGGACAGCCCCCTCTGCGCCCAGAGCCCAGCCCCCCTCTGCATGCTGGCCCCAGCACGGCCCTGCCCACCGGCTCCTCTCCTTCCAGGGGCCTGGTCCCCGCCGGCAGCTCCGCAAGGCCAGTGACCAGCCCTCGGGCCACAGCCAGGTCACCGAGAGCAGCGGCTCCACGCCCGACTCCTGCCCAGAGCTGTCTGAGGATGAGGACGGGGACTTCCCTCCTGGTGAGCCCACAGCCCCGGAGCGGGGTCCCCGCTGGGCTCCACCCAGCGCCCCCTGCCACCCCGACCGTGCTCCAGGCTCCACCAGTGCCTTCCTGAGCCCAGAGCACACGGGGGTGGGGAGGGTCCCCACCTGCACCCACCCAGCTGGGCAGCGCTGGCCAGTGACTGTCCTCCGTGACACTCTGGCTCTGCTTGGTGTCCTCACAGCCCTGCCTGTGCCCCCCACTTTGTCCCCACCTCTGCAGAGACACGCCCCACCTGGCCATTTCTGCCCCCAGCTCCCTGAGACACCAGCACCCGGGGTCACCCCCGAGAGGCCCCTGTGTGTCCTACTGCATCCTAAGGCTCACGGGAGGGGGGCCTGGCTGAGCTGGGGGTGGTCCCGGGACCCACGTGCCAGCTCCAGGACGCCCCACTCATCCACACCCCTCCCTTCCCTCCCCCAATCTGTGCCCTGGGCCCATGCCGGGTGCCACCCCCCAGGGAGCGAGAGACGGTGCCCCCGGTGCGGGAAGGAGGAGCAGCGGCTGCGGGCACTGCACGAGGCCATCCTGTCCATCAGGGAGGCCCAGCAGGAGCTGCACAGGTAAGCCCAGGAGGGTGGGTCGGGGGCCCAGGGGTCAGGCACCTGGAGTGTCAGGGGAGCTAGAACCCCAGGGCTTGCAAAGGGTGGGGCTGCGGGTGGGACAGGAAAAGACCACCTGGGCTTTGCAGGGGCTGGGGCCACAGGGAGTGTGTTTGGGGGGACCGAGTGGCCGTGCTTGCTAGACACTGGGCTGGAGATGGCAGGAGCCCGGGGAGGAGCCAGGCGGGGAAGGAAGGAGCAGAACGGAACCCCCGTGGGTGAGCAGCGGGTGGCAGTGGAGGGGGCTGCTCAGCAGCTGCGGCCCCTGAGCCCCAAGCCCCGGGCCCAGCACCGGCAGGGTGGATTCTCAGCCCTGCCCAGGGAGCAGCCCAGGGAGCAGGTGAGTTGCCAGGAGCTGCCTCTGACCCGGCGGGCAGGGGCCCTGGGGGCAGTGTGGGCCCCACAGAGGACACGGAGGTGAGCAGGCCACTATGGGCAGCTCAAGCCATGCTCGGCTCAGTGCAGTGCAGACTCCCTGGATGCAGGGCTCACGGCGACCTCTGTCTGCCCCCCATAAATGGGGTGATGCAGAGTCAGTGGGATGAAGAGGGCACAGAGGACTGTGCTCTGCGTCACACCCAGCAAGCATTCAGAAGTGTTGGCCGCTGGCCCGTCGGGAGCCCAGGAGAGGAAAGTCCTTGCTGTGTCCCACCGTACCTGTGGCACACCAGACCCTTGGCAGGGAGTGGGGGACAGACACCTTTGAATAGTCTGCTCCAGTGCAAAGCTGTGTGGGGCCAAGAGAAAGGGAGCCTGGCTTCTTGGCAACTTGGGGGCGGTATGGTCTATGTGGTCTGGGAGGACTTCCTGGAGGAGGGTGCAATGGACAGGCAGGAGTTGGAACCGGAAAGCGGAGGAGTCACAAGAGTGGCAGACACCGGAGGGTTGCTCAGGAGAACAGGCCAGAGGGGCTGAGGGGCTGAGATGGTGGGATGGGGTTGAGGAGACCAAGGAAATGGCCGGGGGGGGGTGGTGAGGAGAGGGGGTTATAAAGCAAACCTGGCCATGGGGGCGGTTGCTGCAGGCAGGTGACCTGGAGAACAGCCAGAAACTTCTGCAGGCCAGACAAATAGGACCCGAGGGTCCAGGCCTGGGAGGATGGGGGCAGGGCAGAGGGTAGCTCTCGGGGCTGCCAGACAAAGTCCCACACAGGAGCGTCCCCGTCCTGAGGGGGGCCGGGGGTGTCCTCTTCAGGCCTCTCCTGGGCGTGCAGAGGCGTGTCCTCCCCATGTCCTCCAGGGTCATCCCTCAGGGCCCCGTGACCCTACTTCGCCTCAGGCGCCTCTGTGAAGACCCCTCTCCACGCACAGCCACGCCTGGGGCGCAGGGAGGAGGACTGAACATGTAGCTTTATGGGCAGCTCCTAGCTCTTCGCTGTGGCGAGGGAGGGTACAAGGCCACCCCCCCAGACTTCCCTCCTGGAATTGTGCCCCGAAGTCACTAAGGGCCAGCCCCCCCACCCCCTGTGAGCTCCCACCTCCACTGCGCCCAGGCCCCAAGGGGGGGGTCACCACACTGTCTGAGCAGCACCCTGGGGTCACCACCTGCACCTTGGCCAGCGGAGGGCCGCCCCTGAGCCGCCCTGTCCTTGCAGGCACCTCACGGCCATGCTGAGCTGCACGGTCAGGGCCAGGCCGGTGCCGGCCTCGGGACTCCTGCACAGCCCCCGCTCCTGGTTCCTGCTCTGCGTGTTCCTGGCATGCCAGCTGCTCACCAGCTACATCCTCAAGTAGGAGCCCTTCCGAGGGCCGTGGGACGTCGCCTGACACTCACCGGCCCAGCCCTCCCCCAGGCACCCAGCACTTTCAGCGCCCACGGAGCAGAGGCCCGCCAGGCCTCGGGGGACAGAGGGGCCCACAGTGGCAGGCAGGAGGCCAGCAGGGGGTGCCTAGGGCCCCAGGTCCTCTGGGGAGGCACCTCTTCTCCTGCTGACCCTCCCCCAGCACCGGCCTTAATGCTCAAGCCAAATGCCCTGTGTCCCGCAGCACACCCTGCCCAGCTGTGCCCGGCTGCGCCCGGCTGCTTCACTGCCCGCAGCATGGAAGGAGCAGGGGTGGGAAGCGCTGGGGGCTCCGGAGATGGGGTGCTCTGCGGACGCTGGCTTCACTCTGCCTCGTGCTGTCTGGACGGGAGCCCGGGCCACCCACCCTCTTCCCACACCCTGGAGCCGGGGTGGCCCGGCCAAGGGGTGCGCAGGGGCTCAGCGGCTGCACCCTGGCCTGGAGAGAGGCCCCAGCCCAGCACTTTGCTCAGACTGATGGCGCTCTGTCTGTTTTACACTTTTGTAATAAACACAACTACAGTAATGGGCTGGCTTGGCTCGCGGGGCCATCGGGCCTGCGGTGTGCGCCTGAGGGGTGTGCGCGTGTGGGGTGTGGTAGTTAGGGTGGTTTGTGCGCATGTGGGGTGTGCGCGTGTGGGGTGTGCACGTGAGGGGTGTGTGCATGGGGGTGTGGGGGGGTGGGTGCGTGTGGATTATGCACATGTGGGTGTGCGTGTGTGGGGTGTGGTATGTAGGGTGGTTTGTGCGCAAGTGGGGTGTGCACGTGTGGGGTGTGTGCGTGTGAGGTGTGCGCGTGTGGGATGTGTGCGAGTGGGGTGTGCGGTGGTTTGTGTGCATGTGGGGTGTGTGCGTGTGGGGTGGGGTGCACGTGGGCGTGTGTGCACGAGTGTGTGACAGCACCCCAGCCAGAGTGAGGGGCTGTCCTCATTGGCGGCGCAGGAGGCCCCTTAGGAGGGGATGCGGGACCCCACGCCGCGCAGCAGAGATGGGGCCGCCCTGAGGACGAGCGGGCGAGGGGCAGGTGGTGGGCAGCGCTGTCCGCAGGCACCCCATGCCGCCGCTCTGGCCCAGGCCCCGGCGGGTGCTTGGTTTGGAAACTGTTCTTCATCCTGTGTATATTGCACACTAATTGTAAAGGGGACGATTGAGAGGCTTTGCTGGATTCAGTGTTGTCTCCAAACACTGTCATCACCCCAGAAGACACCCCAACACCCATTAAGCAGCCACTCCCATTCCTGCAATCCTCGCCCCAGCCCCTCCCCTTACCGCCTTCCCAAAACAGAACAGTGCCAACCTGGGGGTGCCTGTTCTGGACAGTCCTGGGAATGCAGAGCCTCCAGGAGCCTTTGTGTGTGGCTGCAGATTTGTCTTCACACCTTCTCGGGTTCTCCTTGTCTGTCGGGCCCTTCCTCCCGGCGCCCTGCTGTGTGCACACCAGTGTTATGCTTTTATTGGGTGATGGGCGCTTGAGATGTGTCCATTTTTTATCTAACGTGAGTCAGGAGTCTGATGCCCTTACAAATGACCGGCCTCTCAGATGAGCACGGACAAGTTTGTCTTTCCCATATTTCTTGCAATTCCTCCTGTTGGACAGGTTTGTCTCCTTGCACTCCCAGGAAACAGCAAGCTGGGGCCCACTCCCTCCCCCTCTCCATCCCCCTCCCCTTTGCAGACCCTCACCCTCTTCCCCTTTTTCCTGCCGCAGGGGACCACCTGCTGGAGACCAGCTCCAGCTAGAAGTCCTGTCAGGGATCTCAGAAAGGAGAGGACGGGAGTGGGTGAAGTTTTTTTTTTTTCCGGAGGGCTGAGGGGAAGTGGAGCGAGGTAGAAGTGAGGTAGACACAGACACTCTCTCTGGTGCAAGTATCTCCTGCTGAGGGTCTCAACGGGTCTTTATTTATACCTTAAGGCCAGCGGTGAGATTAGGGTTTTTATTTATACCTTAAGGCGAGCGGTGGGATTACATCAGCGTAAGCACTGAGCAGAGCAAAGACAATCAATACATATTTTCTCATGAACACACAAAGACCCTCTTGATCTCATACTACAAAAAGACCCTTCTTTAATCTGATTAAGAAATTCAACAGGGGGCCTCCCTGGTGGGCAGCGGTTGAGCGCTGGGTTGTGAAGCTGCCCGCGGCCTCTGCAGCGCCGGTTCGATCCCCGGCTGCTCCCCGGCCACCGGAGGAGGGTCCCACATGGCGCGCAGACCTCTCCTGCCGCCCGCTGCTCCCCTCAGCAGTGTCCTTCGGTCCTTCTGCCTGCTCTGCTCCCCGCTCTGGCTCTGGTGAATCCTCTCACCCTCCCACGCTTCTGCCTGTACCCGGTGCTTGTATAAACAAACAAACAAACAAACAAATAAATAATATATGCCTTTAAAAAAAAAAGAAATTCAGCAGGGACAATGACTCTCCCAGGTACACGTCATATTCTAACATAACCCATTGTCTAAGACAGTACAATGCTCAGTAACAATCAATCACCCTGTCCAGCCTTCCTGATTTGGGAGTGGACGTGAAAGTCATTGTTATGCTGAGTTACTAAAATCAACCCATTCCCTAGCACCCAGTTCCTCTAGCCCATTATCAACGACTTCAAAGTGATCTAGAGTAACTCATCCATACCGTCTAGTTCTACAGAAATCTAACTTTTAACTAGAAATACCGAACCTCCGCACACCCTGCCAACTGTTGGCCTTTCGCATACACCAGGCGATGTACTGTTGCCGCAGACAGGTGCCCCCCAGGTTAGGCTGAGGTTTCCCAGCACAGCGGGTTCAGGGCGGCTTGTTCTCTGCAGTTCTCAGGGCCAAAACATTTCTATCCTAACTTTATCTTTAACGATAATTGTCACCTGGGTCCGAATTAGGTTTTCACAGGCCAATGAATAACTAACTTACTTCAGCACTAACCAAGAACAAAGAGGAGAGCTTGAGCAGGCGTTGCCATGGAGACTCCCTAGTTCAGAGCTTCTTTGGGAAGTGCAAGAACTCCCTTCTGGGAAGTACAACTTTCCCTCTTCCAGGGAACACAGGAACTCCCCGCTTCTCGGGAGTCTCCCCCAATGCCTGGACCTTGTCAAGAGACAGCGTGGGAGGCGCAGCCTGCCGCATTTTCCCTTTGTATAGAGACCCCTGCCCTCCGCCGGAGAGCAGGACGGTGGTCTGTCAGACATGAGTCCTGCAGAACTAGTGCGCTTTATGGTGACCAACACAAGAAAAATTACTTTGGGCTGGTCAACCAGGGGTGAAGCTTGGAAACCACGTTGGGCGCCAGGTGTTATAGGGCAGCCCCAATATTGAACAGGTGGCCTGGCTGGGGGTCCTCACCCGCGCGCTGACAAAGGACTTATGAATACTCCACGGCAGGCACACACTGAAGGTTCATAAAAGGTTTATTTACAAGGGAAAAGGAAAGAAGGAAAATGCACAACTCAGGGAGAAAACAGGGAAATAAAGTCTTTAATGCGTCCTACCCGATCCGCCGACCTGGAAACCCAAAGTCACTCTCCGAGCTGGCCGGACGCTGCGAGCCGGCGGGGAGCCAAAATGGGGGACCCCCCAAAGCCCACGTGTCTGGCTTTATCCCCACCTGGCTGCTGAACCCCACCCTCAGGTCCCAGCCCCCTTCCCTTGGGTGGGGATGGGATGTGTCTCTCCCAGTGTCCTGATGGCTTTGGCCTGGGGTGGGGGTGGCGTCCACGAAGCCCGTGTGGGATCAGCTTTGGGACAGCCTTTCCCCCCTGACAGTTTGTCCACAAAGTCATCCCCTTTCCTTTTCCTCAAACTGTTTCCTTCCATGGCTGAGGGAAACGGAGGCTGGCGCGGGGCGTCCATTCTGTGAATAAACGTAGGTACGAGTTTGTGCTGCATGTGCTTTCCTTTTTGATGGATGAATGGGGTTGCATGGGGAGCCCCCTGTGCCCTCGGATGGGGGGTCGGTATGTGCGCTGCTCCACCGGACCAGCTCGTGGGGAAGGGAGGAAGTTCCTCCGGCGTCTGTCTGTCCATCCACGCTGTCTTTACTGCTCAGCTCCGGGCAGCTGCGGGGGGGGGGGGGTGCGGGGGGGATGGTGTTGGGGCGCCCTCAGTGACCCGAGCGGGTCGGGAGCCCCCGCAGCGAGGAGCAGCCCTGCTCGCAGCCGTGGGGAGGCTCGGCTGTGGGGCGCGGGGAGGGGAGCTGAGGCGCGTTTGTGGGGCGCGCAGCCCGGGTGTGGGGCGCTCCTCGGGGTCCCTGCCGTGGGGCCTGGCGGGCCCCGGGGCTCCGCCGCCGACTGCGCGCGCCTCTGCGCGGAAACAGCGGGTGCGAAGCCCGCGGCGCCCTCCCCGCGCCCCCCGCGAGGACGGCCGGGCCCGGCCCGGGCCGCCCTCCCCGGCCCGCCCGCTCCCAGCCTGCCCCGCGCCGGCCCGGCGGCGTCGCGCGCGGCGGTTGCCTAGCGACCGGGCTGCGCCGGAAGCGGGGCGGGACTTCCGGGGCGCCGGTTGCATCATTCTCCGGGACGCCGGCCGGACGCGCGAGTCCGCGATGGCTGGTTCCTCCGGGGAGCAGGGTGAGCGCGCGGGGCGCGGGGGCGCGGGGGCGGGGGGCTGGGGGGGGGCCGGCCGGGCGGGCTCCTCACCGCGCGGCGCCGATCCGCGGGAGCCCGCAGCCCCGCCGCCTCTGCCGCTCCCGGGGGTGCGGCTCCTGCGCCGGGAGGGGGGCGCGTGGGGCCCCCGTGTTCCCGCGGCTCCCGGCCTCCCCCCTGCCCCGGGGTCGTGGGGTCGGCGGCGCCGGCGCGGGTTGGGGCTCCCTGGGCGGCCGAGGAATGAATACGGCTCCGCACCCGTGAAAGGGCCGGGGTTGCAGGGAGGCTTCCGAGCGCGGGTCCCCAAGTAGCACTTTGGGGCGCCCTGGGCAGACCGTCGTGGCCCCGCTTCATTGCCGCCCAGGGCCTCTGCCCAGCTGGTGGGCACCGCCACCAGCCGGCCGACCCGGGCACCCTCCGGCCAGACTGTGGCTGCGCCTGCGCTCCTGTCTGGAGCTGACCCTCTGGGCTGCCGAAGTGGAGGCCTGTTGGGATTCTGGGGGCTCCCACCCCCGGGGTGACACAGTGGCTGGGGAGGCACCAGATGACAGGCCTGCCCGCAGCAGGAGTCCCTGGAGTCCCGGCTTCCGGGCACCGCCTTCCTTGCACCAGCAGCAGGTTGCCCATCCCCGCCTGCCTGGGCGGGTGGAGCCTCCCGGAGCATTTGACAACAGGCTTGGTGGGTCCTGGGCCCGTAAATGACAGTCAGGGTGCAGGGGCCTCCGGATCCGCAGGGTCTGTCAGGGTGCGTGTGTCGCTCCACAGCACGACCTTCCAGCACAGGCTGCCGGGGCCTTTCTGTCTCTGGAGAACCCTGGGGTTGAGAGCTCTTCTTTCATGACTCGTCCAGGAGCCGGGCCAGCTTCCTCCCGCTCTCCCACAGTGGGGACGTGGCCCATGAGCCTCTGCTCTAGCAGTGCCAGGCATACCCCTCCTCAGGGTGCAGGTGCTTGGATGTGCTGCCCGCGCCAGCAGACTGTCCACGGTGCAGGCCTCAGATGTCCACTCGTCTACACTCAGGGAGGAGGTGAAGCACTCGCTGGTGTCCCCACGGCTGCAGAGGCAGGGATGCCACTTGTCACGCAGCGGGTGGGGAAGGGAACTGGGTGCTGGTCAGAACGGAAGGCCCGTGGCAAACGCGGGAAATTTGAAATCCCACGTGGAAACAACATGTCTGCTCTCAAGGGAAGTTGCCACTGAGCGGCTCGGGTGGCTCACCTAACTGGACCCGTCGTGTTCACTTGTCAGGAAGTGCCCCTGCGCGCTTGCTCTGCCAGGGGCCAGGCCAGACCAGGCCAGGAGATGCACCAGCGAGCCTCCTGGTCTCTGCCCCTCAGCGGGCGCGTTAGGAAGCGGAATCCCACTACGCAGAGACTACAGGGCCTCCGGGGGTGCCGCTGCCTGTCCCTTGCTGCTCACTTCCTGGTGAGTGTGCTGCTGGGTCGGCCCGTCCCGCCAGACGCCCCAGAACCCAGACCCCCTTCCCTCTGTGGCTCCACAGCCCGCCAGCACCTCGCTGGGTCCTCGCTGCCAGCCGCCCACAGGAGATGGAGAGCAGAGGCGGGCTCCAGGGCCAGCATGCCAAGCCCAGCCTGGGAACCCAGGGGTAGGGGGCCATCTGGTGAGCCCCTGCACTCAGTCTCCTGAGGGGTGGCCACTGGACCTGGGGAGCAGCCACTGTCCTGAGGTGGGAGGTGGAGGAGGCCCAGAGACCGCGCAGGGCCCATGCGGGCGCGCGCTTGGGTCCAGTCCCGCCTTCAGCCTGGGAAGACCACCTGCCGCCTGGCCCACGCGGAGGATGGACGGGAGAGGAGGGGACAGGCAGGGCACAGGGACAGAGGCCGGACCCTGGGGGCTAAGGAGGGCGTCGGGAGCCTGAGCCTGGGGGAGGAGGCCCTAGATTCTGGAGATGATTGGCACTGCCATGGGTGGTGCAGAGCAGGGGTGCACGCTCCTGACTGCTCCCCAGGATTCACATGGGCAGGACGTACATCGGGGAGCATAGGCGAGCCCCTGGACCTGCAGGGGGCACGGCTGGAGCAGCTGCAAGAGCGTTTCCAAAGGCGGCAATGCCCGGGTCAGGGCACGACAGGGTGAGGATGCCTGCAGGCCCACGCTCAACGGGGCCCGGCCGTGCGGGGCAGACCCCACAGAGCCCCGCTGGTCTGGGGAATAGAAGAGCCTGGCGGGGTGCACTGCCGTGAGCAGGCAGCGTGGGGGGGTCTGAGCACCCTGAGGCCCCCAGTGACGCCGGGGCTCTCCTGTTGTCCCCGCCACCAGAGGTCCTGACTCAGGAGACCTCAGGCGGGTGCTGCCGCTGCCCGGGCCCAGCGGGTGGGCCGCTGGGCTCCAGGCAGGAGGGGCAGCAGCGCCCTGAGCTTGGCTTCAGCTGCGAGCGTTGGGGCCTGGCGGCGGGACCGGCGGCTGACCCTGCTGCGAGGTCGCCGGTGCCCGCGTGGCTGTCACCCGCGAGTGGTGTAGGCCCCATGGAGGACGCGCCCCGTCTGGGGTTCTGCCTGTGCCCGAGGCACCTGCAGGCTGGCCTGGCGGTGGACACGGCCTCTGCAGGGACACATGCTGGGGCTCCAGCCTCCCGGGTGCAGACGGCTGCCTGGCCCGAGCCCACGGCCATGAAAGCCGACCTAGTTTTACCTTCCCTCCCCCGCCTGGACGCTGTCGCCTGCGGTGCGTCCCCCACGGGCTCCTTCCCGGCGGGACAGGGCACTTAGGGCGGCGACGCGGCCGCCTCCTCGGCCCAGGGTGACGCTGCCCGCATCTGGGCCGGCCGGGCGGCCCCATTAAAGCGTCTCGGGCGTGAGCCAGCGCCTGCCGGTTTACGAGGCATAAGTGGCAGGGCCGGCCTGGCTGGGAGCCCAGCTCCGCGTCGGTGGGCACCCCCGCTGCCCCACGCCGCCCCGGGGCCCTCCGCCGCGTGCCTGGCACTCCCAGGCCGCCCTGTTGGAGTGTTTTATGTGCAAGTCTCGTAAAAGCGGTGCTAAAAGCCACACAGGCCTGCAGTGGGGATGCGGGCGGTGTGGGGAAAAGGGAACGGACTCACCTGTGCCGCACCTGTGCGGGCCGGGGCGCCCACAGGGCTTCCTGGATGGGGGCCGCATCTGCTGGAGAGTGGTCTCTGTGTGCTGCTTTGGGGTGCGGGTGGGGTCCCGGAGTCAGTGGCGCCTGGTGCCGACCGCTGCTCCCTCCGCTCCCTCCATCCTCTTTGGGCACAAGGGACCTTGGAGACGGAGAGGGAGCTGGACGCGGCGGCGGCCGGTACACGGGGTGCTGCACGGCGCGCCCTCGCCCTGCGGTCAGCGGGTGGCCAGGAGGTGCCAGGCTGAGGTCCAGACCTGGGGGGGTGTGCTGGTGACTCTCGGGGGGTAAGAGAGCTCAAGCGTTCAGAAACGTGCCGTGGCGAGAGAGAAAGCAGGAAGGGGGGTGGGGTTCCGGGGGTGGGTGGCCATTTGGAGTACCATGGGGCCTCATGGCCAAGGGGAGCCCCGCAGAGTCCTGAGCAAGGGAGGGAACCTGGCTGCATCTGGGGGAGCACTCCTGGCAGGCAGGGGAGGGTGGCAAGAGACCCCAAAAGGGAGCAGGCCGGCTCTCGTGGGGTGGGGGGCCCTGTGATAGAGCGAGGCAGCAGCTGAAGTCGGGGTGGGGGGTGCCGCCCAGGTGTGAGGACGCGGTGTGTGTGTTGGGGGTGATCTTGCACCGCTCAGCCGACCACTCAGCAGGCTGCTGCCACATGGGGACTGGGGTTGCACCTGCACCCTGGCCTCCCGGTCAGTGATGGGGCGGGTGGGCCCGGCCGGCTGCGGGGGCCTGTGCTCGGGCTCCGTCTCCGCGGAGGCGCTGCCCGGCTGAGCGCGGGGCCCTGCGGGTCCTGTGGGTCTCGCCCCCTGCCCCTGGTGGGAGGTGCGCGCTGCGGGGTGGTGGGGCGGCGTCTGCTCCGCTTGACGCGAGGGCCGTGTGAGCAGGACCGAGTGCTTTAAAGGGAGCGGGGTGGGGTGTCTAGCGAGCGAGCGCGGCCTCCTCTCTCCAGTTCTAAGCGTCCTCGGCGCCCCAGACCCTCAGCAGCCCCTCCCGCCGCCCCGCCTCCCCGTCTCGCGGCAACAGCAACGGCGGCGCAGGGCGCTGTGCCCTGACTGACCCGCGCTCTGTCTTTGCAGCTCCCGGCTACAGGGCCATCCTGGCCATTAGTGACGAGGCCGCCAGGGTGCGGGCGCTGAACGAGCACCTCAGCACGCGTAGCTATGTCCAGGGGTACTCGCTGTCCCAGGCGGACGTGGACGCCTTCAGGCAGCTCTCCGCCCCGCCCGCTGACGCACGGCTCTTCCACGTGGCAAGGTGGTTCAGGCACATAGAGGCTGTCCTGGGCGCCCCCCGCGGCCAGCCCGCTGCGCCCCAAGCAAGTGAGTAGCAGGGCGGGCGCCCCAGCCCTGAGCACGCTCCGCCGGCGGCCCTCCGCGTCAGGCCACCCCGGCGCCCGCGGGTGTGTGGGCCGCGTGGGCTGACCCGCCCTGCGCTAGGAGCAGGCTCTGAGCAGGGCCTGGCGCCTGTCGCAGCGGCGCTGCCCAGGCAGGGACCGGCCTCCTGAGCGGGCCTCCTGGGGGTCCACCGAGCAGCGGCGCCCGTGCCGTGCCAGCTGCGACTTGGCTTGGCCTTTTCTTCATTCCTGCCATGAGATGGTGGTACCTTGGCCACCAGAATTGGCACGTTAAGTCCTCAGGGAGTTGACCTTGAGCTCAGCTCTGACGCGACGTTGGCCGGCGCTTGACCTCCGCACGCGGGGGGCATGTCGGTGACAGTGTGGCTCTGGTTATTTCGGGGGGTACTTCTGGAAAGCCTTGGGACTTGGTGGTGTCCCCGATGAATCCCAGGTGCGGGCCCGAGATGGGCTGGAGCCCTCCATCCCTCCTGAGACTCTGGGTTCCCCCATCCTGTGCAGGAGGGGCCTAGTGTCGGGGGCCCTGCCCATGGAAGCCTCCTGGGGGCTCACCCAGCCCTGCGTGTCAGGCACTGGGACCACCCATGAGGCCTGTCCTAGGGCGGAGAGGGCGGAGCGTTGTTCCCCACGCGGGCGTGCGCCTGGTTGCCCTGATGCCGTGCTGCAGACGCCTGTCCCAGCTTAGGGTGGGGGCACTGCTGGCATCATCGTCACCTCCCTGCCTGGCCTGCGCCGTGGCCCATGTGACGTCGGCTGCGTAGACCCTTCTCGCCCAGGGCCCAAGTCCCCCTCCCAGACACGCCCTGCAGGTGGGATCGAGGGGGACTGTGCTCAGCGAGCCATGCGCACGCCTCACCTGCAGCTCTGTAGGTGAAGGTGTGTCTGCTCCACCCGCACCTTCCGACCGGGTGGAGGCCTCGGCCAGCGCCCGCCGCCCCCTTGGCGTGACTGAGGCAGGGAGGGAGGCCCCTGTGCTCCTTCCCGCCCCTGCACCCTGGTGAGGCTTCTCCTGTGGTCAGATGCAGGCGCAGCACCCCAGGGGACGTGGGTGCTATGCTGCCTCCTGCCACCCTTGCTCCTCAGCTCCCCCAGGCCTGTGTGTGCCCCGTCACCCGAGGGGTTGCAGCCTGGGCGCCTGAGCAGAGGCGCGGTTGGGTTCAGACAGGAAGCCATGCTCGGGCCGCCACACGGGCCTGGGGACGCGTCCGCGCTGCCAGGCGGTGCTGCGCAGGCTGGGGCCCTTGCTGAAGAGTGAGCCCGTGTGCGGGGCGCCAGTGACCCTTGGCTCCCTGAGCGGAGTCTTCTGGCCGCCTCCCAGCTCCCCCTCGCAAAGGGAGTCTGCACGAGCTGCTGTCTCAGGCCGGGTCAGCTGTGTGACGGGGCCGTCCTGCCTCTGGGCTCTCGGTGTCCTGTCCCGCTGTCTCGAGGGGGAACCCCGAGCCCTTTGAGTAGCGGGGCCGGTGCTGGGGCAGGGGCAGCTCTCGCGGTGTCCCCGTCCCCCACCCCCATGGCAGCTCCTGTTGTGGCTGGAGCCCCAGTATCTGAGGGAGGGAGGAGCGAGGGCTCCTCGCGGGCCGTCTGCTGCTTTAGATCGGGCCTGGGACTCACGGGGTTTCAGTGCGCACTTGATGGCCGAGAAAGATGTAGGGTTCTGTGCACTCACATCTGGGGCTGCCTGTGAGGCTGGGGACACTGACACGGAGGCAGGAGCTCCTGTTGGGAGCCGGTGCCCCTCTGCTTCCCGGCTGCACCCCTGCACAGTCACACAGCAGGTGACTCCCCGGCCCCTAGGGGAAGTGGCACGTCGTGGCTGGAGGACCCGGTGAGGCCTGTGGGGGCAGCGGGCAGCCGAACTGCCACTCGGGGCCCATCGGGGTGAGGTCCTGGGTTGGGGCACAGAGGTGGCGAAGTGGGCACAGTGCTGCTTCTGGGGAGGGGTGGACAAGGGGCAGAGCTGGGCTCCGGGCTCCTGAGCAGAGTCCAGGGGTAGCTGAATGTGGACAGCCGCCCCTGAAGTGGGAGTGACCCTCTTTGAGGTGGTTCCTCCGCAGAGACAGAGCCGCGTCCTTAGGCTCTCAGCACAAACCGCTCGGGGTCACGAGCAAGTGGCAGGGACGGGGCGGCTGGGGGACCGCTGGGCTGGGGGAGGGAAACAGCTGGACGAGGGACGACTTTCGAGGACCCACAGGCTCTTCTCGGGGTGTCAGGACCCGGTGTGGAGTTGGAGGCCAGGAGCAACAGTGTCAGAAGCTGGGGGGTGCGGGGCAGGGGCCAGAACGGAGGGAGAGTGGCCACGTCTGGTGGGGAGGCCGAGCTCACGGACCCGCTGCCGTGGCCGGGGACGGTGGGTGCTGGCCTGGCTTCTGTGCCCCTCCCGTACATCCCAAACTCTGTTTTGGAATGTGGAGCCCTTGAAGCCCTCCGGGCAGGGCAGCGCACCCCAAGTGCTGCACACGGTGGCGGCAGCATGGGGGTCTCGGGCAGGCGGGCCTGGGGTCCCTGTGGCAGAAGGGCGCTCCCCGCCCCAGCGCGCTACTCTCGTTCCCAAAGCGCCCCTGTGACCCCGGCTCACATTCCGTGGAGCCGCCCCACCCACCCTGACGGCGCCCTCTCCGCCCTCCAGCAGGTAAAGGCCGGCGCACGCAGCCGCCCTGGGCTCCTCCGGCTGGGTCCGAGCCGTGCAAGCTCCGCCTGTACAACAGCCTGACGCGGAACAAGGTAAGGCGGCCACGCGGGCAGAGGCGACCCCTTGGCCCGTGCCCCTCACGCGTGACTGCCGGGTCTCACCACGTCGGGCTTCGCTTCCCCGAGCCCAGCCCTGGGATCCTCCGGCTGCTCCCCGTGCCGCCTGCCCGGACCAGGCCGGCCTCTGGGGCTCCCCAGAGCCGTGCCGCTGCCATGGGGTGGGCACACCCAGAGGCTCTCGGCCCCGCCCCGAGAATGCGGTCAGGCATTGGCGGCCTCTGCTGGGAGGGCATAGTGAGGCTTGCCCGTGTGCTCTGGCTGTGTGGCCGGCGCCCGCCGAGCATTGAGAAGGGCCAACTGGGCGTTCACCCGCAGAGACGGGCTCCCGGCTGGGCCTAGTAGATGCCCGTGTGCCCCTCTGGCAGGTCTGAGGCTGTTGACCCTGCGGTGGGGTGCGGCGGGGTGAGGTCTCAGTCCTGCCCTCCAGCAGTGAGGGCTCCCTGGCTGCCCCCCATCTGCGCCGCCGCCGCCCTGGGAGCAGTTGGAGGGCGCCCGTGCTCGGCAGGGCCGGGGCTGTCGCTGTGACTGGGTCAGGGGCCTTCAAAACGGACAGTGGCTTCCTCCCCGCGGACCCAGGGACACGCGGCCTGGCCGCCCAGCCCTCCTCCACCCAGGAGAGCGGCCCTGGAGTCTCGTTGCCCCACCCCCAGCCCCACCCCGCGACCCTTTCGGGGAAACTAGGCTGGCCTAGGCGAACGCAGCGCTGCCGTGCGCGCCTGACGCGTCTTCTGCTTGCCCTTCCTTCCAAACGCAGGACGTGTTCACCCCTCAGAACGGGAGGAGGGTGACGTGGTACTGCTGCGGGCCGACCGTCTACGACGCGTCTCACATGGGACACGCCAGGTAGGCGCGGGGGGGGGGGGGCTCGAGAGGAGGCTCCTCATCCCGTTCACTGGCAGAAAGTCCCACGTGGCTCAGCCCTTCTGGGGCGCGCAGGCCCATGGCCGAGGCGCGGCATCCAGGCCATCCCAGGCGTTCCGGCGGCGGGGCTGGCTATGGGGTGCCGGGGCCCCTCCGCGTCCCTGCGGTGCCAGCGCGCCTCTCGCCGCTCTAGGTCCTACATCTCCTTCGACATCCTCAGGCGCGTGCTGAGGGATTACTTCAAGTTTGACGTCTTTTATTGCATGAACATCACAGACATTGACGACAAGGTAAGGGGGTTCGCGAGGCTGAACCGCAAGCACAGTGGGGCAAGGCGTGGGGTGAGTGCATAGGAGGACGTCGGCTTTGTGGCTCAGCCAGTGAGCGCGTTCCGGCCTCCCGGACGAGCCGGTCTGGTTCCGGGGGGTGCTCCAGCGTGGCCCAGTGGCAGCTGCTGTTGGGGCCTGCACATGGGGAGCGAGGCCGGCAAGCGCTGGTGGTGCCTGGGTCTTCAGGAAGGACGTACCCCAGGGGGTTCTGAGCGCGGCGTGTGAGGAAGCTGGGTGCTGGGCTTCCCCCCACAGAAAGGCCAGGGTGGCAGCCTCGCGGGAGGGGCAGCCAAGTCAGTGTCCAGACTCCTGCCACACACTGGGGGCCACGGTTGCCCCCCCCCCCGGGTGACCCCAGCCCCCTTCTTATCGTCAGATCATCAGAAGGGCCCGGCAGAACTACCTGTTTGAGCAGTACCGGGAGCAGCAGCCCCAGGCCGCCCGGCTCCTGGAGGATGTCCACGCTGCCCTCAAGGTGGGTCTGCGCCCTCCCCGTCCAGAGCACTGCTGTCCCCTCAGTCCTGAGCCGTCCCCAAGGGGTCTCCCAGGTGGCGGCCACGTGTTCCACTGTGGGACCAAGGGGCACGGACCCCACCCTGAGCCCCGGGACCCCCGCTTTGCTGCGCTGCCTCTAATCCAGGTCTGCCTCCCCAGCCGTTTGCAGTGAAACTGAAGGAGACCACGGATCCCGACAAGAAGCAGATGCTGGAGCGGCTCCAACAGGCAGTGGAGCTCGCCGCCCGGCCCCTGGAGACGGCCCTGCAGGCCCGCCTCTCCGCAGAGGAAGTGCACAGCCGAGCCGAGGTAGGTCACCCCGCGCCCCCCACAGCCTGCCCTCAGGTCAGGAGGGCACACGTGGAGTGGGGCGGCCTTCTCAGCACAGTACCCCAGCGCCCAGTGAACGCCCTGCTGCTGCTTTATGGTCCAGCTGGAGAAAGACAGGCGAGCGGTGAAAGTTGAACTGCGGGCCTGTGGGGGGCCCTGCTGGACGCGGGCCTGCGCTCGGCAGCCCCAGCCTGTGTCTCCGTCTCAGGCAGGGGAGAGCATGGGGAGCAGGGCGCTGGCCTCCCTGCTGGGCCACCGGGACCACCCCACGCCCTGCTCGCACCCAGACAGCCTTCCTGCTCAGGCGGCACCCCTGCTGCCCCCCAGAAGCTCAGTGTAAATTCTGCGGAACCCTTGGGGCCCACGCGTCCTGATGCAGCCTGAGAACATGCCAGCCCAGACCCCACTCGGGCGAACTCTGGCCCAGGAGACCCATGTGCCTGGTCGCGGGCGGCTGCTCCACTCTGGGGTAGGCCCGTGCGGGGCACTCGCCCGACAGCGCCACTCCGGGAATGTGTGCCCAGCTCTGCTGTCCTCGTCTCACGCCGTAGAACAGGCAGGACCAGAGCTTCCCATCGCCTCGCCTCTCGGCCAGCTCAGCGCCCTCAAAGCCTGTCCGTCTCCCCCGCTGAAACCGTCCCCACTAAACACCCCCACCCCCCCATCTCTTTGTGGACTTACGACTCGGGACTCCTGTGCCCCCTGAGCCCCTCCACGTTGCGCCGGTCGACAGGCCTGGCTTCCCGAGGCTTCTGTGCAGCTGGCACCCACGGCTCGGCGCAGGCTCCTAACCCACGGCCACGGCCCTCCCCCCGCGGCGTGCAGAAGCGCATGCGGTCCCTTGGTTGGGCCTTCTCTGGCTGCTGGGTCCGAGTGGGCAGCCCCAGAAACTATTCTTTGGGTTTATTCTGCTCTTTTTTGTCTCATTTTTGGACTTCTCGTTTTCTGGTTTAAATTTTTTTTTTTTTTAATATTTAAGGGGCAGCTTTATTGGGTAAAGGGCCGGAAGAGTAAAAGACACTTGCGTGGACACCAGCGGGCAGGAAGGGCCACCCCGAAAGGGACAGGTTTGCCGAGAGAGAGGCCTGCAGGGTCGCAGGCAGGGACCTTGAGCAGAGCCGCCTCCGCTGAGGGCTCAGTGAGAAGTCCCGGCAGGTGCAGGGCCCGGGCGGGCAGAGGCCGCTGCCCTGCGGAGGGAGAGTTGGCGAAAGAAGCCCCTGCACAGGCCCAGGTGGGCAGAGGGACTGCTGCTCTGGTTTAAAATTGTAGAACCATGGATTTTTCTCTGAATTATTTTTACTATTTATGTGTATTTTGAGACTCACTTTTCAACAATTTTGATTTCCATTTTGAGTTTTCAACCCCAGGAGTCCTCTGGAAACGTGTTCTTAATTTCAGAACAGACGCCGTTTTTTGAGTGGGCCGTTTTCACTCGCACGCTAACTTCCCGGGGGTCCGTGAAGACGGCCCCCCCAGTGCGGGGAGACTGGGGCACCTTTGAGCTCGGGCACGGGCACGTTCTGTGCTGGAGGAGACCCGACCCCCAGTTGTGGCTGCAGAGTCCTGCACACTAGCCCTGCTGCGGACGCCCTGCCTGCTTGGCCGGCTCTTCCACACGGGCGCTGTCCCGCAGCGCAGGCCAGAGCCTCCCTCTGCTGGGGGATCAGCCCTTCTCCCTGCCCCGTCGCTGTTTTCCTGGCGTGTTTTGATTAGGATGCTCAGGCTTCGGTGATCTGTCTCCGCGGTGGGCTGAACCTTCTTGTGCCCGGGCCTGCTCTGTGGCCGACACCGCGAGCCCACCCCGCCCGCTCGGCAGGCCGGTGCACCTGGGGCCCTGCGCGTCTGTCTGGGCGGGTCAGGGTCTCTGCACCCCGTCTCCCTCTGTGGTCTTTGGGGCAGCAGCTCGCCCAGGCTCCTATCCCAATTTTGTGGCCTGGAATTGAGGCGGCTCCTGTTGCCCACACTCGGCGCCGCGGCCCTCGGCCCCGCCCCGCCTGTCTTTGACCGGCGCCGTCCTCTTTGCTTCTCTGCGGGTTTTCTGCTTCTGGCCGTTTGTCTCGTTCCTCGCGACCGGCATTGTGGCCGTTTGCTCTCCTTTGCTGGTTCAGAAGATCCTGTTTCTGTCCGTCTAGAGCTCAGCTCTCAGCACGCCTCTGCCGGGGGACTCCCGGGGCGCCCGCCCTCCTCGTGGCCCCTCCCGAGCCCTGGCGTCGGGCTGCCCCTCTGAGCGCGCCTGCTTAGCGCCTCCGCCTGCCCTGTCCAGCTCCCCACGCTTGCTCCACCTCCTTCCCTCCCCTGCTGCCGCCCCACGCGTGGGCTGCACCCCTGCCCATCTCCAGGTATACCCTGAAAACACTCGCGTTCTCCACGGGAGAACCTCAGGGCGCCCAGGGTGGGTGCTCAGCCGCACCCTGCACGTCACGGACCACCTTTCCCCCGCCGACGTGGGGCGTTCTCCCTGGGGGCTGGCCCAGCCTGTGGCTGCTCTTCCTCCAGGTGTTGCTGGAACAGGCAAAAGACCTGCTTTCCGACTGGCTGGACTCCACGCTTGGCAGTGAGACAATGGACAATTCCATCTTCTCCGAGCTGCCCAGGTTCTGGGAAGGGGAGTTCCACAAGGACATGGAAGCCCTGAATGTAAGTGGTGGCACCGGCCCTGCCCAGCTGGCGCCCCCTGGGCCCAGCGCCCATAGCCACGCTGCCCTTCGGTCACCCGGCAGAAACCGGGTACAGCTGGCCCACCTGCCCCTCGCGGGGTGGATCGGGTGAGCTGGGCTGGGCACAGGGCTCGCGGGCGGCCTTTGTGGTGCTGCCCTTAGGGTGCCGCCCAGTGCTGGTGTTCCCAGGAGGAACCAGCTTTCTCGCGGCACCCTCAGGTCCTGCCCCCAGATGTCTTAACCCGGGTCAGTGAGTACGTGCCGGAGATCGTGAACTTCGTCCAGAAGATTGTGGACAACGGTTACGGGTAAGGTCCAGGCCCTCCGCGGGGCTACGTACCTGTTGGGAGGCTTCTGGGGAGTGTGCGTCCCCCCAACCCATGTCAGGAAAGCCTGTGCCTTGGGTGCCACTGCCGGGGGAGATCCCTGGTACCTGTCACAGCGCTCAGGCCGGGCACTTACACCAGGGCCTGCCCACCCGAGGGCAGGGTCAGCGGCTACTGTCCTCCGAGGGCTGAAGATCAGGGCCCATCCCCGGTCCACAGCTGGCTTTGCAGCCACCTGCCCTCCCGCCTCTGCGCTCATGCCTGCCCCCGCCTCCAGGCAGCAGGACGCTCCTCAGCAGGAGTCGGGCCCCCTGAGGCCTCCTTCCCCTGAGCTCCAGCAAGGTCCTGTCCACACGGGGCTGCATTCCGGGCAGCTGGGGCGCAGGTCCACAGCAGCCGAGTCAGGGCATGTGAGGGAGCCCATGGCCTCCCCATCCCAGCACCCCCTTCCACGTTTCCTGCAGTGGCCGTGTCTGTGATCGCAGGGGCACAGGGCTGCTGGGCGCCGGCCATTCAGGGTGCCCCTTTGTGGACCCTGATCACCTGGTCGTCATGCTTGCCCGCTTCTCCTGTCTCCCAGCTACGTGTCCAATGGGTCTGTGTACTTTGACACCGCCAAGTTCGCCTCCAGCGAGAACCACTCCTACGGGAAGCTGGTGCCGGAGGCCGTGGGGGATCAGAAGGCCCTGCAGGAAGGGGAAGGTAAGCGGGGAGCTGGGCAGGCCCACGGCCGGTGCCCACGGTCACTGGATGTGTGGTGGGTCGCTCAAGAGGATTTGAAGGATTTACACCCTTAGATCGTGAACTGTAGTATTTTTTCCAGAGCATAAAATGAGTCAATGCAACAGTCCTGGAAAGCATGGGAGCGGGGGCACCCCGGGTTGGGGCACTGCATGTGGGCACTGGCGCCAGGAGCACGTGCAGGTTGGGGCGGGCTGGGGGCAGGGGTCTCTCTGGCCCCGATGCAGCGATGCGGGCACAGTCTCCCAGGGCATTGAAGTGATTGCGCACGGCCGTTTAAGGCCGAGCGCCTGTGAGCAGAGGGGAGGCCAGCCCGGGGCGGCGACAGGCCCAGGAGACCTGGAGACTGGCCCCAGCCAGGCGGGACACGGCCAGTGTGGACACGGAAGGAAATTGCATAGTTTTTGTTTTTTTCAATTAAATCTTTAATGAGATAAAACTGACATTGTGGGCCTCCCTGGTGGCACGGGGGTTAAGTCTCAGCACTGTGAAGCTCTCGGCAGCCACTGTAGTGCTAGTTCGATCCCTGGCTGGGGAGCCGATCCACATGGCGCAGCAGACCTCTCCTCTCTCCCGCTGCTCCCCTCAGCAGTGTATTTCAGTGGATCCACTGTTCTGCTCCGCACTCTGGCTCTGGGGAATCCTCTCACCCACCACACCTCTGGCCTGCACCCCAGCTCTTGTGTGCATAAATAAGTAAAATGAATCTTTTTTTTTTTTTTTTTTTAAGATTTATTTATTTATACAAGCACTGGGTATAGTCAGCAGGGCAGGAGGGTGAGAGGATTCACCAGAGCCAGAGCGAGGAACAGGCAGAAGGACTAAAATACACTGCTAAGGGGAGCAGCAGGCAGCAGGAGAGGTCTGCGCACCCTGTGGGACCCTCGGCGGCGGCCGGCGGGATCAAGCCGGCACTGCAGAGGCTGCGGGCAGCTTCGCAATCCAGCGCTCAACCGCTGCGCCACCAGGGAGGCCCCTAAAATGAATCTTTAAAAAAAAAACCTGACGTGGTAACGCACACACACCATGAGATGGTCACGCCGGATCCCAGTGTCCCCTCACGGCCCCCACGCGGTCATGGGCTCCCCTTTCTGCGTTTGGGGACTTTGAACATTTACCATCTGGGCATCTTCAAACACGTGGCGTGCTGTCCTGACATGAGTCACCTGCCAGGCGCGGATGCCCTGGCTGCCCTGCCGTGTTGCCCCGTGGCTGGGACACATCGTGCTCATTAGGGGCTGGGCCCATCAGGGGCTGGGCGCCGGGTCTGTGATGCGCCCTGTGGTGTTCACACGGTTGCCGGTCTCAGACTGCCCCTGGGTCGGGCACCCGCTGCACCTCCCGCCCCCACGGGTCGTGCCCTGGCACCTGAGGGACCGCTGTGGTGGACATGGGTACGAGAGCTCCCTGGGTCAGTCTCTTTTAAAGATTTATTTATTTATGCATACAAGAGCTGGGGTGCAGGCCAGAGGTGTGGGGGTGAGAGGGGAGACAGAGGGGAGTGGACCAGGCAGATCCACTGAGATACACTGCTGAGGGGAGCAGCGGGGAGACAGGAGAGGTCTGCTGGGCCATGTGGTCAGCTCCCTGGCTGGGGATCAAACTCAGGACACAGCGGCTGCCGAGAGCTTCATAGTGCTGCGTCTTAGCCCCTGCACCCCCAGGGAGGCTCCTGAGCACCTCTTGAGGCACCTGGGGCTCTTTGCTTCTTTAGAGAAATGTCCATTGGATCGTCTGCTCATTGTTCATCAGGCCATTGGCTGTGGTCAGCTGTGTCTGTTTCTGTGTCTGGCGATCACCCTGGCCTGAGCCCTCGCTGGCCCTGGGTGGGCCCTGAGGCCAGAGGGGTGTTGGGGTGGCCCTGGGGAACTGGGTGGGGCACGCCCAGCCCTCTGGGTGTGAGTTGCTGACCATGGAGCTTATGAAGGGGGGTGAACCAAGACCCTGGGGCCACCTGTCATGGCAAACCCTGTGCATGTGCAGTCAGTCAGCATGAGTGACCTGCTCCCCTCATGCCCACAGGCGACCTGAGCATCTCGGCCGAGCGCCTGAGTGAGAAGCGGTCCCCCAACGACTTCGCCCTGTGGAAAGCCTCCAAGCCAGGGGAGCCGTCCTGGCCCTGCCCGTGGGGGAAGGTGAGCCTGGGCCATGGGGCGCCCAGCAGGGAGGCCCTTCTGCCCAGCGACCTCAGACTCAAGTGTTGCACCCTCCACGCTGCTGCGACTGCGGCCTGCCTCCAGGGCCCCACCAGGGTGCCAGTCTCTGTCCGCTGCAGGGTCCGGGGAGCCCACAAGCTTGTTTTTCGTACCCTGGGGGGCCCCCTCCTGTCCAGCGACGCCCCAGGGCAGGGAGGGCCCCCTCCTCTCTGGCAATGCCGCCGTCATCGGGCTGTGTGACCCCCAGGGCCGCCCCGGATGGCACATCGAGTGTTCCGCCATGGCAGGCAGCCTCCTGGGAGCCTCAATGGACATCCACGGTGGGGGCTTCGACCTCCGCTTCCCCCACCACGACAACGAGCTGGCGCAGTCAGAGGTGGGTGGCAGCAGCAGGCGGCCCATGCGGCTGTGCGAGGTGGCAGCTTGCTTCTGAAGCCCAGCCCTCCTCCCGCTCGTCCTGGGGGGCCCAGGTCCTTGGTCTGCTTTCCGCAGGACAGCCTCGCTTCTGGCCGTCAGGCTGGATCCGAGCCACTTGTGCCGCCAGGCTCGCTGAGGGGGGCCCTCTGAGCCCCGAGTGCCTCTCCCAGGGAGGCCGCACCCCCGCACAGTGGGCGCTGTCCCCAGCACAGTGGGCGCTGTCCTCCCCTCCTAGGCCTACTTTGAGAACGACTGCTGGGTCCGCTACTTCCTGCACACGGGCCACCTGACCATCGCGGGCTGCAAGATGTCCAAGTCGCTCAAGAACTTCATCACCATCAAGGACGCCCTGAAGCGGCACTCAGGTAGGCGCCGCCTGGCCCCAGCCCTGAGCAGGCCACAGGAGGCGGCTGCCTGGCCTCACCGCTGTCTGTGCCCCCAGCACGGCAGCTGCGCCTGGCCTTCCTCATGCACTCCTGGAAGGACACACTGGACTACTCCAGCAACACCATGGAGTCTGCCCTGCAGTACGAGAAGTTCATGAACGTGAGTCCGCGTGAGTCCCTCCAGGGGGCGGCGGCTCGCCCCCGCCCATGGCCCCCGGTTCCCGGGGAAGGACGCCTTCCCTCCCCTCCCCTTCCGAGCTGGCCAAAGCCGGCCGGTGTCCATGGGGCTCCTGACCCCAGCCCCTCGGGAGAGCTGTGGGGGCCGCATCCTGTCCCCAGGGCACTTGGATGCTCCCTCCGCCGAGCCGCGTGCGGGCTGAGACGGCCCCCCCCAAGCAGAGCCTGTCCCGCCAGCCATGTGTGGACGCTCGAGCCTGCCTGAGGCCAGTCACAGTGGGCGCTGCTGCTCAGGTGTTTGCCGTGTGGAAGAAGCATCTAGATGCCGCTAAGCTGGTTTTTCTGACTGCAGGAGTTTTTCCTCAACGTGAAGGACGTCCTTCGCGCTCCCGTCGACATAACCGGCCAGTTCGAAAAGTGGGAAGACGAGGAGGTGGAGCTGAACCAGAGGTGAGAGGAGCTGCGTCGGCCAGGCCTGCGCTGCCGGTGGGGGGAGTCTGCGCCGCGCTCGGCTGACTGTCCCCTGCTGTCCCCTTCAGCTTTTACGACAAGAAGACAGCGGTCCACGAAGCCCTCTGTGACAACGTGGACACTCGCACAGTCCTGGAGGAAATGCGGGCCCTGGTCGGCCAGTGCAACCTCTACATGGCGGCCCGCAAGGCGGCAAAGAGGCGGCCCAACCGAGCCCTGCTGGAGAGCGTGGCCCTGTACCTCACCCACATGCTGAAGGTGGGCCGGGTGCTCCTGCTTGGGCCTCCGTCCTCCTCGTGAGGGTGGAACGCGCTGGGCCGTCCTTGTTCTCGGCCTCAGCCCCATCATGCCCTGGGGAGAGCAGGACAGGCCCACCCTGACCCTTGTGCGGAACACCAGGCTTCTGCAGGCGGCCTGTTGTCCAGTGGCCTCGGCCAGGGAGGGCAGGGCAAGCAGGCTGGTCCTGGAGCCGGTGGGTCCTCTTGGGCTGCTCCTCCGTCTGCCCTGGGAAGGCTGTCCATGCCGCCGCTCGCCCCTCCCGCCCAAGCAGCGTGGCTGTGCCCTGACCACCGCGCCTGTGTCACACACCTCTGCTTCTTTTTCTAGATCTTTGGGGCCATAGAAGAGGAGAGCCCCCTGGGGTTCCCTGTTGGCGTTGCCGGAACCCGCCTAAATGTGAGTCGTGTGTGCCCGGGCCTAGGCCCCCGGGTCAGCCTCTCATGCCCGCCACAGGGACACCCGCCTGCCCCTTGTCCCTGCTCCCTCGTTCTTCCTTCCGCTGCTGGCTGAACACCGAGGGCCTTGGGAGACAGTGGAGTCCGCCGGACTGGGCCGAGCACCATCTCAGGCGGGCCGGGGGCAGCAGGCGGCACCATCGGCCTCTGCCGCATGGGAGCCCTGTGACATCCTGGGGCAGTTTGCTGCTGTGCGTCTGTCAGCGCTTGGCACCGAGGTCACACGAGACGGGTGTCTCAGGCCGTGGCACACGCTGTCCCGGGCCCGCCGCCCCACGCTGACCCTGACTGCAGGGGGTGGCGCACGTTCACTCAGACGCCGCGTCCCCAGCCGCACAGACTGCGGGGCTCACCGGCAGGGCCAGGCGTCTCCCTGTCCTTGCACGGGGTGCAGCCCCACCTGAGTCCTCTCAGGCCCGGCCACCCTCCTCCCCGGCCAGAAAGGCCCTCGGCCGCTCGGCTAGCCCACCCTGGGAGCCCCAGCTGTCACTGAGGTGAAAATGGACCCAGAGCAAGGCAAAGGTGACCCGAGGCTGGGTCCCAGGGGTGGGGGGAGCACCCCCGCTGCAGGGTTCGTCCCGCCCTGAAGCCATGGCCTTCGGGAGGGAAGCCACGGCTCCTTTGTCTGCTTGTCAAGTGACACTCGGTGTGGCTTTTCCTCAGGAAAGGGGCCCTCCAGGCTAAAGGCGCGTGGCCTGCAGACTTAAGAAAATCTCGTTATGTTAAATGCCACCGCGGGGCGCTGGGTGCTGCGGCCGTGCGCTGCCAGTGGCCTCCGTGGCCCATGGGGGTCAGATCGTGGGGAATAAGCCACCAGCAGGCAGCACTGGGGGCCCGCGGGCTGCAGGACACAGCCACGGTCTGTGGCCATTCGAAGTTTGCCTCCGAGCCCAAACTGCTCTGGGGGGGCTGCAGGGGAGACACTCCCAGGCCTGAGCCACCCCAGCGCCCGAGCCAGCAGCCTGCGGGGGCTGCCCCTGGCCGAGGCTGGCAGAAGAAGCCCCGCCTTCAGCCCAGCAGGAACCCAGTCCTTTCCCACAGGCGTGTTCCCGCCACGGGCGCAGAACTGTTCATCCCCCTGGCTGGGTTTTGCACGGGGTGGTTATTTTGGCTGTTCCGTTGTTTGACAGTTAGATTAAGAGGTGGGGAGCCCCTTCCTCAGAGCCCAAGGCCCGGGTTTCTCGCGAGGTCCCTCCAGCCGGGGTCGGCCCCGCCGGTTTCCCGTCCAGCGGCGGACTCTGCGCCGGCTCCGTGGCCGCCTCCCCTCCCGCTGGCGTTAACCGGGAGCAGCCAGTGCGCGTGCCCCGGGTGGCCAGGGCGGAGCTGCTTGATGTGGGCCAGGCCCGGGCAGGGGGAGCTGTGGGGCCGCGGAAGGCGCCACCAAGAAGGCCGGGTGCGGCTTCAAGAGCGCTGCGCTCCCTGGTCTGAAGCGAGATGCGGCACCCGCACAACAGCGGGGCGACTTGGGGGGTGAGGAGCCCTCCTCGCTCGTCAGCCGGTCACCTGCACTGGGCGAGGTGTGACTCGGACGCCGGGGCGCTGAGGGTCAGGACAGCGTGTGTGAGCTCTGGGGTCCTCCGGCAGCCCGGCCCTGCCGCTCGCTGGGAGCCAGACGGGGTTTGGCTGGAAAGCAGGGGCGCGGGCTGCGCTCTCCGCGAACAGACCCTCCTTCCCTCTACAGCTGGAGTCCACCGTCATGCCCTACCTGCAGGTGCTGTCGGAGTTCAGAGAAGGGGTGCGGAGGATCGCCCGGGAGAAGAAAGGTGTGGCTGCGAGGCGGGGCAGCCCCGGCCTGGGGTCCCGGCGCGGGCAGCCAGAGCTTCTGGAGCTCTTGCTCTGCCCAAGGGTGTGCATTGGAGGGTGCACTCGGCTGTGGGGTCCCCTAGTACCCCTCCGCTTTCTGTGCGGCCATTCCCCCCACTCTCCACCCGCGCCCTGAGGTGGGGTCACCGCCAGCGTGGCCCGGGGCTGAAGGGCACCGCGCCCGAGCTTCCCTCTCCGGTTGGGTTTTCACCATCGCTGAAGGCGGGGCGGGGCTGGCCGGTCTGTGCTGATGGCGCCACTTACAGCTGCGGGGTCCGGCTGAATTTGGGGCACGCGGGCCCAGTGGCCGTGGCGCATGCCTAAGACGCCCTTGGGCTGGCCCCCGCGTCCACCCATTGCCGGCCGCGCTGTTGCGAGGGGGTCTCGTTGGGACCCCCCACTTCAGTCTTTGGGAGATCCCTGGACAAAGTCGTGGTTTGCTAGTTTTTTTCTCTCGGGCCCTCGGGGGGCGGGGTGGGGGGAGAGGGCATCTTGTGCCTTGGAGTCACGTTTCCTAACGGTAGTGACGTGACCCTCTGCTTTGTCTCTTTTGGACGAAAACCCATTCAAGGCCTCTGCCTGGTTTTCCGGGGGCGGCGGGGGGCAGCTCCGTCACTGGGTGGCAGGAGACAAGCTAGCTGGAAGCCACCCTTGGCCTAGAGGTGCCGCCCCCAGCTCGGACCCCAGGGCTGCATGGCCCGGGCCCGGGGAGGCTGTGAGGGTCAAGGCCGGCAGCCAGCCTGAGACCTGTGGTGGCCGACGTCACTGCTCAGCCCTGGACCAGCGTTGCCGCGGCCACCTGGGCGTCTCAGCGCCTGCCGGCCACGCCCCATAGCTCAGGGGGGCGGTGGTGCTGACCGGAAGCTGAGTCTCCTTCCCCTGAGGTCAGAGTGTCGCCTGTGAGCGGTCACTGAGAGCCGAGCCGGCCTGTTTTCTGTCCTAAATGGAATGGGACTCCCCTCCCCACCCCCTGGGGGAGGCCAGGCCCGCGCAACCAGGCCGGTGCGCTGACTCTCCTGCCCACAGTGCCCGAGGTGCTGCAGCTCAGCGACACCCTGCGGGACGACATCCTGCCTGAGCTCGGTGTGCGGCTGGAGGACCACGAAGGTGTGTCTGTGCGGCCCCTCGACAGCCCTTGCCAGGGTCCTTGGCGGTAACGGCCAGGGGGGGCCAGGGCGGGTCTGGGGGAGAGCCCATCATCGTGACATCACAGCTGGGTCCGTGCTTCACCCGGCGCTGCTGTGGCCCCAGTGCGGCCACTTCCCGTGGGCACTGCTGGCCCGTGACGCAGAGGACCGCCTGTGTCCGCCGGCCCCCACTCTCGAGGGGCTTGCTGCGGAGAGCGTCAGCTCTGCTTGCTGGGGCGTCGATGGCCTGGCCCCCGGGCTTGCCTCAGGCTGCAGGAGAGACCGGGATGCACCTGGCGGGGTGCCTGCAGGATAGGGGGCTCCGGGGTCTGGACTTCTGGTCTGTTGTCCCCAGGACTGCCGACCGTGGTCAAGCTGGTGGACAGAGACACCTTGCTGAAAGAGAGAGAAGAAAAGAAAAGGGTGAGCAGGACCAGGCAGGGTCGCTGGCATCTGGGATGTGCCTCAGCCTCGCACGTGGGTGGGGCGCGTGCGTTTGTGCCCTTGGGTGTGTGGACGTGGACATGCCCTTGGGTGTGTGGACAGCTCTGCGGGCAACTGCGTGGCAGTTGGTGACCCCAAAAACATTACCTTCTGACCAAGGTCCCGTTTCTTAAAATTTAATCTCGGGTGCCCTGGCATCCCCAGGGCCCGCAGAAGGTGCCAGCACACTCCACCCCACAGCGCCCGCCTGCCCTCCACCAGTGCCCCCACGCGGCTGGGGCCTCGGCCGGGCCGCTCTCCAGGACCTCTGCTGTCCTCTGCCAGTGCCGTGGGGCACGCTGCTCCCTGCGCTCGGGCCTCTCCCCGCCTCGGGGTCCAGCTCTTCGGAGCAGGCTGTGGGGGGCCACGGGGTGCGTTTGTTCAGCCGCCCAGCTGAGAGCCGTGTGTTGTCCAGGTGGAAGAGGAGAAGAGCAGAAAGAAGGAGGAGGCCGCCAGGAGGAGGCAGGAGCAGGAAGTAATGCAGCGGGATTGCCTGTGGGGCCTTCCAGGCGGACCCTGTGCCCTGGAGCCCAGGACGCCCTGGACTGGGGGGGCCTGCTGGGCCAAGGCCAGAGTCCGCATGTCAGGGGACTGTTCTGAGTGCCCGGCTGCTCCAGTGAGAAAATCTGGTTTGGTCCGAACGCCCTCGGCTTCCCTTTGGCCTGGCCTCACCTGCCATTGTCTAGACACTGGGGGTGCTGGGGAAGGCCCCGAGGCTCCGTCACCTGGAAGGCCCAACTTGGGTGGTCTGGGGAGGGCCCCGAGGCTCCGTCACCTGGAAGGCCCAACTTGGGGGGTCTGGGGAGGGCCTCGAGGCTCTGTCACCTGGAAGGCCCAACTTGGGTGGTCTGGGGAGGGCCCCGAGGCTCCGTCACCTGGAAGGCCCAACTTGGGGGGTCTGGGGAGGGCCCCGAGGCTCCGTCACCTGGAAGGCCCAACTTGGGTGGTCTGGGGAGGGCCCCGAGGCTCCGTCACCTGGAAGGCCCAACTTGGGGGGTCTGGGGAGGGCCCCGAGGCTCCATCACCTGGAAGGCCTGACTTAGGGGGTCTGGGGAGGGCGCTGTGACCGTGGATCTGCCTTCCAGGCAGCCAAGCTGGCCAGGATGAGGACCCCCCCCAGCGAGATGTTCCTGGCGGAGACAGACAAGTACTCCAAGTTCGACGAGAACGTAAGCACCTTTCTCTTCAGGCCACGGTGGGCCCCAGGGCGAGCCGAGCTAAGAGGCCACTACACGGGGTCCTTGGGGCGGCTTCCTTGCACTGCCCGTGGGCCTGCTCAGTGCGTCGGCCTGGTGCCTGCTGGTGAGCTGCATGGGAGAGCAGTGGGCCGGGCCTCACTGACGGCCCTGCGCTTTGTCCAGGGGATGCCCACACACGACACGGAGGGGAAGGAGCTGAGCAAAGGACAAGCCAAGAAGCTCAAGAAGCTCTTCGAAGCCCAGGAGAAGCTCCACCGGGAGTACCTGCAGATGGTCCAGAACGGGTGCTGCCAGTGACGGCGCGGTTCCGCAGGGTACCGAGGGCTGCCGCTGGCCTGGCCGTGACCGCGCCTGGGCTCTGGCACGCCGATGCTGACCCTGGGGCCTCAGCTCGGAATTGTGTTCACAGAGGCCTGTGCCCACTGGGTGCTGGCACTGCAATAAAGCCTTCCAAAGCGTGAGGCCCACGCTCTCTGCCGTCCCCTGCGCCATCAGCGCTTTGCAGGGGGTGCTGGCTCCGCAGGTCACCACCGAGGGCCAGCTGAGCGACTGCTGCTGGCCAGGAACTGTCCCCGTGCTGATGGCTGGCGCCTAATCCCTGGCATGGGGGCGCAGGTGGAAATGTGTGAGTAGGAGAAAGACAGGCTCAAGCCCGCAGAACCCGCTGACGCCTGGGCAAAGGCTGCTCAGTGGCTCTGAGCAGGGCCATGGCATTGCCCAACCATGCCCTTTGACAGCATGCAGCACCACTGCTGGCTCAGGAGGCCAGGCCTGGCCGCACCCCAGGGCCACACTCAGCATAGCAAGTCCAGGATCCACCCGGCTGCAGCGGAGGTAAGGGGCGTCCCCTGCAGCAGGCAGCCATCCTCTCCGCCCCACTTGGGCTCAGAGCCTCCCCCGCGACTGGGTGGCGGAGCGTGGCCAGAACCCGCTCTGCCCACAGAGGCTGGGCACCCATTCAGACCCCGCTGGACCAAGGACAAAGTCGGGCGCGGGCAGCTGGGGTGGGGCTGCTGTCCTGGGGTCTGTCCGTGAGGCAGCGCCTGGAGACACAGCCTGGGGTCTGCTTCTGTAGGTCGCTCTTTGTCCCCAAGGGCTCCCGCGGAGCGCGCTCACCCCCGTCCAGCACAGGCTGCAGCGCGCATGCGCTGTATCCAGAGCCGGCCTGCCTGGCCCCTGGGCCCCTGGAGCCCCCTATGCTGCTGGGGCATGGTGGCCGTGGACAGCGAGGGCTCCTCGCATCGCCGTGCGCGCCCAAGCCTGTGTCTTCCGTTCCGAAATAAAGCCAGCCAGCAGGGAAGGCCCAGAACAACGTACGCACAGTTCATCCCGTTCCCTGATACTCTGACGCGTCAGCCTGGAGCCTGGTGGCCCCTGGTGACAGTGGTCATCTTGTTAGCCCTGCTGGAGGCCCCGCCAGGTAGTCCCAGGCCAGGGCTTGGAGCCCGCTGGGCGGCTGGCACCGTCAGCGTCGTGGGTCCTGAGCGAGAGAAGCTGTTACCCCTTGTGGGCTGAGGTCAGAAGCCACTTTAGCCGCCTCCACCCCCTCGAGTAGAGCTCCGGAAGCCACCCGCCCTCGGGGACACCGACGCCTCCCTGATGGCAGCGGTGAGGGAGTAGAGGCGTCCTGCGCTGGGAGGGCACCCTCCGTCATAACCTAGAGCAGGGCCGCCGGGAGAGGCCCCGGGCTCCCCCGCGGTGCCCTCTACCCTCGGGGCCTTCCGAGGCCCGAAGCAGCGCAGTGGCAGGCGGGAGCTCAGTGTCAGAGGTGACATTTTTTATTTTCAATCGTGGGACAAAGCGCCTATGTTGGTGTCAGCTGCAGCCACGGGACGAGTGTAAGCTCCCGTTGAGGAAGGCTGGCCGGGCAGATGCCGCGGGAGTGTCAGTGGGCAGCAGGGGCTACCCTGGACCGGGGCTGAGAGGCCAGGTCGGCCAGCTCCCAGAGCTCAGAACGCCCCGCATCTCCTGGGGGAGAAGTACCAGGAGTCCCCGGGCCATCGGGGCCCAAAGGGAGGCTCTGAAGACTATGGAGTCAGGGCAAGACCGGCCGCTGGGTGGGCCTCGGGGCATTAGGCCCAGTGCAAGCGCAGCCGAGGCCACCTCGAGGTGCCCCAACCAGCTGAGAGAGACAGGCCGGTGGGGGCAGCTGCTCCACAGCCGGGGGCCCTGCCCATCTCCACGTCCCTCAGCCAACTCGGCCTCAGCATCACCTGCCTGCAGAAGGCCCTCTCCCTGGGACAAACAGGACCTGGAGGCCGTGCGTCCCCTGCGGTCTCCCGGGGTGCTGGGCCGCTGGTAGGGGCAGGGCTGTCCCCTCACTTCCTGTTACCAGGAGCACAGGAGCCCAGGAACAGGTGGGGGTGCCACAGAGCAGCAACCCAGAAGGTGGGACCCCCGCAGGGCACCTAATGCCAGGGCTTTAGGGGTCCTCTGGTGGGGGCAGAGAAGCCCACCAAAGCCCACTCGGTTGTGACCCCCTGGACAGAGCAGCATGTGGGTGGCGGGGTGCCCAGGGACTGGTGTTCTTGGCGTGGTGGTGGCCCTGGAGTCCTCACATGTCCTTAGCCACACGCGGTGGCACAAGGCCTGAAACGGTTCTGAAAACTGATGGGTGGGCCACACGGCGCTGGAGCTGGGCTATGGGCGGCACCTTCCTTAGCTGCCTCTGCCCATGTTTGAGCCTTCCCGTCCCGAAAGTTCTTTGAGATGAGCCACCGGGACATCCTCTCGCAAGATCTGCTGTGAGTGGGCGGCTGGCCCTGGCCTCTGTGCCAGCCACAGCCACGACCGCGGGGATAGAACCCCACGAGCAGCAGGGCCCTTCAGGTGAGGGCTCTGCCCTGGACACCACAAAGCCAGGGGCCTGGGGCTGGGGGCGGGTGGCTGTGGCCTCTGGCCTCGAGCCCGCACCCCCACCAGCTGCCTGGCTGTCCCGCCTGCCGTCGCCTCTGCACGCTCAAGGCCCAGGGCGATCTCTGGAGCAAGACGCGATGGAAAACTTTCTGAGCTGGTGTTATGTTAACTCTCCCATGGAAGCGAAGCAGGTTCGTGTCTTCCTGATGTTCCCCAGAGAGAGATCTGGTGTTTTGTTATAAAGAGTAACTCGGGTTGGCTATTTAGAGTGAAAGCAGGGCCTCCCTGTGGCGCAAGGGCCAAGACTCGGCACTATGAGGCTGTCCGCAGCCACTGAAGCACGAGTTCAGTCCCCGGCCAAGGAGCGACCCCCAGGGCGCAGCAGCCCCCTCTCGTCTCCCCGCTGCTCCCCTCAGCAGTGTGTTTCAGTGGACCCGCCTGTTCTGCTCCCCGCTGTGTCTCTGGGGAGTCCTCACCCCCCACCTCTGGCCTGCACCCCAGCTCTTCTAAGCAAAAATAAATTTTTTTTTTAAAAGTGAAAGCATGCAGAGAGTGTGTCTGTGGTAGGAAGCGAGAGTATAAGGTAGGGCGGGGAGCCCTGTACGTCACCGCCCACAGAGGCTGCGACTGGGGGCTGCCCCCGGCTCCCTCCTGAGAGGCGCCTGTGTTGGCAGAACACGCGGCGGGACATCGGCCCTGGCCCTGCCTCCACGGCCCGTGTCCCGTGTCCAGCTGCTCTCAGCGGCATCAGCCTGGGCTCTGCCCCTGCCCACCGCTCCCCGCACGGTGTTCTATGGCCGCTGCTCCAGGCTGGTGCCAAGGCTGGGGAGGCGGGGCCAAGAGGGGGCAGTTTTCCACCCGCTCTATGTCCCCCTCTAGGGACGGGGGTGGTGGTGTCGGCCAGGACCCCCCAGGCCAGGCGGCCTGAGATGAGCGCAGCTACCCCACCAAGCTCAGCCTGGCATGGCCGTGCGCAGGGCCCCCCGGGGACCCAAGCTGCCCGTGGCTGAGGTGGCGAGGACCGGCACAGGGGCAGGCGCGCGGGATCACAGAGCCAGGGCAGCTGAGAGGAGCCAGCAGGAGGAAACCCAGGAGGTGGCTCGGGCCTGGGGACCCGCCCGCGGGGTTCTGGCCGGTCTCTGGGCTGCCCACCCTTCACCATCGCCGGGCAGTGAAAGGCCACCCTGGGCTGCTCCCTGTTCTGGGAGCAGTGGGGCGCCACAGGCCTTTTGTGGCCAGCTGGCCGGGGTGAGCAGGCAGGGGGCAGGGGCCCCCTGAGGACTCCTTGAGCTCATGAAAGGCAGGGGTCCGCCTGGCTAAGGAGCTGGCCCAGACGAGCCCCATGTGCTCAATGTTGCCAGAGGACGGAGCCCGAGGGGAACAGGAGCCCCCAGGTAAGACCACGGTGTCCCTGAAGCTCAGGGCTTATCCAAGGGCACAGGGACAGGAGCCAGAAGTCTCCTTTGTTTGGGGCTTTTGGGGAGCTTGTCTGTGGGCTGAAGCCTTCAGGCACCACCCTGACACCGGGTGTGCCAGGCCGGGAGCCCGCCTCCCCCGGGGACACCGAGGCGCTGCCGGGCTGGGTCCCAGGGCCTGAGCAGGAGGTGGGCAGCGGGAGGCCGCCCCACGATGTGGAGGCAGAGGGGAGCAGCCCGCCCGGCCACTTCCACAGAGGCCAGGAAGACAGCGTGTCCACCTACAACCACATGACTGGGCCGGTCTTTGCAGATAGGGGGAGACTGAGATGAAGTCACACTGGAGTGGAGGCCCTAAATCTAAGGTGAAAGGACCTTGATTTCAGACTGTGCCCCCAGTCGTGAGAGGGAGCATTTCTGTGGTTAAGCTGGATGGGAGCCCTGAGGGGCCACCCCCTTCCCCTAATACCTCACTCTTTTTTTTTTTTAAAGATTTACCTGTTTATGCACACAAGAACTGGGGTACAGGCCGGAGGTGTGGGGGGCTGAGAGGATTCATGAGAGACAGAGTGGGGAGCAGAACAGGCAGACGGACAGAAACACAGTGCTGCGGGCAGCAGCGGGGGATCACAGCGGGGGATCACAGCGGTCTGCTGCGCCCTGTGGGTCGCTCTGGCCGGGACGGAACGCGTGCTGCAGAGGCTGCGGACAGCTTCATGGGCGGCGCCTTAACCCCTTGCGCCACCAGGGAGGCCCCCTTCCCCTCACACCTTAGAGCCCTTGAACCCAAGTACAATGCTGTACAATGCTGTGACCTGCTTCGTTTAGTAAGCCCAGTCGAGGCTGGAAGGGGGGCGGGCGGGCGAGGGATGCCCCCAGGTCCATAATGGGCATGAACTGGGGATTCGGCAGCTTCCTGGAAAGCAGGGCCCAGGTGGGGTGCTGAGCTTGGCGGCTGGCATCGCCGGCTGGCAGGACACCCCCTCAGAGGCAGCCACCCGGGGCGCCCCACGCCCCACATTCTGTAGGTGCTGGAGCTCCCCGTGCGCTTGCCTGTCCCATCTGCCTGCCGCCGCCCCCCCTTCTCAGGCACCCATGGGGGCGTCACTGCTTCCAAGAAGCCCTGCTGGAGGCGCTGCCGGCTGGCCCCGCTGGCGGTGGGGTGGGGACAGGGGTGAGGGGGCACCACGCAGTCCAGTGAACATGCCAAGGAAGCTGCTCGGGTGGGAATAAACGGCAGGCGGCCCGGGGGAGCCTGCAGGAGGCGGCAGGCGGCCCAGGGCAGGCGGCCCCGAGGAGCGGGGGGGTGGGGGTGGGGGTGGGGGTGGGGGTGGGGGTGGGGGTGGGGGTGGGGGTGGCCAGCGCCAGGACAGCGATTGCGCATCGGTCACCGCTGCCCCAGAGGGGGCACGTCAGGGGGACGGGCTGCAGGCGCGGCCGGGTGAGCGCCGCCCCCCGCCCCCGGGCCCGCTTCCGCCAGCTGCACCCAGGAGGAGGCCCCTCCGGCCTCTGCAAGGCGGCGCCGGGCTCCGCGGGGCGGCCCCGCGCAGGACGGGTGCGCTCCGGGCCCGGGCCCCCGGTCCTCAGCCCCCTCCGGAGCAGGGCCAGGTCACCAGAGGCCCAGACGCCAGGCCGCGACCCCCCGTCCTCGGCGGGCGCCGCCCCCGGGGCGGCCCCACCTGCGGAAGGTGAGACGGCGCCGCCTCAGCGCCCGCGCCCGGGGGCTGCGCCCCAACCCCGGCTCGGGGCTCCGCTCCAGGCCGCGGGGCCTCGCTCGGCCCAGGCCGGGCCAGCGGGCGGGCGCGCCGCGGACACCGCCCGGGAGCCGGCGGGCGGGCGGGCGGGGGCGCTGCTGCCCCGGGGAGCCCCGGGCCGACGCCCTCCGCGCGGCCTCCCGGCGCCCCGCCCCTCAGCGCCAAGGGCGGGGCGCGCGACGCAGACGTCCCGCTTAATTTGCATACGGCCCTGGGTCTGCGCGAGGGGGCGACGCGGCGCCCCTCGGAGACCTCTGATTGGTTCCTGTCGGCGGCCCCGCGGCGTAGTTGACGCGCGCCAAGCCTGCCCAATCGCAGCCGGCCTTGCTCACGGAGGGTGGGGCCAGGGGACTCGGCCCATGAGCGGCGCCGTTGTTGGCAGCCACGGCGGCGCAGACCGGGGAGCGACCGAAGGCCCCGCCGCCAGTGCCGCAGGAGGCGTGAGGTGCGGGCGGGCGGCCGCCGGGTAACGGCGCGGCGCGGGGCGGGGCCGGGCGGGGGCCGCCGGGGGCATCCGGGGCGCGGGCGCGCGGGCGGGCGCGGGCTGGGCCGCAGGAGTCCGCCCGAGGTCAGGGGGCGCGGCGCCCCGAAGGTGAAGGCCGCCCGCGGGCTCCCGCGCCGTCAGGCCCTCGGCGCGGCGGCGGGCGGGCGGGCCGGGGCCGCGGCGGGGCCGGGCGGGGGCCGGGAGTCGGGGCGCGGGGCCGGGCGGCGGGGCGGGACCGCGCGCCCCCACGTGCTCCGCTGCTGGCCGCGCCGCGCGGGCCGGGCCGGGCCGGGCGCTCCCGGAGCCGCGTGAGCGCCGTGGCGGGCGCGGGCGGCGCGTCCCTCTCGGCCGAGGGGTGGGCGGCCGCCCCCCGCCCCCGCCCCGCTTCTCCCGGCGGCCGCGGCCCCTGCCCGGGGGGGCAGCGTGTGGCCGGCGCGCGAGTCCCCGGCGCCCCAGGCCCTGCCGAGGGGCCGCGCCCGCGACCCGCGCCCTGAGCGCCGCGCGAGCCGCTCGGTTCCGCAGGAAACTTGAGCTCCGGGCGAGGGCGGGCCTTCTCCCCGCGGCGTGCGCGCTCCGGGCCGCCCCGGGGTGGGGCCCGGGCCGGGGTGTGCGCGTTACTCGGGGCCGAGAGCCTGGGCCGGCGGCTGTCTCCGGCCCGGGAGGCTGTGCCAGGCGCCCCCGCCCCGCCGCGGGGATGACCGCGCCGGGGGATGAAGCGCCCGCGGGTCGGATGCGAAGGCGGGTGTTTTCCAGAGATAAGAGCCGAGGGAGCTGCAGCAGCCTGGGGTGCCGTGACCCTGTCGGGCGGAGTCCGCGGGGGGAGACACCTGGAGAAACGAGTCTTCTCTGGGTGCTGGGGCTTGTGTTTGTTTTTGGAGGAGGAGAGTTTCTGCCTCCATGTTTTTTCCCTTAAAGGTTTATTTATTTATACGGGAGCTGGGGCCCCGGTCAGAGGCGCGGGAGGGTGAGAGGATCCGCCAGGCAGAGCGGGGAGCAGAGCAGGCAGGCGCACCCCAAGCGCTGCTGGGCGCGCGGCGGGGAGGCAGGAGGGGTCGGCCGGAATCAGCCCTCGCTGCAGAGGCTGGGCCGGGCCGCTCCCCGCGCTGCTCCCCCCGGGAGACCCTCCGCTTTCACATTTTGAAGGTAAATTATATATTCTGCGGTTTGAAAGGATCAGTAGGGCTTTTTTGATCAGTAAAAAGACTCTCAGGTTTCGTTTTTAGAGTGACGACAGGGACCCCACGTGCAAATAAGAGTCGTAATTATCCCAGCTTCGCTTAAGGACCTTTACTAGAATTTTAAGTTTTGCGCTAAGATGAGGATAATTATTGTGACGAGAACTGGAATCCCGTCGGCCAGGTAGCTCTCAGCAGGCGCTGTGCAGACACCTGGGACAGCACACCGGGCCGCCCCCGCCTGCCTCTCAGCCTCAGGTGTGCGGTCACCGGTGCCTTCGTCATGAAACGACACCTGGCCGCTTGTGTGTGGATTTTGTATTTTTTTCAAAACTTACAGACTAGCTGTTGGAGAGATGGGGTGGTTTCTGAGCGTTTTTGGTTTGATGACCTTAATAGACTGAATTTTGAAGAACGGGCCTGTGTGAGGGTGTCCTAAACGTGCAGACGCGCTGCGTTGAGTTGACAGTTCAGATAAACAGGCTCTTCCGTGCGGCTTTGAGTTGAGAGATTTTTATCTCTGCAGGCGGCGCATGTGTGCAGAAGTGGACTACGGGGCGTGTTCGCCACATCCATGAATCTGTGCTTGAGCCTTCCATTGACGTGGCTGTTGGCCTGCGGGGTGTTTGGCGCCCGCCTGACACTGGGCACCTTATTCCCTGGGCCTGCGGGGCTCCTGCCGCTGGGCGGGACTGAAGTCTTTTCGGTTTTCTGTGGCGCTGTTGCTCATCTCATATCAAACACGAGGGCTGCTGTGCTGGCCCAGGTTAGGTACTTTAAAGCTTTTCTTCTTTTTCTGCATTTTTAAAATGGCTTAAAAGAGGGTTGTTTTAAGATTTTATTTATTTTTTAAAAATTTATGCATACAAGAACTGGGGTGCAGGCCAGAGGTGCGGGGGGGGGGGTGAGAGGACTCCCCAGGGCCAGAGTGGGGAGCAGCACAGGTGGATCCACCTGCCAGTGGCTGCATAGGTTGCGTCTTAACCTAGGAAACGCCACCAGGGAGGCCCAGTTTAAAAGTTTTGGTAAACTCATGTTATACTTCCAAAAAGTTTTCTAGAAAACCTGAATTTTTTTGTTATGGAAGAATAATTCCTGTGGGCAGAAGGGTGGTTCGGTTCCTAACGGCCAGTGGCCTGGGCTGTGTGAAACAACGGCCAGAGTGAGGCTGCTGGGGCCGGGCACTTGCGTGACCGGGCTCCCCGGGGCGCTGGCTGGGAGCTGTCGCGGGCCTGCCGTCTGGGGGTGCTCCCCTGTGTTGCGGGAGAGACAGTGGTCAGGGTGAAGGGCGAGACTGCTCGGCGGCCGCGCGGTCTGCGGCGGGCTCTCTGCGCTGCGCTGCCGGGCCCTGCCACTTCCTCGCGGGGTGGATACGCGCCCCCTCCCCGGGCACAGCTGAGGGGGGCGGAGGGTTGGCCTGGGCGCTAGGGCACGACGGCAGCGTGGGCTCTGGACCTGGCCTCGGCAGAGAAGAAGCTGCTGGCCGCTGAACTTTATTTGCATTTCTCAGTCTTGTCAGGAACGACAGCTCGCTCTGTGGCTGCGCAGCGACGGCCTCAGGCCGCTCCGTGCCCACTGTCTGCCCTGTCAGGCCCAGCTGCCCTCGCAGGGGCACGGAGGTGAAATCGGGGTGGAAAGAGCGGGCTGCGCTTCGCGTGCAGCGGGGCTCGGTCGTCTCAGGGCTGCCGCCCATCGGTTCTTCTCGCGCGCCCCGACAGCAGGCAGCGGGAGAAGCCAGTCCGCTGGGCGCACGTGCTTTTGAGGAGAAAAGTCGTGGGGAGGCACAGGCGGGAGGGGACGCCTTGCTGTCCAGTGGGGACGCTCTGTGGAGAGTCCGCCTCTCGGGGCTCGGCCGGAGTGAACATGGCACTTGGCTAAGAAAGGAGGCGGTTTTTACCTTTCTCCCTGGAAACCGAGCGCTTGGTCCCTGTCAAGTTTCTAAAGAGAGCCCAGTGTTTTGTTGGGGCAGCTCGATGGCCTAAGCAGGCGCCGGCCTCCAGCGAGCCTTTGCGACTGTCCGGGGAGACATGTTGGCCTGGAGCCGCCGGCGGGTTCCTGCCTCTCCGGCTTTCCGTGCAAACACAGACGCGCGTTTGTCCTTCTTTATTGCGACAATGAAACGTTCCCCACGTGCACACAGAAGCAGCGCCCCCCGTACCTCGTCTCGAGTCAGGCGCGGGCGTGTGGCGTGAACGCGAGAGAAGGCGCGAGCTGGACGGCTGGCGGCGTCCGGCTTCAGGGCCTGCGAGCCCTTCTCTCTCTAGGGTCCGCGTGTCAGCGCGGGGTGTGGGGGGGGGGACTGAGTCATTCACGTCAGATACGAGTTCACGCAGCAGCTGGAGCTGAACCCCAGGCGGTTCGCTTGCGGCACTAAGACAGGCTGGGTCGGGGTCCCCTGGTGGGGCCCTGTGAGCCCGGACTGCTGCGCTCGCGGGCGAGGCTTGTCCAGGGTCTCCTGGGTCTGCAGTGTAGATGGGAGGTGCTTCCTCGGCCTGTGCGGAAGGAACATGACCCCGTGCGCCTGGAGGGGGGGGGCCTGCGCCCCAGGCTGCTCCGGGGCCATCTTAGGTGGATGGGTCAGCAAGAGGAGCGAGGGCCGAGCTGTCCCACTGCCGGCCTCAATGAACTCCCCCTGCCCCCCCCCCACGAGTCCCATCTCGTCGCGGGCTCCCCCGGTGGAAACCGCGATTGGCCAGAGGGCAGCTCTCGGGGGCACCTCGCAGAGACGGAGGCTCTTGGGCTGCAACCCCGTGATGCATGCACGTGGCCGAGGGCAGGGCCTCCGCGGTCTGGGGGCGCCTGCCTTGGCTCCCGCGACCAGGCCCACCTGAGTGCGGCGACGCTAGCACGAGCTAAGTGGCTCCCGTTAAAATAAATTTTAAGTTTTATTGGATAATTTGCTAGAAAAACGCTTCCCATAAAGAGTCCTTTGAGGGAAAAACAAATGATCCCAGAGGCGATGGGGAGGCTGGGAGGGCAGAGCGCTGCGTCGTGGCGGGAGGGCCCGGCGCGCTCCTGGCCCGGAGGAGCCTGCACCCCGCGTGCCTTTTATGTTCCCGGCCGCGCTGCTGCCCGCGGCCCTTGCGCCCCGTCGCTGGCTCGCGGGTGCGGCCCCAGCCTGCGTGTCCAGCGCGCCTCGGGGCCAGGCTGCGCGCTCTCCTCAGGGAGCGGCCTTCGCGGCGCCGCCTGGGCTGCCCGTCAGGTGACAGAAGGACCCGGGCGGGCGCTGCCCTTCCGTGCCGGGTGGGTGGTGGGCTTCTCCGAGGGTCCGCCCGGTTTGGGGAGGACGCGCGAGGCCCGGCCTCCACCCAGGCCCCCGGCGGCGTCTGCTGCGGTCCGGGCACCGGTTCGTCCTTTTCCTTCCCGTCGTTTATTCCGCTTCATGTTCCGCTTGTCCCGACTTAGCTTGGGTGGCCTGGAGCTGCGTTGCCGTCGTGACGGCGGGACCTGTTCGGCCTCAGGGGTGGCGTCCGGGGAGGAAGGGGAACCTCAGGTCTGCACCCTCATTCGGCAGCGGGCCCCGGGCGCAGGCTGGGGGTCACTGCACGGCGGGTGTCTCGGGCAGGCTGTGAGCCGCGGGGCCGTCACCTGTCCGAGCAGCAGCCTTGAAGTGTTCGGCTAGAGGCCGCAGCAGGGGAGTGGGGAGGAGGGTCTGGATGGGGGGGGCTCACGAGCGTCCTCAGAAGAAAGACGCGGGACTGATGCTGCGGAAATGCTTGGCGCGCAGAAGGCCGGACTCACCCTCCCACCGTGAGCGGCCGTCAGGAGCCTCTGCCCCTCTGTGCCCGTGGGCTTGTGGCACAGCCCCTGACGGATTTGCCCCTTTGCACCACGGCCCCTAGAAGAGGCCTGTGCCCCTGGGGGCTGGCCTGTGGCTCGCGGCCGTGTGCGGCCCCCACATTGCAGCTCTGCTCCTCCCCAGGAAACTCGGTTTCTGCAGACCGTCTCGCCTCAGTTTGCCTGTCTCCCTGAGTTGGCAGCCCCTGAGTCCACCTCTAGGTGGCCAGCTGACCCTAGGGCCACGGGCTCGCAGTCACACGCCGCCCTGTGAGTGCACAGGGCGGGGGGCAGCGCAGGAAGGAAGGCAGTCCCTCAGGCGCTGCCGAGGCCGCGGCCGGAGCTGGGGGCTGATGGCGGTTACTGGCCAGCGTGGCCCCGAAGACCTGCCTGCCTTGCCGTCCGTGTTTGTAGCTCGTGGAAAGCAGAGCGTGCGCGTGGGGGGCCATCGGGGAGCGGCGGGCGAGCCCGGAAGGGCGCCGGTCGTGGGTGCGGGTTTCTGGCTCCGCGCATGGCGGGCCGGGCCCGCGCGTGCTGCTGCGGTTGCTCCGGTTGGCACCTGTCCCTCACTTCGCCGAGCTCTTTGGAAAAAGACAGTGACATTCCCGTCGCGTTTTGCATTTTAAAAATAATTAGCGTGTTTTATTTTGAAACAAGATGACGCAAGAAGAATGCAGTTAAGTGCAGCACGGTGGCGTCGAGGGGGTGGGTCTGTGCTCAGGCGCCAGGAGCACCGGGGAGGGGCCGCCGTCCCTGCCCGGCTGCTCGCTCGGCGGGGGCTCTGCGGGGCCGGGCTTGCGCAGCGCGAATCACAGCGGGCTCCTGTTAGGTCCGGGGGACGGGCGCTGGCCTGGAGGGGGCGCGTGGCCTTGTCTGCGTGGCGGGCGCCTCCTGAGGCCTGGGCGCGCGCGCTGGGAAGGCGGGGAGCCCGGGGATGCTGTGAATGCTCTAAAGCCACTGGCCCAGGATCGCTCCCAGAAGCCAGGCGGGCGGAGCCAGCGGTTGTCATCCGGACGCCTGGTCGCAGTAGAGCGACAGGCCCCGGGTGTCACCGGAGGGCTTTCGACCGGGGAGGCCTGTGGACGGCCGCCGTGGGTGCGCAGGCCGTGCTTGGCGCCTGGCGGCTCCGGGAAGGGAACGGGCGACGCGGTGGCCTCCGCTGTGACCACGCACTTCTCGTTTCACTTGCAGGCGAGAAGGACACACAGATGGCCGATAACAGGTAAGCCGCGCCGGCCGCGCGGGTCCTCCTGCCTCCCGCTCACGTCCTGCGGTTGCGCTAGCCCGGTCCTGGCGTTCTGGGGGCCCCCGGGGTCCAGGGGGAGATTTCGTCAGTGTCTCATCCCAAGGCCACGTCTGGTTGTGCGCAGGGTGTTTGATGGGCTTTGGTGTTGGGGGGATGGTCCTGCCTGCTTTGAAGCCCCGTGTCCGGGACTCCCCACAGCTCCTCCGGGGGCCGCGGCCTTCCTGCACGGTGAGCGGCCCACCGGTGGGGCCTGCCTGTTGCTCGGTTAGCGGCTGGAGCTGGCGGTGGGAAGCAGACTCGCTGAGGAGAGAGGTGGCGGAGAGGAAAGCCCAGACGCCGTGCCGGGGCTGGAAATGGGGCGGCCATGTTAACTGGGGTTTTTTTTTTTTTTTTTTTTTAATTAAGGTTTGTTTTTAATTTATCCATAGACTAACTACGGTGTAGGCCATAGGTAGGGGGGCGGTGAGAGGACTCCCCAGAGACAGTGGGGAGCAGAACAGGCGGACCCATGAAACACACTGCTGAGGGGAGCGGCGGGGAGACGGGAGGGGGCTGCTGCGCCTGGGGTCGCTCCCTGGCCGGGGATGGGACTCGTGCTGCAGAGGCTGCGGACAGCTTCACAGTGCTGAGACTAACCCCTGCGCACCAAGGGGGACCCCGGGGGGATGTTTTCTTAGCCCCTCTCGCTAGCCCTGGCCGCCTCCCGGGTCACGCCCTCATGCTGTCTGCCTTGGGCACTTTCTTTACAACTTTTTTCTTTTCTTTTCTTTTTTTTTTTTTTTAAGATATATTTATTTATTTACACAAGCACTGGGTACAGGCCAGAGGCGCGGGAGGGTGAGAGAATTTGCCAGAGCGGGGAGCAGAGCAGGCAGACTGAGGAAGCACACTGCTGAGGGGAGCAGCGGGCGGCAGGAGAGGTCTGCGCGCCATGGGGGACCCTCGCTGGCAGCCGGGGATCGAGCGGGCGCTGCAGAGGCTGCGGGCAGCTTCCCAGCCCAGCGCTCAACCGCTGCGCCGCCAGGGGAGGCCCTGCAACCACAACTTTTAAACATACGGTTTCAGTTTTCCAGATGGAGCTCCTTCAGATTCCTCGGAGGCTGCTAAAAGTGCAAGTAACGCAGGTCAGTTCACTGTACGGGGAGAGGGTGGTGGAGAGTTGGGGTGTGGCGCCACCTTACTCTGGGGCTGGGCCCCCGACATAGGCGTGCGGTCACAGGCGCTGCCCTGGGGACCTGGCCAGCATCAGAGCGTCTGAGGCAGGACTCGGGCATTTACTGAGCGTTCTAGCTCGGACCCCGCAAAAGCGAGCAGCCACACACGCCCCGCGCCTGCCCTGGCCCTCGCTCCCGTCGACTGACCGCTGACCTGTGTGTCCTCCCCGGTCTGCGCGCTGTTCCCTGGCTGTTCTGGAGGAAGTCCCAGACGAGCTCATGGGTGTATTATTTTTCTCCCCACTGAAAAGAAAGCGGTCAGCCTTGGTGTCTGTGGACTCCGCACCTGCGGAATCACCCCTAGCCATCGGAGCTCCGTCCGTGCTGCCTGGTCAGGCTGAGGCGGTGGCGTCTGTCCTGAACGCACAGAGGCTTTCTGGTGTTATCCCTGGTACAGGCCACAGCCGCCTGCGTGGCCCAGAGACCACGTTGCGAGATATGTGCTGGTCGCACGCCAGCGCCGTGCCCTTTCGTATCGGTGCTCAGCCTCCTGGGACTGGAGTGTGTGCGCTGGTCCCGGGGCCACCACTGGCACCAAGGGCGGTGGCATCTGCTCTCCTGCCTCCATTTGTTGGGAAGCAAGAGGTGCCGTTCTTGCCTGTTCTCCCTTAAAGTGGTTTAATGTACATTTCCTGAAACCCGAGGTGACTTCTCGGCGCCGGCGGCCCAACCAGGGCCTGCGCATCGGTGGTCACCCGCACTGCCAGTGTCGCGCCTCGTGTCGGCGCCACTTCTGCAGCTGTGCCCACGCCTGGGGCTCGCCGAGCCCCTGTTCTGCCCCTGCCTGGCCTCCCCCGTTGCTGGCCCCGTAGGGCCTGCGCTGCGGAGTGGCCCAGGGGTCCCTCATTAGGCTCGGGGCTCCCACAGCAGTGGGACACCGCCTGGGTGGCGATGGGCAGGAGGTGCATGAGGCCATGGGGGCCAGGGCTGCCTGGAGGGTGCAGGCAGTGTCTGCACATTCTCCGCATGACGCTCCCTCCAGTCAGTGAGCCGGAGACGTGGGAGCGCCCAGCACCCTCGCTGGGGTAGGGAGGCCGTCGGCAGCCCTCTTCCTTCTGCGCTGCTCCTGCAGGAGATGACACTGACAAAGGGCCCCACCCCGCACCCTGCAGACTTTTGCTGGGGTTCCATCCCGCCTGTCGTCAGCGCTTTGTCGTGTGCTCAGTGCCCTTTTGAGCCCATGGGTCCCTTCAGTCTGGCTGGGTCCTCCTGCTGCTGTGCCTGCTGGCTTTGAGTCCGCCAGCTGCGTGGCACAGCATTCCCCTTGCCCCGCACTGGGGACGGCCTCTCCTGGCCCTATTCCTTGTGGTGGGGGGAGCCCAAAGTGCAGGCGCTGGGCTGGAGGAGATGTGTTGGGCGCTGAGGACACAGCTTTGTCATCGTGGTTGTGTCCAGTTAAAATTGAGGGCATGCCTGCTGGGTTCACATCTCACAGGAGGATGAGGAGAGCCCCCGGGTGGGGACGACTTTCTGGGTAAAGTGAGTGCCCTGAGCTTGTCTCTGCCCAGGCCAGGTGCCCAGCGTCCATGCCTGGGCCAGGTGTGGGCCGCTCTCTGCTATGCGTGGGGCGCACACACAATCTGCAAAAGCGGGGGACAGGTCTGGGCAGAGGACGGGGCAGGCAAAGGTGGGTGGCAGGTGCAGGTCTTGTGCCCCCAGGGAACCGGGCAGGGAGGCTTTGCTAGGCTGTGACCCCAAGGGCAAGTGGGTGCTGACTTACCCTGAGGAGCAGTGGCCGCATCCCAGCCTTGACTCTGTACGCCCATCGCGGAGCTTGGAGAGGGAAGGGAGGTGGCCAGAGGTAGACTTCCGGACTTGGGGTCCTTCTGGTGTCCTTGCGTTGGAGATTTGTTCTGACACCACTCGGGTGCCTGACAGGGAAGCAGGTGCCCTTAAGTACGTTCTGAATGCTTCAAGGCATGCTTTTGAAAGCCACTGGCTGCATTTAAAAACCTAAAGTAGGTGAGAAGAGCCGGTAAATCTGCTGGTGACTTTGTTTATTGGCCTTGTTTTTAACTGACTAGAAAAGCTCACAGATCAGGCGATGCAAAGCCCTCAAGTGCTGGCAGCGCTGCAGGAACGGCTTGACAACGCCTCCCACACCCCTTCCAGCTACATCGAGACGTAAGTGTGCTTGAGTAACGTGTGCTTGAGTAACGTTTGGTACAGCTTGGGGACCGCGGGGAAGAGGCCACTCATTGCCCAGCTCCTACAGTGGGGGCGCGCGAGCCGGGCTTTAGTGCCGCAGGCCTTGGCCGCGAGAGGACAGCGCCACCCCGTGGCGGTGAGAGGGCTGTCAGGTCTGCTGGGGGCGGGGGGCATGCCCGGCAGACTGCAGAGTGCGCTGGGCTCCTGGCCTGTCTTGGAGACCGGCTTGTTCAGAGCGCTGGGTGGGGAGGCACAGCGTGTGGGCAGGAGAAGGAGCCTTTCTGCAGGCTCGGGCGTGTTCTCGGCCCGTCCGCCGCTGCCCAGCTCCCACACAGGCCCTGACAAGGCTTCCCGGGCTGGTCCGGCAGCAGGGGCTCGGACTTGCAGTGTCCACTTAGCTCCTTGTCTGAGCAGCCGCGCCTGGCGGGGATGCGTGCAGGTTGGGCAGGCCGAGGGTGGGCGGTCTGGCTGGGAGGGGCAGGAGCCCAGGAGACGCCGAGAGGGGACAGGCCATGGGGTGGGGGGTGCCGCGCTGGCTGCCCTGCCCAGTGGGGCTGACGGAACGGCAGACAGCTGGCGACGGGAGAGAGGGTCCTGGAGGCTCAGGGTACGGTGTTTATTTCTTCAGGAAGATTTGAAAAGTTAAAGAATTTGAAATTGTGTAGTTAACACAGAGAAGAAGTGGCACCCGGCATTTTACGAAGGCCCTGTCCCGCTGCCTCCTTGTTTCTGCTGCCATAGCCATCCTTGAGGGGTGACTCAGTTGGTGTCTTTGGTGGACCCCGTTCCCTGAGGGGCTCTGTATGGGGCGGACTGTGACAGAGGTCCATGGGGACCGGGCCCCCACAGGCCTCTCTGGACCGTGCTGTGTACACCTGCCTCGTCCTCGCCCCTGTGCTGGCGGCGACCAGCGGGTGTGCGGAGGGTCTCGTGTGGGGCGCAGGCCAGTGGGGCGCCATTTGGGCCTGTGTGAGGCCCAGGAACCTGCTCTTTTGTTGAGATTGTGGGGCGTCAGGGAAACAGATGACTCTGTTGATTAGTAAAATTGAAAGGCGAGCTGTCGTCTGTGGTTGAGTGTCCGTGTTTTATTTTTGTTTTCTCTTCTAGCTTGCCTAAAGCTGTCAAAAGAAGAATCAACGCATTGAAGCAGCTGCAGGTGAAGTGCGCCCACATAGAAGCCAAGTTTTACGAGGAGGTTCACGACCTGGAGAGAAAGTACGCGGCCTTGTACCAGCCTCTCTTCGACAAGGTGAGCCTCCAGGTTGACCCAAGGAGTCACTGAACGTGCTCGTTTAAGCCCTAAGAACTCAGGCTGTGGATGTCCAGATGGTAGAAGCATCTAGATGATAGACAGGTGTCATTCACAAACTTGGCTCAACTCGGGGTTTCCGGCTCACTTCGCACACCCTGAGGAAGCCCCCTTTTCCTTAGAGGAGGGAGTTCATCACTGGCGACGTGGAGCCCACAGACGCGGAGGCAGAATGGCACAGCGAGGAGGAGGAGGAGGAGGAGGAGAAGCTGGCTGTAAGTTTCCTGTCAATGAGCGTGGCCTGCCGGTGGTTTCTGGTCGTTGCTGTGACGTGATGAGGGAGCGGCAGAGCTGAGTCGGGCACGCTCTGTGGCGTCTGACCCAGGGGTGTCATTTGGTGGCAAGCCAGATGCCGTCTCCCTGGTCTATCGTCTGTGGCTGCCGTACAGTCATGGGGTGGCGTTTGGGGCTGGAAGGTCAGCGGCGAGGTGTGTGTGCCCTGTGGCTGCCCGCCCACCCATCAGGACCAGCAGGGGCATAGGGCCCCTGCATGTGTCTGGGCCCCCTTAGAAACCTTTGACGTTGTGCCACCCGCCGGATCGGGGGGCACATTCAGGGAACGAGGGCTTCACAGTGCAGAGTTCCCCAGTTACGTCCTGTGCAGCCGTCGTGTTCATGGTGAGCCTGTTGCTTTGGTCATCGGCGTTCTCTTCTGCACGCCTCCTTCTTTAGGCAGATGTGAAAAATAAAGTCGTCGTAGCGGAAAAGGAAGCAGCACCAGCCGAAGAGCCCAACCCCAGAGGCATCCCTGAGTTCTGGTTCACCATCTTCAGAAACGTGGACATGCTCAGCGAGCTGGTCCAGGTGAGCCCGTCCGCCGTGGAGCGCACCCTGCCCTGTCGCCTGCGGCTGCCTGTAGGGGTGCGCTGCTGCCCGGCATCCGCCCAGGATATGTCTGTGAGTGACAGCTCAGGTGCGCTGGACCCCACCCCGGGGGTCTCAGACTGGAGCCCGAGCCTGCGCCCGTGTCAGCACCCTGGGAAGCCCGCGGACAGGACCCGCCCGTCACTGTGAACAGGCGGAGGGGGCAGTCAGGCCATGGAGGAGGAGTTGAGCTGGGTGAGGAGGCTCGTGCGGTCTGCTGGCTGCGTAAACACGTCACCGACTGCCGCAGTCTCGCCCTCGCAAAACTCTTAAAAAGGGAGGAATAGCCGATCTTTCTGGCTTCGTTTGCTTTGTTAACCTTTTTGTGATGAAATGGTGGGCAGATTAGAAGGTGGCAGGTTTGCTGCTCCCCGAACCAAATTACCATTGAAGTTCCTAGAATACAGAAGTGAGTCCTGCCTGACATCTCCCTGGCTGGCCTGAGTTTCCGTTGCCCGGACAGGCCCACACGTTGCAGGGTGGACACGCGCTTCCCCCGTCTGAGTTACGCGCACACCCGGGGGGTGTTGGAGCTCGCACGGTGCTGCCTCCTACCTTGTTTAATGCGTGTGAAGGCAGCGCTGCGCCCCCTGCAGACTGAGGGGCGGCTCGTGCCCGTGCCTCTCCTGCCCCATCGCTGCCCAGGGAAGGTGGGGGCGCACGTTCTGGAGGTTGCTGGGGAGTGTGGACAGTCTGTGTCGGAACCTGACTCACTCTGTTAGAGTAGCCTGGGCCACTTCTGAAACCCCACAGGCTGTCGGAGCCTCCTTACCCCCAGCCTGCATGAGGGGGTGCAGCTGGATGACAGCCTGGCCAACACCTGGGCGGCTGCGGCCGGGTCTCAGCTTTCCCGGGTGGCGGCAGGCAGGCTCTGGGCCTTGGGTCTGGTGGGCCTGCAGGTCTGCATTGTTCGCACTTGACTTGATTGGGGGACCAGCTGTTGGTGGGAGAGGGAGTGTTGGGCTTCGTCCTTCACATTTTCTCCGTTGGGGGCTTGTGAGTAGCGCAGTTGGACGCGTGTTAAAGGAGTGCGTCACTTTCGTTTCCCCCAAAACCTCTTCGCTGGTGTCTTGCCTCAGCAGGAAGCGTGGCTGCTCTCTGCGCAGCTCTACAGCAGCTCATCCGGTGGCTTGGAATGCTCATGCCCGGGGATGCGGGGCTCTGGGCGCCCCTGGCACGCGGAGCCCAAAACAGGCTGCATCCTGAGTTGGTCCAGATCTCTGGAACCCTGGGCCCTCCGTGCAGTGGTCAGGACGCCCACTGCAGCAGGGCTTTGAGATCGGGCAGCAGTCCCCAAGATGCTTCCATGATGGGGGCGGGCGCCCTGGTTCTGAGTCAGGGTGGAGCTGCCTTCCGGGCCTTGTGAGGGCCTCAGGGTGGTGGCTGGGTGGGGAAATTAAGAGCATGTGGCTCCTTTGCTGATTGGGGGTGATGCTGGCGGGTGCTGCTGGTTGGCAGGGGTGACCTCGGAGCTCCTGGTGTTGCTGCTGGGCGGCGCCCGCACTGGCACAACAGCCAGGTGGTGGAGGCGGGCACACGGGCAGGGTCTGCAGCTTCCCAGCCGCTTGCCTCCGGCTCTGGAACTTGGGGTTTGGCCATTCTTACAGGGTGGCCCCTTTAAAAGCAGTTGGGCTACTGCTCAGCTAGAAACCTGCTAGAGCCCATTTGGTCTCTGATTTTTGTTGTTCCTAATGTCAAAAAAAATGTCAAGTTGGGTAGTTGGTGGTTGGCAGGTGCGCTGGGGCCGGTCCCCACGGCGGGGAAGGGGAGACGCCCGTGCAGGCGCCTGAGCTGCCGTCACTGGTCCCGCCCTCCGGGTCCTTCTCTGACTTCTCACTTGGGTTTCCGAAGGCAACAGGTGGCGGTAGCTTGGCCTGAGCAGCATTGCAGCCAGCTCTAATGCGGCGCCCCCGCGAGGCCCTGTGGGTGCTCTCATGTGGTCACCGTGTGGGGTGGGCGCTGGGCATTGACAGCCACGGGCCAGTGTGGGGCGTTGAGGCCAGTGGCTGGTCCGGGTGTTCTCCCGACTCCTTGGAGCTGCGGGGCCGGTGTCTCGGCTGGCAACACTCATTCCCTGTGGGGCGGCGGCAGCTCACGCTGGGCACCTCAACTGCCACCCGAGACGGGGGGTGGGTAAGCAGCTTGGGGTCCCTTCCTGGGAGCGCACAGCCGACGCGTATGGGGTGCTGGGACAGCAGGGACTCGTGAGGGCCCAGGTGAGGTTTTTCAAAAGCCTCTAGAAATTCACCTCCTCTCTGTGTTCAGGAGTATGATGAGCCGATTTTGAAGCACCTGCAGGATATTAAAGTGAAGTTTTCAGACCCCGGACAGCCTATGGTGAGTACCGAGTGCCCGGGCTGGCCCGTGAGGCGGGGCTTGCCCGTGAGGGCAGCAGCCACTGCATTTTAGCTGTGAGGGTAACTGCCGATGAGACAGGGCAACCTGCTTCCTGAACACGACGTGCTGCCCCGCAGCGCCCCCGGGGGCCACCCCTGAGCCGGTCCTCAGGGAGCACTGTTCGTGACCCGTCAGCCTGGCCGTGGCTGGCGGGTTCCATTCCAGTGCCAGAGTAACCCCCGGGACTCATGACTGGCTGGCCGGCTGGTGGCACTCAGTCTCAGGCCCTGGAGACAGCTCCCGTGGGGGGCGCGTCGCCGGGCTGGGGTCGTCTCCCTCCCTCCTCACCCAGCCAGGCCCGTGTGAGCACAGCGGCAGGTGAGAGTGGGGCGCTCCTGTGTCTGTGCCCCCCGCTTTCCCCATTTGTTCGCCGTGGGGGTGCAGGGGAGGGCACAGGCACGGCCTGGTGGCACCCGCTCGTGGGCTGGAGGCTCCTCCTCGCCTTCACTTGGCCAGGAGCGAGCCCCTGTCCTGCAGCACCTGGCTGGGGCTCCAGTGCCGGCTTTCTTCCCCAGGCCTCGGGGTGGGGGGCGCCCACCGTGGGACCACAAATTCTCTTGGGGGACATGCCGCTTTAAGGTTGTGTTGCTCACACGTTGCTCACCCTAGGCTCACCCAGACTGTTTCCCCTTATGGCTTCGTTTCTCTGGCTTCGTTTTCTCTGATTAGACCCGTGTGGGGCTGTGGGCTGCTTTCTTTGTCTCGCTGGTGGGCGCGGGAGAGAGGCTCGCAGTGCACCGCCCAAGCCAGACTTGTCCGCCACCGCCACCTCCTCCCAGCGCCAGCATCGCTGCTTGCTGGGCAAAGCGTGGGCAGCACGGCCGTCCCCAGCTCGGCGGGTCTCCTGCGGCGGCCTTGGCTTTCCCTTTACTTACCAGGAGGCGTCTGACACGTTCAGGCTACGAGGGACGAGGAAAGCGCTGAGCTTTGAGCTTCGGGGCAAAGCATGGCCCGGGCTTGCCTGCCCCTGGGCCGCAGCGGTGCTCTCCAGGGCACCCTGTTGACACCTGGCACAGCAGGGAGGGTGGAGCAGCCGCCGCAAACAGAGACCGCTGCACCCGCTGGCAGGTGTGGCTGGGTCAGCATTGCCCATGTCCCAGGCACTTGCCACCCCACCCGCACTGCACCTCTCTGCACCACAGGGCCTCCCTCCACGTCTCAGCTGTCGCTTGTGAGCACGCGTGTCCCTGTGACCGCTGCCGCGCGCCCGCCCACCACACTTGGGCGTGCGTCCTGCCTCCTGGGGGCGGGCAGGAGAGACACTATGGGTTTTTGGGAGAGCTCCCAAGAACACCGTGGGGCTCCTTCCCCAATTAAGTCACTTGTTGGTAAGTTTGCACCGGTGTCTTTTCCGACCGAGTATCATCTCGTTACGCAGCCGTGCCCGGAGAGCTAGTCGGCGCTGGGCCTTGTGGCAAGGACGTAGTGCCCTGCGCTGGCCGTGGCCCCTGTGCCTGTGCCGTGCGCTCGGGCAGGGCGCTCACGCTTGGCCTCTGTTCTCAGTCTTTCGTGCTAGAGTTCCACTTTGAGCCCAACGACTACTTTACCAACTCGGTCCTGACGAAAACGTACAAGATGAAGTCGGAGCCCGACAAGGCCGATCCCTTTTCCTTTGAAGGCCCCGAGATTGTCGACTGTGACGGGTAAGGATGCGCCGCTCAACTCCTCTGAGGCCAGAGCCGTGACCCTGGACCTCGACGGGTAGACAGTTGGGCATCAATAAAAGGCCTCGAATCTGTTTAAAAGGCAAAGGGTTAAAGTCAAAGTAGTCTCTGCGCTTGGGGTGGGCTGCCAGGTGCTGGGAAGTGGCTTCACGGGTGCCAGGGTTTGAGGTCGGGGCCCTGTTACCTTATTTGCACGGGGGGCTGGCTTCTGGCCTCCCCGGAGAGGAAGTCGTGGGGGTCGTGCTATGAACCTGGTGCCACGGCTGGTTGCTGAGTCGGTGCCCGTGGAGCTGGTTGCTGGCTTTGGATGGGAGCAGTTTTCTCTGCTGTCTGGCTGCTCGAGCTCCTTGGGTGCCCTTGACTGGAACCCCAGGGGGAATATGGTTTGGAACGCCTCCCTCCTGGCTTGAGACCGTTTGGGAAACGGGTTTGTTCTCACATGGAAACAGTTATCCTTACTCAGTGGGCCTGCGCGCTCCCTGTGCATCTCCCTGTGATGGGCAGGGCTGGGCACCCGTCCCGCCGGGCTCGTGGCCGCGGGGTTCAGCCACGATCATCCCCCGGGCCGTGGCCTGCTCCCCTGCAGCGTGTGGGCCGGGGCGCCTTCTCCCAAGCGTCCCGGGTTCGGCCATGTCTGCCCAGTGCTGCGGCGCCTGTCCCAGTCTCCTCATGGGCCGACCTGCAGGTGTGCGATCGACTGGAAGAAGGGGAGGAACGTGACCGTCAAGACCGTCAAGAAGAAGCAGAAGCACAAGGGCCGCGGCACGGTCAGGACCATCACCAAGCAGGTGCCCAGCGACTCGTTCTTCAACTTCTTCAGCCCGCTGAAAGGTGCGCGGGCGGGGCGGGGCCTGCCGGGCATGGCTCCAGCTGGGTCTGGGTGGGGAGGGGCAGGGGAGGAAAAGAGCGGGGTTCGGGGAGGAAGCCCTGACCGGCGCTTCCGCACCCTGCACTCCTGGGCGCCCGCGAGTAGTGCTCCTGCCGGTGTGCACCCGCTGGAGGGGCTGCCCACCCCCATCCCCCCGGCCTTGCCGCGCGGCCCACACGGGGGGCTTGTGTGCTCTGGGAGCGCCAGCAGCCGGACTCCCACATGGGAGCCCTCGAGACGGTGCCTCTCAGCTAGGAAGGGCTCTTCTGACCTCCCTGGCGCTGAGGGAATGAAGGCCGGGCCCTGGCGGTGCTGACCCCGAGTGTGAGGAGGCCACGCCTCGCATCAGAATCACGGCGTGAGGTCGGGAAATGCCGACAGCTGTGGGGGCCGACGCTGACCTTCCGTGGCCCCTGGCTGCGGCAGCTCCACTCCGGGGTCTGCGCCCTCACTGACCAGGCCTCCCTCCACCAGTCCGTCGTCCTCTTCTCCTCTCGCTGTGGCTGTCTCTGAGCCGGGAGGGCGCGGGCGTGTGCCCGTTTGGGCACAGAGCAGCCACGCTCGCGCCTTCGGTCTCCCTGGGACGGCCCCTTCCGGAGCCCGGCGTCGGCTCGCAGGTTGCCTGTGTGAGCTCACCCGGACGCGCCGGCTTTGAGCTTGAAGTCAGAGGCTTTGGGAGTTTTCTCAAAGCCGGGATCTTAAACCATCAGTAGCCCTTAAAGCCAGGGCCTGAGCGTGCGCGGGCTGTAAATCACTGACGCGGCAAGAGAGCATTTGTGGGGTGCACCTGGGGCTCTGAAGCCGCGTGGCGATGGTGGCGACCTGGAACACGCCAGCGGCGGCCGCACCTCAGCGTGGCTTTTCTTAGAGGTATCAGGCGACCACGCCAAGCTCCAGAAACACACGCGAGGGTGATGGGGCCCAGGAAAAAGCCCTCGCGGTGGCGAGGTGTCCTGAGAGGGGAAACCTGGGGTGGCTAGTCTCCATGCCCTCCCCCCGCCTGGCAGACAGACCCCTGTGCGCTTCCTGACCCGGAACCGTCCTGGGGTGCTGGCTGCTGGGACCGCCCAGTGGCCACCGCTTCGTGGGGCGAGGTGGCGCGGGGGGTGCGCGAGAAGGCCGGCAGCCTCCATCAGACGGTGCCCGTCTGCCCGGGCTCGCGCCCACCTGGTCCCTCCTGTTGCTGCCGCGGCCCTGGGAGCGCTGTCCTGGAGGCTGGCACGCCCATGGGCCATGTGAGCGAGCCGGGTGGAGGTGGGCCCGGCAGTGCCAGCGTGCGGGCGAGCCCGGCCTACCTGCCCGCTGAGCGCTCTGGGCGGCTCTGGGCGTCTGTGTGACGTCGGCGTCTGCTTTTCCTTCCAGCATCCGGAGACGGAGAGTCGCTGGTAAGATCTCGTCCTTCCTAAACGTCCCGTCTGCCCGAGGGCTCCCTCTCCCTCCCATCTCGCCCCCTGAAAGCCTGGATCAGCATCGGGCGGCCGCGCCTAGGGTGAAACGCAGCGTCTGACCCAGGGTGGCCTTGGGAGGCGGGCCCTTGCATCCTGCTTGCCCGGAGGCCGGGGTCCCGCGTGGGGGTGGGGGGCGGCGCTGCTTTTCCTGCTGAAACCGACCTGTGCTGTCTCCTCCCAGGATGAGGACTCCGAGTTCACGCTGGCCTCTGACTTTGAAATTGGACACTTTTTCCGTGAGCGGATCGTCCCGCGGGCGGTGCTGTACTTCACCGGGGAGGCCATCGAGGACGACGACAATGTACGTACTGGCCCGGGGAGCCCCGTCCGTGCTGCTGTGGGGTGTGTTGCTCCCGGCACCATCGGCCTGTGCAGGGCCTCTCTCTGGTCACCTCAGGCCTGCGTGTTTGGGCGGCTCTCGGCACCAGGGAAGTCGCCGCTGTGCCGAGTGGTGACATGGAAGCCACTCCCCGGAGAAGCCAGAGGCTGAGGGGCTGCTGCTCTGCCTGAGGGGGCCGAGCCCTGGCCTGGCAGGCCTGACCCGATGCCCCAACGCTCCAGCACAGTCAGGGCCCCCCTGAATCTTGTGTGGAAGAAAAACTTGCTTTATGGCATGTCAGTGGAAGTATTTTATTTTTGATTTTTGTAATGGAAGTGGGTGAAGGCCACAGGTGTGGGCGTGAGCGCATTCACCAGGCCGTAGGGTGGCAGCACTCAGACCTAACTGGTGGGCCACTGGGGAGGCCCAACTGGGAAGTATTTTTAGATGGTTCCTAACTTTCCTCTTGCTTTTAGACCTCTTAGGAAAAAAGTGGCTCTTGCAGTCATCGGGGGTGGGGGGGGCTGCCTTAGGTTTCCTTCTGTATGAGGTCTGCGCCAGGGGCTGGGGGCTGCTGCTCGTGCGTGCCCGAGCCAGGGCCCGAGCCAGGGCCCAGGCTGAGGGGGTGGACTCCTAACCCGCAGCTGGCCCCGGGCGGGGTGCGACATGGGGGCGAGGGTTGTGTCAGGGCACAGAGACGCTGAGGTGGTGGCTGAGACGTTAAGGTTTTGGAGATGCTGGTCACAGCATCGGGGCCGACGCCAAGGCTTGGCTTCCTCTGACTAGACTGCAGCAGAGGTCGTGGCTACTTGCTGTGCACAGTGGTCTTCACCAGCGGCCTCGGGCATTTCTGACCCCGGGCCCATTGAGTACCGCTGGACAGCGTGGCTTCAGTGTACTTGCGTAGAGTGGCCCGCAGCCCGCGTGGTGGCGCGCCTCTGCCTCCCGGGCACGCGGTGAGTGCGCTGCAAGGGTGCCAGTGTGGCGGGCAGCGGGCAGCACCACAGTGGCCGGAATGGAATAGCCTGCAGGGGGCGTTCTGGTTCTGGTTGTCTTCTGCGCTTGGCCTAGTCGTTCTGCTCTGTGGGGCTCAGGTTCCCGGGAGCCTTTGCTACTGGGGCTTCGGGGCCCTGAGACAGCCCTGCGTCCCCCTCTGCTTTCTTTATTTTATTTTTTAAAGATTTATTTACGCGTACAAGAGTTGGGGTACAGGCTAGAGGTGTGGAGGGGGAGAGGATTCACCAGAGACAGAGTGAGGAGCAGAACAGGCAGATTGACTGAAGTACACTGCTGAGGGGAGCAGCGGGGAGACAGGAGAGGTCTGCTGCACCATGTGGGTAGCCCCCTGGCCAGGGGATCGAGCTCGTGCTGCAGAGGCTGCAGACAGCTTCATAGCGCTGTCTTAACCCTTGCGCCACCAGGGAGGAGCGCCCCCACCCCCCCCCGCCCCGTGCTTTCTTAACAGACGGGTCCATCCAGGTGCGGTGAGTGTCCGGAGCTTCGGGACACTGGCCTGAGCAGGCGTGCCTGCCGCGGGAGGCGAGGCTGCCGCGCTGGCTGCTTCAGCCGCTCACGGGAGGAGGGCCGGGGTGTGCTGTTTATTGTGGCGCCACCCCGCCTACCACGAGGTGCCTGGAGGGGTGCGGTGGGCCCCGGGCTGAGGGCCACTAGCTCAGTGGAGGTGTTGTGAGGCAGGGAGGCTCCCAGAGGCGCTCCTCACCGAGCCTTGGGTTTTGCCCCTCGTGCCACACAGCCGTGGCGGGGGCTGTCTCGGCTGCTGTTGCTGCTGATCTGACGTCTGGCCCTTGAGCAGAGCCAGGCCGGCGATGTCTTTGAATGTGAAAGAACCGTCCGGCCTGCCTGGGGTGGGTTTTCCCAGGCTGTAGCCCTGGCTGGAGCGGCAGCGCCAGCCTCTTGCCTGGCCGAGAGCGGGCCCAGCCCCGCGTGGCCGTATCGGGAGTCACAGTGCAGGTTGCTGAGGTTGGCGCTGCCCGGTTGGGTCTGGCCAGCCGGGTCCTCCTGCTCCCTCCGCGTCTTCAGCCCTTGGTTCACGCGGGGTCTGGGCCTGGCATCCCGGTAGAACACTGGGGTCGCAGCCGCCAGGTCAGTGCCCACATCTGCTGGCTGCCCAGCCTTGCCTTGGTCCTGGCCGGGCAGCACGGGGCAGGCGTGTGCTGGGGCAGGAAGCAGGTCCCTGTGTAGACCTCATTGTTTGGTTTTCTTTGCAGTTTGAAGAGGGCGAGGAAGGAGAAGAGGAGGTAAGGCCCGGCTCGCGAGAAATACCGTCCCTCCCGAGGTGGCAGCTCTGCGCTTCAGCTCTGCGCGCGTGGACGGGGCCGACCTCCGGGTCCCGGTCATCCCACGGCGGGGTGCCACCTTGGCCGCGGTCAGCCCTGGGAACTGAGGGGAGGCTCGAACGGTGCTATGGCCAGCTTGACCCCGAAATTCGTTTATGAAAAGACAGTCCTGGGCCCAGCTGAAGCCGCTTTGCCAGCGACCTGTGTCCGGGTTGTCTGTGGACATGGGAGTGGCGGGAAGTCGTAGGGGTGGCGGGAGGAGGCGCTTGGGCGGCGGCCAGTGACGGGGGGCTGCCTCCAGTCGGGGTGTTGCTCTGCCTTGCTGGTGGCTAGTGAAGCCGCGGAGTTTAAATTGTGCCTGTCCAGCCAGTTCTCATTCCTCTTCGTACAGGAGTTGGAAGGTGATGAGGAGGGAGAAGAGGAGGATGATGCCGAAATGAACCCCAAGGTGGGTTCCCAGGGGGGCGGGGGGTCCTAGCGGACACGTGAGTAAGCCACTCTGAGAAAGGGGCGCGGGTTGGGGGTGTTTTAAATCGCCGGGGCCATTTTCCACTGGCTCTGGCACAGAGAGCGCGCAGTGGGCGCAGGCCCGTGGAGCCGGCCCCGGAGCTTTGCCTCAAGGGAGCGGGTGCCCACGTCTCCCATCTCGTCTGCTTCCGGGACAGCTTCTCCCCAGTGGGCACAGGTCACTTGACAAGCAGAGCTGTGGGGACGGCCCGGAAGTCCGCGCGTGTGGCGGGGCCCCTGCCCTTCCCAGCAGTACCTCCATGCAGGGTGTGCAATGCACACCCACCCCCGATCGGACCCCGATGGCTCTTGGCTCCCATGCGCCGGCCCTTCCTGCCACGCTGGCCGCTCCTTTCCAGTTTTCCCCGCGGAGGCGTGAGTTCTGTCGGTTGGCCGCACGGGCGTCCTCGCATCCGACTTCCGAGCCTCTGGTCTGTGCGTCACAGGCGCGCAGCTCTGGCCAGAGGGCCTGCGCCGGGCCCACGTTCTGGCCTGGCTGTTCCTGCCGCCCTCAGCAAAGATGATGTGGTGTGGCGCTTTCTCTTGGCCTCCAGAAAGAGGGCAGAGCCGGAGGGCTGGGAGGGTCACGCCCAGGAGGACACTTCCTGTGGCCTTGGCTGTAGTGCGTCGAGTTCCTCCTTGGGGAGACGGCTGCAGGGGCGGGGTGGCCTCCCATCCTCTGGGCAGCCGTGGTGTCCTGGGCCCGGGGTACAGCAGCCCCTTACGGTTCAGTTGCTGAACTTGTGTGAGGGGCCGGGGGTAAAGATGGAGCTGCGGCTCTGCATGGGCGGGGTGCTGCGGGGCTGCCGCCAGCTCGAGGGGAGTGACAAGTGGGCCCTGCTGCCCGTGCAGGATCGCTGGTCCCTGGGGAACCCCAACATGCCCCCATTGGTGTCTTGCAGTGGCCCTGGGCAGAAAGCCTGCCCCCGGGCCTGCCAGGAGGCTGCTGCTCTCAGCATGTGTGGGGACCCATCCCCTGCGCGCGCGCACCCAGCCTCGGTTTCTCTCCGTCACTGAAGCTCTTGTTTTCTCGTTGACAGAAGGAGCCCAGCCAGCCCTCTGAGTGCAAGCAGCAGTGAGCACGCCCTGGGCGCCGGCCGCGCCGAGGCCCCTGCATGGTCTCCGCCCAGCTTCCCCCTCGTAGTCTTTTGCTTAGCCTGTACAGTGGCACCTCGAGTGCGCGTGCGCAGTAGGAGGTTTCACGCCTGCACCCTGGACGGCCTGGGCCCAGCTCCGACGACTGACCGGGCCCGGCGGCGGCTGGGGACCCAGGCAGAGATCTGGGGTGGGAGCGTCTCCCGCAGCCGGACGGCCCTGGTTCGGGGGTGGGGCGGGGGGCCACAGCCCTGCTGGGCGGGCCTGGTCTCCTCAGAGTGTTCTTTCTTTGGTTTCGTTTTCCTCGGGGTGGGGGGTGGGGGCCGTGTGCACACTGACTCCAAGCGAATGCTTTTGAGGTCCACCCCGTATTTATTTATTCCTTCATGCTTGTAGGGGCTTGGGGCGCGTGCCGCTGCCCGTCCGCGGGCGGCCCTGGAGAGCGGGCGGCTCGGCTGGCGAGAGGCGGCCCCCGCCCGCTGCGCCCTGGCAGGGGTGCCTGCTGTCCCGACAGCTGCGCGGGTGGGGCCGGGGCAGAGGTGGGGTGTGGGCTCCCGGGGAGGGGCTGGGCTGGGCGCGTCTCCCGTAGTGTGTGTTTCGGCGTCTCGGCAGCGCCGGGCCGGCTCCCACCGGGCTGGCGGGCGGGTTCCGGGCCTGCGAGCAGCCTGCGTGCTCGGCCTCACCCGTCCTTTGTACCTGAAGACGTGTTTTCAATTTGTACAGAATAGTTAGAATATTCTATTAAAGTTGTGGGACGGAAGTCCGTGCCGTGCTGCGGGCTGGCGGGGGGGGGGGGAGGTGCCCTGCGTCTGCACTGGGGTCTGCCGTGGGGCCCGGCACCCCGGTGGGCCCCTCCTGAGGGGGGCCTGTGCTGCCAGGAGGCCGGTCCTCGGGGTTGCAGGCAGCGCCTTCTGGAATGGACTCTGCACACGTGGGCCGCACTCAGGGGCCACCGCTGGCCCTGCCGTGGCAGGTCTTCCTGCCCGAGAGCCAGGGTGTCCAGGGCTCCGTCCTGCCAGCACGGCCCCGACGGAACTCCTTAGCGGGGACAGCGTGCGCGCCCCGTCCCCTGGGGCAGGCCATCCGGCCACAGAAGACCCTCTGGGAAGCCTTTGTCCCACCCCGTGGGAGCAAGCACACCCACCTCTCCCCCCGCCATCACTGGAGGGGCGGGCTGTCCGCCTCCGCAGGCCACTGTGGGCTTGAGAAAGCAGGGTGCACGCGGCCTGTGCCCGCCCACAGGCAGCCTTCAGGACGGCCAGGTCAGCGGGCGAGTCACCTGGCACAGTCTGTGGGGAGGACGGCTGAGCCGTTGCCCCTCGGGCTAGAGCAGAGGGGGGACCCCTGGGCTTGGCCTGTGGTGAGCTGGGTGAGGCAGCACCCGGACAGAAGCGACGCCGTCATGGCGGAGGGCACAACAAAGATGGGGTATCTGGCTGGGTGGCCCCTGGAGCTAGTGCAGGCCAGCACAGCAGCTGGCTACAGGGGAGGGCTGCCGCAGCGAGGAGCCAGCGCCGCGGGGGGCTCTGCTATCTGGGGGGTGCCTGCTGCTGGGGGTCTCCAGACTGCGGGCGGGCAGGGAGGGCACTTCCCGCTCCTTTGCCTGGTGCCCGGTGATCCCGGCCCGGCTGGAGGGCTGGCCCTCCCCGCGCGCCTTTCCAGGCCACTCCCCCCTCGTCGCCTCTGGGGCGCTGGTTCCCGAGGCCAAGGGGCCTGGGTCCGGACATGCCCACAGCAGCGGCCCGCTGCTCTTCTGAGCCCCGTCCCGTGCCGGCCTCAGCACCCCGACTTCAAGGAGACGCTTCCACCCCAGGGCTGGGGGAGTTGGCAGGGGGCTCTCCAGGCTGTTCGGACCCTTCCAGCGGTTGAGAGTCCACACGCCATTATTGGGGTGCTGCAGTGGCACCGTGGGGTTGGAAGCAGTTGGGAGGGCGTGGCCACTCCCGCCCCCCTCAGCGAGTGTGCCGGGTGCTTGCCTGTGAGGTCCATCTCCAACTGCCTGCCCAGAATTGGGGTGATGGCACTGAAGATTGTGCCTCTGAGGGAAGATGCCCCCCAGGTTGCCTGGCCTTGTCCGGACCTGTGCCAGGTGGGCACGTGGCAGGTGCCCTGGTCTCATCTGACCTGCCGTCTGCTCTGCTGCTGGCCTCGGCCCCTCTGGGCCCAGCGTCTCCCTGGCCCGCCTGTCGCCCAGCTGGGTCGGCTCCTGCCGCCGGCACACCTTTGCCCTGCCCGTGGGGAAGCCTGGGGGGCTGTGTCAGCGCCCCCTCTGACACCCTGATGGGTCCTCTCCCATCTCTTGGCACCACTGCCCTGGGGGTGCCGGGGGCTGCCCCAGGAGCCGTGGGCGAGGTGTCCCCCCACACCTGGCCCCCTCCAGCTGCTGCTGTGATGGAGCCGCTGGCCCCGCGGCCGCATCAGCGCCCACCCAGCCCACAGCCCAGAAGCCCTTCCCCTGGGCGTCCGCCCCTCCCACCCGGGGGCACAGCCATCCGCGGGGAGCCCAGGGGGCCGGACCCCGCGTGTGCGGCCCTGGCGGGGAGCGGGCCCCAACTGGTGGGCCTCAGGGCCCCGCTCGGCTGGCGCCTCGCGCCCTCTGAACTTGGGTTCTGTGTGCACCTTCGGTCCCTGCGGCCTGGAGACCCCGCCGGCCCCGCCCAGACGCCCCCTCCCGGGCCAGTCATCCCGGGGCCCTGGGCGGGGCCCGCCGCCCTGATGTCACCGCCCGTCACCGCCGCTGCCCTGGCTGACTCAGCCGTGGGAGCGGAAGTCACTTTCCTTGACCCGGCAGCCTGGCTTTCTCCCCGACTGGCCCCGGGGGTTCCCAGGCCCGGAAAGGGCCACACCTGCGGGCACCCTGGAGTCTAGGGTGCCGGGTGAGGCCCAGCCTTCCCGGGCCAGCGCTCCCCACTACCCCTCCTCGCCCCCCGCGCGTGCAGAGCGAGGCTGGGGCGCCTCGGCGAGAGGCCTGTGCTTCGGGGAGGCAGGGCACGTGGGGGGTGGGCCGCGGGCATGGGGCGGCCCTTGGGTCTGCGCTGCCGCTTCTGGGGCCCGGAGGAGGGTGGGAGGAGCCAGGCCGGGCCCCTGGGCCAGGTTCCCCTGTCCTGGGCCCACCCGCCGTCTGCAGGGGCCCCGCGTTGCCAGGGGAGCAGCCTGCCGGAGCTGGTCACGAGGTCCCCTGGGCCCGCCGGCCGCCTGCTCGTTCTGGGCGCCTCTGCCACCAGGCCGCTCGGGCCGGGCCGGTCCTGGGTCCCCCCACAAGTGACCGCGCCTGGCAGCCCGAAACCACAGGGTTCTCGGTGGCTTCCCTCCTCTGGGCCTTGGGGCCCCGTCGCGGCCCCCTCAGCCTCACGCCACGGCCGCCTGCCCCCCGTGCCTTCCAGGACCGTGGGGGCTCTTCGGGCTCTGCGGGCGCCTCCGACGTTTCCTTCCGCGTCAGCGCAGCTGTGACTTTGATCATTTCTTCAAGTCGGAAAAGCTTGAATAATACACACGGCGGGCCCTGCCCGCACCTGCCCACGAGAAGCCGGGGCCAGGAGTGGCCGCTGCCTGCGGGCGGCTCAGCTGACCACCCTCCAGGGGGGCGGCCCTGCTGCGCCTGGGCCATCTCCCCCCCGCGCCGCCTCCGGGCCTCACGGAGCCCGCGGGCTGGCGGGCCTGGGGAGTCAGAAGCCCCGGCAGTCAGGTTTAGGGGCCAGCAAACAAGTTCCCCACTTGCTGACCAGAGCCGGGCTGGGGCAGCGAGGTGGGGTGCTCGCCGATTTCAGCTGCGCTTACATTTTCTGAGCGCCAGGCTGGCCCCGGGCCCCCACCCCCAGACACCCCAGAACCTCTGAACAGGGCGCTGAGGGATGGGTCGGAGCTGGACAGGGTGCCGGACGGGCGGGGACGCAGGACACGGCCCGCAGTGAGCCTGAAGCCCGGCGTCCGCCTCCGCCGTCCCCTCAGCTTGCCGCCAAGAGGAAGGCAGCAGGGGGGCCGGGTCACAGGGCCAGCTGGGCTCAGGCTGCCTGGTGCAGGACTCCCCCCAGGCGCCCCTGTATTGTGGTTGGTGGGAGGCAACTTGAGGGGGCGTCCCGGCAATCCAAAAGGACTTCCTGGAGGAGGCGAGAGGACCTCCCGGCTGCCCCAGCACCTCCGCCCACAGGAAGAGGGTGTGCGGCGCCCCGGGCTGGGCCGTGACGCAGCTGCAGGGCTGGTTGGGCAGGAGCCCGGGGCTCGGCCTCTGTGCGCTGTGGAAATGACCTCACGGGAGTTTCGAAGAGGCGCCTGTCCTGCCCTGGCCACCCACCCGCCGCCGGCAAGTTCCTGGCCGGGTGTTTGAGGACGAGTCTGTGCTCTGGGCTGGGGATCCCCTCAGCCAGGCTCCCGCAAATGCTGGACGCAGCCCTGGGGGAAGCACCAGTTGGCACGGCCGACAGAACAGCCCCGCTGCCCCTTCCTGTCCTGAGGCGGGACCAGCACCCCCCGCCCAGCGCCAGCCAGCGCGGGCTGCCTCCTGCCCGGACCTCAGGGTGCCCCAGAGCAAGGCGACCGCGTGCCTGCCGGGCGTCTCCCACCCCGTTCCCTGCAGACCCAAGAAAGCAACCCCAAAGCCCCCACCTCGTGGTGGGGGACTTTGAGGGGGCCACCAGGCCAGCGGCCCCTTGCTCTCCGGCCAGCAGCCACCTGCAGGGAGCCCCCCGGGTCGCTGCTCCTGGGTGTCCGGTGGCCTGGGGAAGGGCTCCCCCAAAAGATCGCACTTGGGTTGCCAGGTTAGAGCCCTCGTCCTTGTCCCTCCCAGCTCCTGGTCCCCACGGCCAGAGGGGCACCCAGACAAATCTCAGCCTGTGGGGGTGCTGCCGGCAGGCCTGCCAGGCTCCAGGTTCCTGCTGGTTTGTGGGAGCAGCTGCTGAGGCCAGAAGTGATCCCCTCTCCGCCCCGCCCCCGGCCTCCTGTAGAGGAGCTGCCTGGTTGGGCCCGACCCTCCGAGAGGAAGGGCCAAGAGCCCGCGGGCGGCAGCCCCTGGGGAGGGCGGCGGGAGTCAGCCTCCCCGCCCCCGGCCCCCCCCTCAGAGCTGGGCCCCCACCCACCCAGCCCCGGCCGCCGGTCCCCAGCGGGGCCATGTGCTGGGTGCCCCAGCCGGCTACACCCCCTTTTCCTACTCGCAAGCCTGTCTGTTCCTGGCGGGCCGGGTCTGTGAGGGGCGCAGGGGCCCGCGCAAGCCGGGCACACACGGCCCCGGGCCTCCTGCCCTCCAGGTCCGGCTCGCCGGCCTCCTGGGGACCCTCTTCCGGAGCTGCCCGGGGCAGGCAGGGCTCCCCTGCTCCGCACGGCCGCGCAGCAGCCAGGCAGGCGCACAGTAGGTGCTCAAGCAGGGCCAGTGCTGGCCGTGTGCCCGGAGCCCGGGACCCCTGGCCACGCTGCTGGGCATCCTGGAGGGCTCAGGGTGCGCACTGGGCACCCAGTGGGCTCCTCGAGGCTCCTGGGGACAGTGGCAGCCCGTCCCCAGCCGCCTGTCCTGCTGTCCCACCGCCCCGCGGCCCGGGACCCACGGGGACAGCGCGCGCCCCCAAGGCGCGTGCTGGGGGAGGGGTCGGCGGCCTCTGCGGGGCGGCGCTTCTCCGGCCGCGGACCGGCCAGCCCTGCCGGGTGCCGGGGACGGGCCCTCGCCCCTTCCAAGGGTCCTGCCTTGTCCTCAGTGACCCGCGGCCCCGGCGCGCCCCGTCCCCCTCCCTCCCTCCCGGCGCGCCCGCCCCGCGGCGCCTCCACCCGGCGGGGGTCGCCGCGCTGCCGCCGGGCGCTGGCGCGGCCGCGGGGAGGGCCGGGGGCGCGCGAGGGTGGGAGCCGGCGCCCTCCCCGCCCCCCCGCCCCCCCCCCGGGCGCCCCGCGGCCGCGGCCGCTTCCTGCTCCTGGACACCCTTAAAGGAAAAGGGTAAATGGCGCCGCCGGCCGGGGGCGATGACTCAGCCGCCCCGCCCCGCGCCCCGCGCCGGCCCCGCGGGCGAGGCTCCGGCCCCCCAGGCCGGCGCGCCCCGCGCCCGCGGCCCCGGACCTCGCGCCCTCCGCGGGGACGCCCGGGGCGGGCGGGGCGCCGGCGGGCCCCACGGCGCGCGGCCGGAGCGGCCGCCCCGCCGCCCTCGCCCCCACCCAGCTGCGCCGGGGCGGCGCCCCCCCGCGCCTGCCGTGGGCGCCCCGGCCCGAGCCGCGGCGCTGCCCCCTCGACGGGAGAGGCCGCGAGGCCGGGCCGCGCCCGAGGAAAGGGGGGACCTTCGAAGGGGGGACCTCCGGGCGCGGGAGCCGCTCCCGCCCTGGGCCCGGGCCCGCGGCGCCTCCCGGGGCGCGCGAGTCACGGCGGGCGGGGCCCCGAGGACCCCGAGGACCCCGAGGAGCCCCGCGCAGCCGGCGGGCGGGGAGGCGCGGGCCGGGGCGGGCCGGGGCGGGCCGGGGCGGGCCGGGGCGGGCGGGCGGGGCGCGGGGCGGGCGGGGCGCTATAAGGGCGAGCCCCGCGCGCCGGGGCGCAGAGCCGCCGCTCCTCGCGCCGCCGCCCCCGCCATGAAGACGCCCGGCGAGGTGCTGCGCGAGGGCGAGCTGGAGAAGCGCAGCGACAGCCTGTTCCAGCTGTGGAAGAAGAAGCGCGGCGTGCTCACCCCCGACCGCCTGCGCCTGTTCCCCGCCGCGCCCGGCGCGCGCCCCAAGGAGCTGCGCTTCCACTCCATCCTCAAGGTGGACTGCGTGGAGCGCACCGGCAAGTACGTGTACTTCACCATCGTCACCACCGACCGCAAGGAGATCGACTTCCGCTGCGCGGGCGAGAGCTGCTGGAACGCGGCCATCACGCTGGCGCTCATCGACTTCCAGAACCGCCGCGCGCTGCAGGACTTCCGCGGCCGCCGCGAGCGCCAGGAGCCGCCCGAGGCCCGCGCGCCCTGACCGCGCGGTGAGCGCCCGGCCGACCCCCGTCCCCGCGGGCCCCGCGCCCGGCCGACCCCCCTGTCCCCGCCGGGACCCCGCGCCCGCTGACCCCCTCTCCTCGCCGGGACCCCGCGCCCGGCCGACCCCCCTGTCCCCGCCGGGGCCCGCTCCCGGCTGACCCCTCGTCCCCGCCGGGGCCCCGCGCCCGGCTGACCCCCCCTCCTCGTCGGGACCCCGCGCCCGGCTGACCCCCCTCTCCTCGCCGGGACCCCGCGCCCGGCTACCCCCCTGTCCCCCCGGGGCCCCGCGCCCGGCTGACCCCCCTGTCCCCGCCGGGGCCCCGCGCGCCCGGCTGACCCCCTCTCCCCGCCGGGGCCCCGCGCGCCCGGCTGACCCTCCTCTCCTCGCCGGGACCCCGCGCCCCCGACTGACCCGCCTCTCCCCGCAGGAGCCGCGCTGGAGCCGGACGAGTCGGGACGCGCTGGACGCGGGAGCCCGGGGCGCCCGGACGGAGGGAGCGCGGGGCCGCCACCCGCCCGCCGGCCGCCCGAGGACAGGACGGAGCCGGCGCTGGGGCCGCGCGCCCGCAGGACCTTCCGCGAGCCCGGAGCCAGCCCCGCTGCGCGGGCGCCTTAAGTTATTGAGCTATCTATCTATCTATCTATCTATGTATTTATTTCCGTGGTTGCTTTTTGGCAAATCATGCTTTAATATTCTGTTTTTACGCCAGTGTGCGCGACCCGAATAAACCAGCCTTTTCTACCCCGGCGTGGCGCGGTGGTTCCTGCGGGCCCGCCCGGGAGGCGTCCTGGGGCCACCCCACCCTCGGGCCAGGAAGCGCCCGCCCCGCCCTGGCCCACTTCCCATGCGGGATCCGGGCGGGCGTGACCTGGGGTGGCGCGGCCGGGGCTTTGCCAGCCGCCCTGCTGGGACCCGGCATGTGCCCATCTGAGCTGCCCTGTCCCGCAGCCTACGGGGAGGGCCCGCGCCTCTGGCTGCCCGCCCACCCCTGGGGACCCCGGCCCTGGCTGGCCAAGGCGGCCTCCTGCGGCCCTGCTGCCAGGCCGTGGGGCGCAGGCCCAGCGTGGGGCCTGCCCGGGGCGCGCGGTTGCTGTCAGGGCAGGGCGAGGCGTCCCGGCGGCAGGGGCAGCCCAACGCTGTGATGCCCACGCCCCCCTCACGTGGGTAAATGACCTCGGACAGGGGTGAGACCAAACGTGGGCAGAATCCGGACTGAACTTTGGGGCTGGGGGGCCGGCGGGTCTGGGTCTGGGCCCCTCCAGCTGGGCCGTGGGGTGCTGGGGTTGGGGGGCCAGGCTTTAAGTCTCTTGTCAAGGCGGCCTGGGGAGAGGCCTCGGGCATCTGAGACTCTGCACTGGCCGGGACGCGGTCAGGGTGCGAGCTGGTGCCCCCGCTCGGCCGGGCTGCCCAGGTCTGCCCGCGGGCCCCCCGCACGGAGCGAGGAGGCTCTCCTCGGCCCCTTCCCAAGTCTCGAATCCGGGATTTCGGAAACGTGTCCGTCCAGGAGCGGGACCGCTGGGGAGGGTGAATGAGCGCGTTGGGCCGCGCGCTCAGCCTGGGGCTGGGGTCAACGGGGGGCAGAGCGGGGAGCCCCTCCACGCGTCTGTGGATGGATGGCGGGTGCAGGGCCCTCACAGGGGACCGAGGTGGGTGGTTTTACCCTCCCGGGAGTCCTGGGCCCCAGCCTCGTGCCCCCTCCTCCGGGCAGACTTCCGGCCTCAGAAGCTCCATCCTCCACCCAGACCCTCCCCGGCCCGGGGCCTTGGTGGGAACCCCAGAAAGCAGGCAGGAGAGGTTCCAGCGAGTTTATTGCCAGTCTGTGCCGGAGGCCGCCGTCACCGGACTTTGTCCACCTTCTGGAACGCAGGCTGCTTCCAGAGGACCAGGAGGACCAGCAAGTTAACAGCGAACTGCACGTGGCCGAAGATGGAGACACCAAACCTTCGGTACAGGAGGCCGCCGAGCGTGGGCCCCAGGGTGCGGGTCAGTGGCTGCACGGCGGCGCAGAGCCCCAGCATGGTCCCTGCGGGGCAGGTGCCGTCAGTGGGGCAGGTCCCTGGCCTGACTGTCCCTGACCCCTCCTCTGCCCCGGCTGCCTCGCCCGTGGGGCTGCTCCCTGTAGACCGCCCAGCCGCACGGGCAGGGGCCAAAACTGGGCGCTTCCGGTCGTGGGGCTGGGCCTCCTCCTGCTCTGGAAAGTTCCCAAGCACAGCAGGCGCCTGGGAAGGAGGCCACAGGTCACGGCCAGGCCCCGCCCTCCCAGGCCTGCCAGGGAGATGGCGTGAGGGGCCCCCCGTGTCCCTCCTGAGCCCCCGCCATCCCCCGCGGGGCTGGGGAGGAGCTTTGGAGGCACAGGAGGGGCCCACCTAGCTGCCTGCACCCCCTGACCCGACCCCGCACCCACACCCTGGCAGCTGAGCCCTGTGTGGGCGAGCCCGTGTGTGTGGCTGCCGACACCGCAGGCCGGGGCTCCCCCGGGCTCCCGAGCCAGCTCTCTCGGGGCTCGGAAACCCCAACCCCCATCAGGGCAGCTGGGAGCAGCCTGACAGCTCGGGGCCGGGCCGGGGCGTTTCAGAGGGCCTCTCCCATCGCCCACACGCCCTGCAGACACCAGGGAGCAATTACCGCCCCCTCTGTGGTCTGGTTCCCAGGCCGTCCTGGGAACCAGCTCCCGGCTCCTGAGCTCAAGGGCGGTGCCTCGGGCCGGCGCTAGCGACCCGGCCGGCTCCCCTTCCTCCTTCCCCGCACCTCGCCTGCCTTGTTCTCCGGCTCCCTCTCCCGACCTCCCTGGTGCCAGTCCACACCTCCAGGAAGGCCTCCAGGACCAGCCTGGCCTCCTGGGACCAGAGCCCCGGGTCCGGCAGGCCAGGGAGGCCCCGCCGCAGCCCTGGGCCAGGCCTGGCCGGGGTGCCGCCTGCTCGCCCGCCTTGGTGCGTCCCCCAGACAGGCAGGGCGCTCAGCTGCTCTGCAGCCCCGAGATTTGGGCCCTGCCGCTGGGACCATCTGCTCGCAGCCCCTGGGCCGCACGCGCCCCCTCTGGGGCAAGAGTCTGGACCCCCAGCCTGGATGGGAAACCCATAGGCCTTCGGAAAGAGACCTGGGCAGCGTCGGGGGTGGGGGGTGGGGGGGCGTGTGGCGCTCGGCCGCGTGGCTCCTCCACTCACACCCCCGGGGGCGCACCTGAGCAGGGCAGCGTGGCGGCACGGAGGACAGCAGGCCGCATGCGCTCCCGTCCTTCTCAAGGTCAGCGGCCCCAGATCCACTCTACTCTGGTCCTGGGAGGCCAGGCTGGGCCGGGCCCACTTGGCCGGCCCACTCCCCCGCCCCTGGCCGGTGAGGTCCTGCCCTCCTTCGAGCCGGCCAGACCCGCCTGCCCTGCGCAAGCCTGGCCGGCCGGCGTGGGAGACGCGCTCACCCGTGTCGGCGGCCGAGACGGCCTTGGTCAGCATGCTGTCGGTGACCACGTGGAGGGCGCACAGGCTGAAGACCAGGCCCGGCATCAGGAGGCAGAAGTGGAAGACACTGGACATCAGCGCCTGTGGGGTGCGGCCTGGTGAAGGGGCTGCCGGGCCCACCGGGCGGGGAGGGGTCAGGGGCACCCCGGGCCGGGCAGAGGGTCGGGAGGTGAGCCCGGGGCCCTCTTTGGGGGGCGGCCGAGGGGCACTGCTCACCATGGCCAGGCCCACCAAGCAGAAGACCAGCACGCTGGCCCGCAGCAGGGCCCCCTCCGAGAAGTGTCTGCTCAGCCGCCCGATGACCAGGCCCTGGATGACCTAGGAGGGCGGGGGGGGGCACAGCTGAGACCTCCACGCTCCCTGCCCACCCCCTGACAGTGCCAGGCCCAGGGCGGGGGAGGGTGGCCCAGGTGACGGCAGGCCCCTGGGGAAGCGGGGCGGCCTGACACCCCCACACACAGGCTGCATCAGGAGGGCCGGCTCACTGCTGCCAGGCGGGCGCCCTGAGTCATTTGCAGATGCGCAGCGGGGCCCTCCGGGGGCGCGGGGTCCCTCCTCACCAACAACTCTTCCTCAGCGCCCCCTTAGGCCTGCCCATTGCACAGACTGGGGTCTGGGAGCAGAGGGGGTGGCTGGCCCGGGACCTCTGCCCGCTGGCCCCCCGCAGCCTGGCCCGGGCAGGCAGCCACTGCCACCAGGGCCACCCCGGTGTGCCCACACGCCCAGGAGCCACCACAGCAACAGCTGGCAGCCTGAGGCCAGGGGCTCCGAGCACTTTCCAAGGTCCATGGCTGGGGCAGTGGATGGTGGGGCCAGAGCACCGGTGGGTGCGGGCGAGGGCGGCAGCAGGGCCACGGTGACTCAGCAGGCTGGCCCAGCCCCGGGCGGCTCCCAGGCCGGGCGGGGTCCCTGTGCCCAGGACGGGGCTCCCCATGCCCTGGGTGGGGCCGTGCCCTGGGCGGGGCTCATGCCCTGGCCTCCTTGCCAGGCAGGCAGGAAGTGCCCTGGCCTCTGGGAGCACTCACCGCTCAGCAGGGCCCGGGCCAGAGGCCCAGCCTGGGTGCCCGCCAGACCTGCAGAACCGGACGGGCCACTCCCCTCCCACCCACCTGGCAGAACAGAGTCAACCCACAGCGCCGAGAAGGTCCTTCTTACAACCCCCCCACTTCCGGGGCCACCCTGGGGGTGCAGGGGTTCAGTCTCGGAGCTTTCAAGCTATCGCAGCCACTGGGCCAGAGTTCGGTCCCCGGCCAGGGGGCTACCCACAGGGCGCGGCAGACCCCTCCCATCTCCCCGCTGCTCCTCTCCGCAGTGGATTTCAGTGGGTGCCCCAGTTCTGCTCCCCGCTCTGTCCCTGGTGGATCCTCTCACCCCTGCATCTCTGGCCTGCACCCCAGCTCTTGTGCGCATAAAAAAAAAAAATCTTAAAAAAAAAAAAAAAAAAAAAAGGACCCTGCCTCGGGGCTCACTTCATCTTGGCTCACTTCATCGTGGTGGTGGGTCTCTCAGGGCCAGGCGGCAGGGGAGCCCGGGCCTCAGGCCAGCCGGCTCCCCCTGAGCCCTAGAAGGCCCGGACGGGCATCTCACTGGTCATTTCCCGAAACTGGAGGCGACAACACAGCAGCCACTGTCTCCCCAGCCCCCAACCAGTGGAGAGGCCCCCCAACCCCCATGGAGAGCCCCATCCTCCTGCGCCCACCCCCCCATCCTGGCCCAGGGACCCTTCAGGACCTTCCTGGAGCCCCAGCCCCCCTCGGAGGGGAGCCAAGCCCTTCCTGGCCCTCCAAACCACCCCTACCCCACCCCGGCCACTGGTGCTCCCAGCCCAGGCCCCGCCTCTTAGCCTGCAGCCCCCCCCAGGCCGGGGCCCCTCCAGGGCCATTTCAGGGGGGAGACTGCACCCCCCCTTCTAGGTACCAGTCACCTGGTAGGTAGGTGCAGAGGAGGGGTGACCCCCTCACCCCACATCACTTGGGGCCATGCCTGGGCCCCAGGTGAAGACCAAGCGGGCGGGGGGAGCACACAGGAGGGTCTGCAGGGACCAGTGTCCTCTGTCGCTAGACCAGCCGGGCTGCCACCCCTCCCTGACTCCCAGGAGCCCCCCAAACAGGGAGCAGGGGATACTGCGGGCCCCTTGGGGCCAGGCTGCAGCCACTGCCTGGGCGGAGAGGAAACGGTTGGTGGATGCTGGCCTGCAGCGAGGGGCTCCCTGACCCTGAGAGCCAACCCCATCCCCAGGGGAGGCGCCTGGGCCCCCAGGAGTCGCCTCCCTGTGTAGGAGGGTACTCCCCGTCGCCTGGGCCCCTGTGTAGGAGTCGCCTCCCTCCCGGAGGGTGCTCCCCGTCCTGGCCCCCGCCCCTCCCCCGCTGCTCCCTTCCTAGTCATGCGGGCCCTGGCCCCAGGGGAACGGTCACCCTCCAGTGCCCCAGCCCAACCACGGGGTCCCGGCATTTGTCAGAGGAGGTCCAGGAGTCCTCCTGCTTCCGCAGCGTCCAGGCCGGGCCCCCTCGTGTGTCCAGGCCAGGCCCACCCCCGCCCCTGCAGGCAGGGAGCCCTAGACCAGGCCTCAGGGGCCCAACTCTGGGGAATTGTTCTTGTTTTGCTTCGGTCTGCTTTCCCCGACCCTCCGGCCTTCCCTGGCCCCGAGCCCGGGCCCTCTGGCCACGGGTGGGGGCCAGGCCCTCCCAGGAAGGACTAACTTAGCACCAGGGTCTGGGCCAACCCCGGGCCCCCCGGTCTGAGAATAGCCCTTCCAGCCGCCACCTGTCCCTGCCCCCCACGACCACCTGTCCCCACCCCCCACGACCGGTGTAGACGCCCAGAGGGGCAGGGTTGGGCTTGACCTTGTGCTGGGTCCAGGGGGCTGGCTGACAGGACGCTGCCCCCTCAAACTGCTTCCAGGGCACCCCTGGACCCAAGTTGCCAGATGCAGGGTACCCCACAAAGACAGCAGGGTGCGGGGTGACAGCCCCTTAGGATCCTGACGTCCCTGCGAGCCTCTCCCGCCCAAGGCCAGGAGCCCTGGTGGACGCTGGCATGACCCTGAGCCTGAGGGGTGCGGAGGTGGGTAACGGGGAAGGCGGGAGTGCAGGGACCCTCGCCCCGCGTGCGGCACACTCACCATCTGGAGCACCCCGAAGAAGGACCCGAGGTAGCCAGCCTGGGCGGCCCCCAGCTGGAAGAAGTCCATGGAGATGATGGAGAACATGACCATGAAGAGCCCTGGGGGGGCAGGAGGTCAGGGGAGCAGCCCGGCGGGGGGGAGGGGCCCTGGCACAGCCCCCGCCCGGGCCGGGCTCACCTGAGGGGAAGCTGGACACCACCTTGACCAGGAACACCGGCAGCACGCCGGGCAGCAGCAGCAGGCGGGTGATGGCCTTCAGGTCAAAGACGCTGGCCCTGCCCCCCCTGGGCCGCGGGGGGCCGTCAGAGCCACGGAGGCCGCAGGCCCCGGGGCGGGCATCTGTGCCCCCGCCCTGCTGGTGGTCGGGGCCTCCGAGCTGGGCTCCTCTGTCCGGTCCCCCCGCTGCTTCTGCCGCAGCCTCCCTGGGCCTCCAGCCCCAGGGGTCAGTCCCAGGCAGAGGCCCAGGGGCCGCTCTGGCCGCACACGCGGTGGGCGCCGGTCCCTGCAGGGCGTCAGGGAGCCCAGCCCGAGGCCCGGGTGCCGGCTGGTGGCCGCGGAGGGCCCGCGCCTCGCCCTGGCGTCTGGGGGCTGGGGGCGTGCCTGGGGGCTCACCTGGTGGGGCCGCCGGGGCCTGCGCCCCTTTGGTGCTGGCGGGGATGCAGGTGACGCTGAGGACGGCGCCCAGGAGGTTGGCCACGAAGGCCAGCAAGGCAGGACACTGAACCCTGGGGCGACAGGGGGGGCGACCGGGGCTCGGTCCAGGGCCCGGGACCACCCGCCTGCGCCTCTGGTCACACGGAGGCCCCGACGGCGGGGAGCGGCTCACGCCTGTCCGCACGGGCCGGGGCCGGGGCCGCGGGGACACGTCTTGGCGGCCGCGCAAGGAGTGGATGAAACGCGCGTCCGGGCAGCGGCCCAGCGGCGCGAGAACCGGGCCGGGGACGCCCCAGGCAGTGCTGGGGGTGGGCGTGGGGTCTCCCAGGAGCAGCGTTCTGGGGGGCACGGAGGTGGGGCTGCCCTGCTGCCCCAGGGCCCCTCTGCTTTGCTGGGCCTGGGGGGACTTCGGCGCCTGAAGGCCGATCCCGCCGGCCTCCTCCTGCCGCTCCGCCCTGGCCCGGCGCTTTCTCTTCTGGGGAAGCGTTTTTCCGCCGTGAGTCACCCCAGGAACCTGGGCCCTCGAGCCCCTGAAGGGAGGCCCCGGGCGGCCGCTGTGCCCGTCACCTCCTCCCGCGGCTGTGCCCCACCGGGCCGCCCCCGAGCCGCCCAGGGGGAGACTCCCGTGCCCCGGGGCCTGGCCCGCCTCCCGCGGGCACCCTGTCCTCTGAGAAGGGCCGCTGGGCCGGGAGGGCCCCCAGGCGGTGAGCAAGGCCCTCTCAGGGACAGCCCCGGACCTCGCCTGAGCCCCAAATCCAGGAGACCCCCCTGCACTTGTAACCGGGGCCCGCCCCACGCTGTCCTGGGTCCTCCCGGGCGTTCGAGGAAGGCTCCGCGGGCCCGCGCCTCGGCAGCGGGGGGAGCCGCACGCAGAGCTCCAGGGAGACGCGGGCGGAGGCCCCGGGCGGGCCCCCCGTCGCCCTCACTGCGCAGGTGGGGACCCCTGGGCTCGCGTGGGCTCGGGGGAGCTGGCACTGCACGACCTGTGCTGCCCCCCCCCGCCCCCGTCGCTGACCCTCCCGGTCCCCGGCCCAGGGCGCTGCCTGGTCAGCTCTCTGGCCCCGGGCGTCCCTTGCCTGGCGGGCTGGAGGGTCCGGCCCAGCAGAGGGTCGGGCGCAGCCCCACAGCCCCCCGGCCGCGGGAAAGGCCTGTGACGCGAGCAGGGCAGCAGGGGCAGGACGGGCCCCCAGAGGCCGCACGTCACTGCCCCGGGCCGGGCCGGCAGAAACAAAACCTGCTTTCTTTGCCACATGCCCGGAAATGTGTGGGTGCAGAGGCGGCCACTTAGAGGCTATTTTGGGGGGCTGGTGACCAGCCAGGGTGGGTGGCAGGGAGCCAAGCCCCTTGCCTTACTCGCGCCCATCTCTTGGCTCATGCCAGGGAACAGACAGGCACAGGACCCTGGGGGGCCTGGGCGGGTGTCGGGGCCCGCATGTCCCCCAGGGGAAGTGGGGTGTCGTCCCCACTCCATGCTTTCTCTGCTGCCCCCGGGACAAGCTGCCAAAGAGGAAGGGAAATGGCGGGCAGCGCAGGGGCTTCCTCAGCCTGTGCCCCCACCCGGCCCGCCCGGCCCCCGAGCTCGGCCACGTGCGGCGCCCTTGCCAAGCTGCGCCAGGCTGTCCGGCCTCCGGTGCTGTCCCTTGCCCGACGGGTGAGTCACCGCTGCCCGGGGACTGTCCTCGCAGCCCCAGTAGCTGCTCATTAACTGGCGGGGAAGCTGGGGTGTCGCCGCCGGAAACCTGCCAGCGGGATAAGAGCTTCCTGCTCCCTCGCCCAGACCAAAGGGCCCCGATAAGGTCCGCCCGGGCCTGCAGATAAGAGGCGGCAAAGGCTCTGTCTGCTGAGTCACCGAGGCCGGGCGCGGGTGGGCCACTGGCCGGCCAGCTGATGCCCGGGCTCGCCCGGGGACACCCGGAACCAGAGGCACCCACCCTCCTCAAGGCAGGCAGCGGACGCTTCCCCAGCCCAGAACCCCAATTCTCCAGGCGCATGCGGGGGCCTGCCGAGGGCGTCTGCCCCCATCCAGACCCTCTGGGAGGGCAGAGCCCTTGGGTGCCGGCCACCCGCAGGTGCACCCAGGACGCGCAGGTGGCCGGGGCCTCGGCACTCGGGGGTGGTGGTGGGCGACAGCCCCAGCACCTGACAGCCGGCTCCCCACGCCAGCCCCGGCTGCCTGGGCTCCTGGCCCCCCGCTGCGCCGCAGCTGGCCCTCCGCTAAGTGACTCAGGGCCCGGCCGGCCTCGTGGGAGTGGCTCCCGGCCCGAGCTCAAGCGGGCCCAGGCCAGTTAGACCGGTGCCCGGCCCAGCTGCCAAGGCCACTTCCTTCCTCCACCTGCTCCAGGCAGCTGGGGCAGTGCAGGGCTGTCTCGGGGTTCGGGCATGGGGAGGCGGGTGTAGGGGGTGGCGGCTGAGGAGACCTGCTGTATGCAAGGGGAAGGGCCGCTGGGGTGCAGGGGTCCCGTCTCGCCCACCCTGTGCCTGGAGTGGCAGGAGGCCAACGAGGGGAGCGGGCGCTGGCCTCGCCGTGGGGCGCTGGGCCGGAGCCGGCTCTCCTGGGCCTGCGAGCTCCTGGGGAGCCTCACCCTCTGCAGCACCTCAGCTTCCCCATTCATCAAAGGAGAGGCGAGGTTACAAAGCACCTCAGACCTCAGTGAGAGGCAGGAAGCTGATGGAATGTTCTGGGGGGCAGGGCAGGAGTGGAGGTGATCTCGGGGTTCTGGGAGAGGGAAGTGAGCGGTGCCTTCTGGGTCAGCAGCTGGAGGAGGAAGAGGCAGGAGTGGGCATCAGCGGTGTGTGTGGTGTGTGTGTGGTGTATGGGTGGTGTGGCGTGTGGTGTGTGATGTGGTGTGTGGTGTGTGTGCGTGGTGTGTGTGTGGTGTGTGTGGTATGTGTGTGTGGTGTGTGTGGTATGTGTGTGTGGTGTGTGCATGGTGTGTGTGGTGTATGCGTGGTGTGTGCATGGTGTGTGCATGGTGTGTGCGTGGTGTGTGTGGGGTGTGTGAGGTGTGTGTATGGTGCGCATGGTGTGTGTGGTGTGTGTGATGTGTGTGAAGTGTGTGTGTGGTGTGTGTGGTATGTGTGCGGGGTGCATGTGGTGTGTGTGTGTGGTGTGTGAGGTGTGTGTGGGGTGTGAGGTATGGGGTTTGTGGGGTGTGAGGTGTGTGTCTGTGTGTGTTGTGTGTAGGACGTCTCCCCTCACCCGCAGGCCCAGAGCACTGATGGAGGCGGCTCCCTGCCGGCTGCCCTGTCAGGGTGGATGTGACTGGATGAGGCACAGGTTGTGGGCTGGGGGGTTCCCGTGTCTGGGGGCAGATATGGAATGGGGGGCGGGTGGTTCTGGGGGCTCCCTGCCTGCCTGCCTCTCTTCCCCTGCGAGTGACCCTCCTGTGGACGCCCCTCCTGTGGACGCCCCTCCCGTGGACGCCCCTCCCGTGGACGCCCCTCCTGTGGACGCCCCTCCTGTGGACGCCCCTCCCGTGGACGCCCCTCCTGTGGACGCCCCTCCTGTGGACGCCCTGCTCACAGGGCCCGAGGCCCAGCCCCCAGTCCTGCTCCCCCGCAGAGACGAGCACGGGGGCTGCAGGAGCCGCGGGGGAGCAGGACTGGCCGCTGTGCCCCGACCCCTCCCTGGGGCTTGGCCAGCACCTCCTGCCTCTGCCACCGCAGGCTGGTCGGGGGCCCTCGGGGGTCCGGGCACGGGCTGGCAGGCACGCAGGACGAGGGCTGGCCAGCCTCTCCCTGGCCCGCGGAGGGCACCCGGGCTGGCCCCGGGCGGGCAGGCGACCACCCGCGCAGGCGTCCGCCAGGCGGGGCAGGGGCCTGTGACCGCACCAAGGCCCGGCGTCCGCCAGGGCGCAAGGCGCGGGGCCCACCCCGGTGAGGAGGCCGCTGGGAGTGGGCGCTGGGCCTTTCCCCAGGGGGTGCGCGGGGGGCACTCTGGGGCGCCGGCTCCCAGTCTGGGGGGGCCAGATGGCCTGGCCAGGTGGGGTCTCAGCGCGGGGCGACGGCGCCCCCTGCCGGCCGCGCCGCCTTCGGCCCCACTGAGGGCCCGCCGCCCCGCCCACCCGGTGGCCCCGCCCAGGCCCCCCGCCCACCCAGTGGCTCCGCCCCGCCCACCAGCTGGCCCCGCCCACACGGCCCCGCCCGCCCCGTCGCCCCGCCCCGCCGCCCGCCCACCCGGTCGCCCCGCCCCCGCCGGCCAGCCCGCCCCGCCGCTGGGCACCCCCGCCGGCTCCCAGTCCCTGAAGGCCCCGACACCCCCAGCCACTGCCCACCCCGCTCGCCGCAACCGCTCCCCCGAACTCTGGCCCGACCCGGGCACCCGCTCCCCGCCCCTCTCCGTGCCGGCCCCGCCCCTCCAAACTAGGCCCCGCCCCTCCCGTCCCCGCCCACCCTCCCCGCGGGCCCCGCCCTTCAAGCCAGGCCCCGCCCCTCCCGTCCCCGCCCACCCTCCCCGCGGGCCCCGCCCACCCCAGCTGGCTCCGCGAGCAGGCGGGACGGCGAGGCGCAGAGCGGGGCTGGGGCCGGGCCGAGGCCTGAGCTGCAGCCGCGCGTGACCCACCAGCCCGACCGCGCTGACGGCGCCCGCGCCCTGCCTCGCCGGCGCTCCAGGGGCACGTGCCCCGCCCCTCACCCGCACGAGGTGCTGAGGGTCCCGCCCAGCAGGGAGCCGAGGATGACGCCCACGCCGAAGCACAGGCCGAGCCGGCCCAGGGCCGAGGGGCGCTCCTCCGGCGTCGTCAGGTCGGTGACCACCATCTGGGCGGCTGGGGGCGGAGGGGGGCTGAGGGGTGCGGCCTGCGGGGCCCCCACCACTACCTGGCCCGACCCCATAGGTCACGTCCCCTGCACGAGACTGGAAGGCCAGCAGCACGCGCCCCTCCGGCCCTGCTCCCCGAGCCCCATCACTTTTCTGACCTGCCCCCACCTGGCCAGGCCCCACACCACCCCCCGGCGCCCTGACCTAGACCAGCACCCGGAGGCCCCCTCCTGCCCCTGACTCAGGCCGGCCCGGCAGCCCCCACCCCGCTGCCCGCCCGCCCTCCGCGGGCGCCCGCCTGCCTACCTGGCAGCGTGTGCATGAACACCGAGGGCAGGCGGGAGGCGAAGAGCAAGGGCACGCCGGGGAGGGCCGGGCTGCAGGCGGCCACCAGGAGCAGGTAGAGCGCTGAGGCCGCCAGGAAGGACAGCGTGAAGGCAGCCCGCGCCCCCCGCTGGTCCGCGAACCTGGGGGCCACACCGGGAGCTCACAGTGGACCCGTGATGCCCATTCTGGCACTGCCCGGGAGCCGGGCCCACGGCCCACAGCCTGGCCAGGGAGGTGGCTGTGAGGATGGTGGGGCCCAGAATGGCTTTGCTTTTCATCGCTGGCGGGACCCCAGCTCTGGGGGGGGCGCACTGGGCTCCTCACCAGTGAAACCTCCCTCTGGATGTTGTGGGTGGGGGTGCCTGGGGCAGGGTGGCCAAAGCTTTCTCCCAGGGCCTCAGAGGGCCTGGGAGCTGCCGCCACCCCAGTGGGGCCCAGTGTGAGGCCCAGCAACCTGGCATGACCCCGCCCATGGCCCTTGAGGGGCCAGGGCCCCAGCCTGCCCCTGCACATACCTGCCAAACACAGGGCCCCCCAGCAGCTGAAGCACGCCAAAGGTGGTCTGCAGGTAGCTGAAGGCCATAGAGTCCAGGCCCAGACTCCGGGACAGGTACTGCAACACAGGGGGGCAGTGGGTAGGACCCCAGGATCCAGAACCTGGGGTTCTTGGCAGCCATGCACCGGGGACTTGGCTGCTGGAGGCCTGAGTGGGAGGTCAAGGCAGTGACCAGGGTCCCTGCAGAAAGCCCAAGGAGTCAAGGACCCCTGTCTATCTTGGGGCCCCAGTGGCCCGGCTGCTCCTTCCTGACCCTGGCCTCTGAGTTCCTCTCCCGCCTTCCAGAGACCCCACTTTTGAGGGCTTGACTGTGCCCCCAGTAAAAGATGTCACCTTCAAGACTCAGACTGAGCCCGCACAGAGGCCACGAGGGGGGCCCAAGTGTGGCCAGTGGCCTGTGTCAGTCCCTGAGGGGAGCCCATGGGGAGGGACAGAGGCAGGGGTGGGAGGGAGGTGGGCACAGCCCAGGACAGGATGTCACGGAACACCCTCAGAGGCAGGCCTGGGCACCCAGCATCCCTTGGGCTCCGCAGGGAGGCTGGCCACCCAGGACTTCGGCCTCGGCGTGCAACCGGAACTCGTGCTGTGTGTTGCTCTGTGCTGAAAGGAATTCCCCTCCGAGGCTCCCTGGTCTTTCACTTCCCTTGCTCCTCCCCAGGAGAGGGGCAGACCTCCTCCTCCAGGAAGCCAGCAGGCCCTCTCCCTGCCCACCGGGAGCCTATCCTGCTCTACCCCACCTTCTCTCCCTCAAAGGCTGCCTCCAGCCTCCTGCCAGCCCAGGCTGCCTGCTGCCGTGGCTGGTGGGCTTGGGCCGGGCCATTCTGTGGGTCCAGGCAGACCCCCAGGCCCAGGCTGCTCAGGAGATTCCTGGGGAACTTTGGAAAGTGCCCAGCCCTCCTAGACCAGACAGAGAAGGACCCGTGGGGCTCTGGGGGCTCCCAGAGGACTGGGCGCTCTTGTCTGCGGGGGGTGTGGGGGGGTGAGGCTCTGTGGGCCTGTTTTTTTAAAAAGATTTATTTATTTGGGGCCTCCCTGGTGGTGCAAGGGGTTAAACACCACATTATGAAGCAATCTGCAGCCTCTGCGGCAGGGAGATTCCCACATGGCGCAGCAGAGCTCCCGTGACTCGCCCGCTGCTCCCCTCAGCAGTGTGTTTCGTCAGTCTGCCTGTTCTGTTCCCCACTCTGTCTCTGGTGAATCCTCTCACCCCTGCACCTCTGCCCTGTACCCCAGCTTGTATGCATAAATACATAAATCTTAAAAAAAAATTCCTTAAAAAATATTGATGCACACAAGAGCTGGGGTGCAGGCCAGAGGTGTGGAGTGAGAGGACTCCCCAGAGACAGAACGGGGAGCAGAGCAGGCAGATCCACTGAAACACCCGGCTGAGGGGAGCAGCGGGGAGACAGAAGTGCCCTGTGGGTCACTCCCCGGCCGGGGATCGCACGCGTGCTGGCACACAGCCTCACAGTGCTGCGTCTTAATCCCTTGCACCGGGAGGGAGGCCCCAAGGGGTTGCTGAGTGACTAAACAAGGGCAGGAAGTGTAACAGTGGAATCTCCCAGGAGAGGGAGGTCCCAGGTTCACTGCCAAGGAAGGGAGGAGCTGGGGGGAGGGGAAGAAGCAAAAAGAAGGGGAGAAGGACCGAGAAAGGGGCAGAGCCAGACAGGAGCCCTGGAGGAGGCACGTGGGGCAGAGACGCAGGACGAGGCGCCGGTTCTCCGCCTGGGGCTCGTGCAGGGACCCCTGGGATGTGGTGAGGGACGTGGGGAGGCGAGGGGGGGCCTTTGTCTTGACTTGCACTTTGATTCTGCTCCTTCCCTCCCAGGCCTGCCTGGCCCCCGCCCTCTCCTGTGGGTCCCCACGGCAGGCGCCCTAGGCCGGGGCAGGCTCTCGGCCTCCGCTGCCCTGCTCTGGGCGGCCCCTGGGTGTTGGGGACCCTACCCCTTCTCTGCTCCCTCTCGCACGCCACCTGTATTAAAGTTATGTTCCACGGAAGGCCCATGTGCTCGGCGGGTGTCTTTCTGCAGTGGATGGCAGGGCCTATTTAGAGTTAGGGGGTCCAGGGTGCCCCACATTCTGCCTGCTAACAGAAGGATGGGGGTGGGGGCGGTGATTGGATGGTGGGCAGAGTTCCAGAGGAGGGGAGAGGGTCCCCCTTAGCCCTGGGGGGATGAGAGAAGGCGGGGTGCAGGGTGTGGGGGTGGTGCATGGGCATGACTGACGAGCAGAACTAGGGTGCAGGGAGGTGTTGCAGGTAGCAGGCGGGTGTCAGGGAGCCCCATCCAAGGAGGAGCCCTGCGGGAGGCCCACGTGCAGGGAGGAGGTGAACTGAGCAGGTGTTGGGGGCACCTCGGGCAAAGGTCCCCCCGGGGGGAGCCACAGCAGTCGAGGGGGAGAGGTATGGCCAGGGCCCTCAACGTGCTAAGCTCCAGGGTGCAAGGGACTCTGGACCGGAGGGCCCCACTCCCCTGGGCCAAAGGGAGATGTGGGCTCCGGGCCCCCGCTGGGCGGCTGCGGGGGGCACTCACCGGCAGGGTGGAGAACTGCATGAAGAGGCAGGTGAGCTCCAGGCCGGCCAGCACGTAGGTGAGCAGGACGACCCGGGGCCGGCCCAGTGCGCCCAGCCCGCCGGGGGACAGGCCCTGGCTCCTGGGGGCCCTGGCTCCCTGCATGCTGGCAGGTGGCGCCGGGACACAGGCGGGAGCCCAGCGGAGGCGGGCGGGGAGGGCGAGGGCCGGGGCTAAAGTCCCGCTGCTCCGGGGAGGGTGCTGAGTCACCCGAGGGGGCGGGGGCCCTGTCACGCTGGAGCTGGCCCGTGGGAGAGGCCAGGGTGCAGGAACCAGCCCGGTGGCTTCTCCAGCCCCTGTCGGGGCCTAGCAGGGAGCGCCAGGGGCCCAGCTCTCCCTGACCAACAGGTCCCGGGCACCCGGGCGCAGGGACGCGCCCCCCAGCCGGCCGGTGCAGGCCTGTCTCACACAGAGGCATCGGCACCCGTTAGGGGGAGACTCGGGTGCCGCGCGGCTGGTGGGTGCTGGGCAGGTAGGTGCGCTGCAGACCTGGTGGGGGGGGAGCTTCAGGAGGCGTCTGGGGGGCGCAGAGCAGCCGGCACCCCCAGCGCAGCAGCCCTGATTTCGCCCAGAGGAGCTTCCTGAGCTGTGGCCAGACTAACAAGGGACGGGAGGGCTGTGCCGAGGGCGTCCCCTAGCCCTGGGCTCCCGGGACAGTGAGGGGGCCTAGCCACGCCACTGCCCTCCTGGCGGCGTGCCGGAGGCTGGGCCGGCTGAGGTGGCGCCGCCCTCCCTGCTTGCGGGGGGAGGGTGCGGGGGGGGCGAGGGGGGAGGGGACGGAGCTCCGGGGCCTGCCCTCCAGGCCAGCTTGGGCACTGGTGTGGTGCGGGGCGCCCTCGGGGGGGCGGGTGCGGGGCCGGCCCTTCCGGGTCTGGGCTCAGCACCGCCCTCGCGCAGGCCTGAGACTCGGCTGCCCCGGGGCCTGGGGGATAGGCCTCCCCGGGGTGTCCCGAGACTTGGCTCTTCCAGCGGTGATCTGGACTCCGGCCTGGGGGGGCACGGGGACTCCTGGGGTGAGCTCCAGCGTGCCCCCCACCTACTGGACGCCCGGCAGGGCCAGCTTCCCACTGTCGCGGGGTGGAGCCCAAAACGCTCCGGCGTTCCCGCCTCCCTCCCTGCTCTGGGCCACTGGCCTCTTCAGTGGTTCCCCCTGCTGGGGGGCGCTGGCCTGGGGGGGGGGAGGAGAGGACGAGCAGGAGGGGGGTCGCCCAGCTGGGCCCCTGCCCGGGGTCTGCACAGGGCCGGGGAGGAGCCCAGAACATTTCCAAGAACAGCTCCTGGCCGCCCGCCCCAGGCCCGGAGGCTGTTGGGAGTGGCTGAGATGCCAACTTCCCCATCTCGCACTGCCCTGGGGCCACCAGACACCCGCTATCTGCAGGACCCAAGACCTCAAGCTGGCACCTGGGGAGCCCACGGACTCCCACAACTCCCCAGAGAAGCGAGCAGATGGGGGGCCAGGACTCAGCTGCCCACTCCCAGCCCAGCAGCGGAGCCACAGCCCCAAGTCAGCTGCAGTGGAGAGAAAGCAGGGAGCACCCCCGGCTTGCAGGCCGTGGGGACCCAGCGCCTCAGCAGTGCCCAGGGTGGGCAGGCCAAGGTCCAGGCAGTTAGGGAGCCCCGGAGCAGCCGTGGGGGCCTTGCAGGAGGCCCCACACGGTGGCCTGTTCTCCCGTGCGAAGGGGACTTGCGTCTGCGCCTGAGCCTGGAGGACGACCCCATCCGCTCCCTGCCAGACTCGGGAGACCCTGGGCCCGAGCGGGGACCCCGAGCCCCAGCCGGGGCCGGAGGGTGGCAGGGAGATGGGTGCGGGAGGCAGGCAGTCTCAGTCTCAGAGCCAGGACTGGGGAGAACTGGGGTCCAGGAGCTCTGATCCATTGGGGGTGCAGGGACGGGACAGTGCTCACGAGGTGCCAGGCCCTCAGGGCTCCCGGCTGCTTGGCTCCAACCTGGCCAGGGGCTTGGAGCTTCATGGCTCCTGGGAGGGTGGGAGAGTGAAAAGGCAGGAGGACTGGCCGGGGCGGCAGGGGAGGGGGAGCAGGCCCCGGAGGCCAGGGCCAGGGCGCTCTGGAGGGGCTGGCCCCCCTCCCTCCCCCCGGGGGCGCCAGGCCTGCGGCAGGGGACTGGCAGGAGCAGGAAGCGATCCACCTGGTCTGAGGGTTTGTCCCCACCTGGCTCCAGGCGGGCCGGAGCCTGCTGGTCCCAAACAGCACGGGACAGCGGAAGGCGGGGCCCCGGGCCTTGGAGTCGCCCCGTCTCCCATCAGGGCAGGCAGCTCCAGCTGGGGCCTGTGTCACCGCCTCGTGCACTGGGCCCTGGGCCAGCACCTCCTGCCCTCAGGGCCACTGCCAGCCCGGGGCTCTCCGGGAGACCCGCCTCCCAGGCCGGTGGAGGCTGGCGGCGTCTGGAGCCGGGCCGGGCGGGGGGCTTCTCAGCGGCGGGGCCGCCGCCTGTGCTGTCTTAAGGACGAGCGCAAACTGGCAGGGCAGGGAGGGCAAGCGGGCCAGAGGGCACAGCAAGGACGGAGGCCGAGCTTGGGGTCCTCGGGAAGCCCAGGAACCCTGAACGGAGGAGACAGAGCCTTGTGGTGGGTGAGGGGGCAGGGGAGGGGTGGGCGCTGATTCTGGGGTCGCAGGAAGGCCTTGCGGAGCCCGAGGGCTGGAATGAGGGTTTGGGGGGCGCGGGGTCCTCGGGTTCCTCTGGGAAAGGCCTCCCCAGCGCTCCTGTTTCGGCGGCAGGCGGCGAGGCTCCCCGGGGAGCTTCTCCAGGAGGCGAGGGCGGGTTTACCAGGGAAAGGGGCAGAGAGGGAAAGACACTTGCGCAGACACCTGCGGGCAGGAGGGGCTGCCCCAGAGGGGGGGGTTTGCGGAGAGAGGCCTGCGTGGCCGCGGCGGGGGCCTGAGGAGAGCTGCGCTGCCGAGGAGGCCCGTGAGGAGAAGCCCCGGCAGGCGCAGGGCAGGCAGGCAGGAGGCCGCTGCCCTGCGGAGGGAGAGAGCCGGTGAGAAGAGGCACCTGCACAGGCCCGGGGCGCAGAGGGGGCGCTGCCCCGAGCCTGCGCCGATGGGGTCCTCTTCTCCTTGGGAGGGGCCGCTCCTGTGAGCCTTCAGCGCGTGCTGACGTGGGATACCCTGGCCAAACCAGGAAGGGACCACGGGTTCCAGGAGGGACCCGATCTCCATGTCTTCCCCTCAGGCCTGTGCGCCGCTCCCTGGAGCATCTGACCCGGCTTGGGCCCTAAGCCCTGTGACACGCCTGGCGCCTGAGGGTCCGACCTCTGCAGCTGGGCGACTCCCCCCTGCCCCCACCTCCTTGTGAGTCGGGTCCTGTCTAGTCTTTCTATTCTTGTCCTCCATCAACTGGAAGGGGAGGGGCGGGGCGTGCCCCCGCCGAGGGTGGCACCAGCTGAAGCCTGTTGGCGGGTGAGACGGAGCTGGAGGGTCCCCACACACGCCGGCTGCCTGGGCGTCTGCTGGTGATGGGCCATGGGACGCCAGCCTCATCGAACCCATAAACTTAGCGAGCACCTACTGCCTCCCCAGGAAGAAGCCGGGACACCACGTGGGCGCCCTTGGCCCTCTGTGGGTCCGTGGGCCCCCCAAGCCTGCCCTAGACGCAGCCCCCACCCCCAACGTGTGGCCGCGCAAAGTCGTCAATAAACTCGCCTGACCGGGCCTCTGCCGAGATCTGTCTGGAGGGCAGGGACCCCGCCCGGCCCCGCGCGAGCCCGTCCTGTGCCCACCTGCGTGCGTGCGCAGGGCTGGTGCCCGCGGGCTGCGGGCCAGGGCAGCACGGCCTGCCTGGGGGCCTGGGAGGGGCCTTGGCTCCTGTGGCAGGGGGAGGCTTGGCTGGGAGGGGAGGGTGTGCGCACCTGGGGAAGCGCCCACCCCTACAGCCAGGGCCAGGGCCAGAGAGCCCGGAGGGCGCCTGAGGAGGTGTGGGGGAGGTGGGGGGACCCGGGGGGGGGCCGCCCTTGCCCTCGGTGCCTTGCCACGCAGGGGTGGGGGAGCAGCGAGGTGGGGGTGCGGGTCAGCCCTGGGGTCTGGCCTGGACAAGAGGGGCCCGGAAGTGGGTTGGTGAGGGGTTTCGTGGGAAGCCCTTGGCACCGGAGGATTCCCGGGGGGCCACCTCCCGCGTCTCTTCTCCAGGGACCCTGTGGGGGGGGAGGGAGGGAGGCGGCCTGCGGGGTCCGGCAGTCCCTGCGGGTGTGGTGTCAGGCCTCGGCCGGCAGAGGGCGCGCGGAGCCCACGGCAGCTCCAGGCCGGGCTCCTGGCCTCTCAGCAGCTGCCCCCGCATTCAGGGGCTGGGCAGCAGCCACCTCCCCTGCGCTGGCCCCGGGAACTGGCTGGCATCTCCCCTATGCCCCCCACCACACCCCGGCCAGGATCCCCATTTTCCTACTCGGCTCTGGGGCACCTGGATCTGGGCACTTGGGTGGAACTGACAGGAGACCCGAGCACCCCGGCCTCTCGCCCTACCCCTCGCGCTCTGGACGTCCCCGCGCGGGGCTCCCCGCCCGAGGCCTGGGCCTGGCTCGTTCACCTGCCCGCGCCGGACGCCACGAGGACTCGCAGCAGACGCCCCGTGACGCGGCCCGATCTGATCCTCGCAGAGCGGTCGTCAGGGCAGTTCACGCCGCCACGGGGGCCACGCGACGTCCAGCGGGCAGGGCGGCTTCACCGCCCTCCTTCAGTCGGGGCGCCTGGAGGGGTGCTCAGCAGGGAGGCCTCAGTGGAAAACTCTGAGGAGCTGGGCACACGGGGGCCGCTCACCCTGGGATCTCCAGGACTCCCCAAGGGACAGCCAGGAGGGGAGGGAGAACCCCACGGCAAGCGTGGACACGGCGACCGGCCGGGCCGGACAGTGCAGGCGTGGAGGCCGGGGCCCAGGCACCCGCGGAGGCTTGGGAGGGGCCGCATGGAGGAGACTGCTGTGCTGGGCGCAGCCTCACCCGGAGCTTCACCCAGGCCGGCACGGAGGCCCGGCACCTCCCCCGGGGCCACACAGCCAGGAGTGAGCAGGCTGACGGGCCTCGAGGCGCAGGACAGCAGGGAGTGGCTGGAGGCCACGCAGGGTCTGCCCTCAGGGAGTGGGCCTCTGGCTCCCGGGGG